ACAGTGATTCTTTAATTGCTGCTTATGACCCGAGTCCTTGACTGAGTTAAGTAGCTTCAAGTGGTTTGCTATCACAGGAAAAAAAGACATCTCGAGTGAGGAGACCTGACCTGTGTTAAAAGAGGAGGGAAAGGATGAAGATTGGGGTACAGATGGCTTAGTTAGTTGTTCCCTCTGGGGTCACGAAATCTCTCAAAGGTCACCAAATTGCAGGAAAGCCGTCCTGTAGCTGGTGAACCTGTTCTTTATTGTGTTGGGCCACTACCAAAAATCCACAGCTGGAAACCAGATCCTGCTCAACAGTGTTTGGCTTTCCTGGAGCTGACCTGCACCTGCTGTTACCAAGGCCCTGCAGAAATTTTTCACATTTCGTCTCCAGCGGCGGTACAAACAGACAGAGGCAGTCAGTGTGAGACCTTGCCTGTACTGTCATCAGTCAAGATGAGTGATTGCACCAAAACTTCAGAGCCAGGATGAGGGAGAACTGTTTTCTTCAGTGTGAGGCAGGTGATACAGGAAAATCCTCTTCTTATTGTAATACCAGAGTGTGTATGCAAAGGTGTAATCTTCAAACCCACTCAGCTTGTGAGTAACTGTGTGTGTGTGAGTATGTGTAGTAGTGGAAGGTGTGGAGTATTGTACTCAGCTTGTGATTATCTTCTTGATTTGGGGGACTGCAAAATGCTGATGACTGTGAAATAATAGTCCTTCTCTTCATCTCTTGAGGGATCACTCCCACGATGCAAGACTCGGCTCGACTCTTGACCACCTGCCGCGGCTCTCGAACACACACACTCCAATCATGAACACACACTTGACTGGAGAGAGCGGCGCACTTAATCATCTGGCCATCGATTTCGACAGACTGATGTGAGGAATAATGCCCACCATGTTCAGATAAATCAGAGCTGTGTAGCAATCAAACTGAACCGAGCTCCAGAGAGATCTTAGTCAGTCAATTAAGCAATGAATGAATGAATCTATGAATTTGCTGATGTTAGGATTTTGGAGAAATAAAGCCTAAACTCATTGTTCCAGAATAATCCTGTGCTGATATTGCTGTTGATATTGCTCTACAGGTTTTTTCTTATCACACTCAGCCGTCATCTATCCCTCCAGACCATTTCACAAGCTTCATGTAGTCTGTCCTGAAAAAAATACATATACTACAGCACTCCACCATGAATATCTGCTGATTGTAACAACCATCATTTCACCATTTTCTGCAGTCCCCCATCCTGATGCCCATAAAGCAGGTAACCTTTGGCTTCATTCACAGTCTTGGAATACAAACAATAGAAAAGGGGTGTGTTATTTAGGCAATCCAGACCTTAGCTGTGTTTACATGGGCACAAATAATCGGAATAGATACCCGATCGGAATATTAATGCGTCATGTCGATCAGAAGATTCTGATCCAATTTGGCTCAATTGGAAAGAAATTGTATTCCGATTGAGAGGGGTGGTTTATGCCGATCGTTATTTCGAAACGCATCCATGTAAACACTTATTCCGATCCTGACTCTCCAACCTGACTCGGTTCTTACTCTTCACTCTTGAGCCGCTACCGCGTTTGTTGGTTTGTTGACAGCACAGGCGTAAATACAACTCTTCTTCTGCGGTTGTTTTAGCGAAATTAGACAACTCTGCGCATGTCCAAATGTTTCTAATCTGAATAAAACTTGCTGCACGATCGGATTATTTGATTTTGCACCCATATAAACAGTGGATTCAGATTATCCAATCCCTCAGATTTTTAAACAGATCAAGAAATGTAAACGTGGGTAGTAGTTCTTAATCAAATTGCATAGTCTTGTGGTGCCTTTCAGTGGACTCCTGAAACTGGAAATAATAAGCTAATGACATTTTCTGCTAACTTAGATGACATGCTATCCAAACGGTGTAAATAGGGAAGTGCATATCAATGTTTACTATCAAAATAAAAGCCTCTCAACTTGACTTCTCTCACAAAATTCACCTAAATTACATAGTTGAGAGTAAATAACTAGCTAAAGGGTTTATTGGGAAAAACTCAAAGGACTGGCAGTGGAGGTAGGAAGATGGCGTGATGAAATCTGCTGTGAGGAAAACCAACCTGAACAAAAGAAAACAAACAGGTAACACTATTTAGACTAGCCGTTCAAAGCAGTAGACTATAGGATCCTATCATTTTATGAATGAACAGGTCTGTGGTGAACTCTTTAGGTGTGTGGAGACAGTCTGGAGCTGATGCGGAGATGAAATTGGAGCTATAACACCCACAAAATCAGGGAAACAAAAACTATATAGGTGCTTTTATATCTTTAGTGACGCAGAAAGTGACACACACTGCATGTTTATACCAGCAGCTATCGTCAGTTGTTTGTAAAATTGTCCATCACCCTCGCCACCTCTCTCTCTCGTTTGTGGTCCTTTTCTCTCCCAGTAATTTTCTCCTATGTACCCCCCTCACTTGATGCATTTGCCCCTCCTCTTTTTCTCATCTCTTTCTCCCAGCTCCATCTCCACTACACCTCTTTGAAAACTGCACATTATTCCATGTTGCCATTAATAGTATGGATCTCTTGTCATTATCCTGCAATTATCTTGTTTTTTTTCCGCTCTGGGTGCACCATCAGGTCTAATAGCCCTGAACAGAAATTGAAAATTACTGGTTAAATCAATATCCAAAATAATGACCGGTCAACATTTAACTAACATCTGAAGTTGTGAACCTTATTTTTAAAGATATCCTGTTAACACATTCAGCCTTACTTCACCAGAATGAGTAATTAATCCCTCTCTAGACTCACCTAAACCTATTTTTGAATTGATTTTGAAAAATAGATTTCCTTCGCTAATGCCACTCACTGGCTCTCATCGCTGCTCCACTTCATGTCTCCTGCAGCCTTTCTTTCTCCTTCTTCTGCTCTCTTTGACAGGCCTGTCATTACGAAGTTTGTGCTCTGACGTATAAAGGCGATTAAACATTATCTTCCTCTCCACTGACATGACCGTCTGTCAGATCTATATTTATGTCACATCTGATTGTCAAATTTCGATGTTGCAGTAAAATAAAAGATTTGTCAGGACTTCCAGAAATGACTTTAGTGTATAACCTTATATATTTTATGGAATAAGATATTTTACAAATAAATGTCCTATCTACGGAAGCCCTAAGCAGACATGGTTAATCTATTTTTTTACCCCGTTTACTCAAGATCATGAGATTACAAATTAATTTTGAGGTGGACAAGAAACATTGGGTGGATTACTGTACATGGTGTGGTATCCATGTTGTCTGCCTGTCGCTACCTGATGCGTCCTAAAAAACCTGATTTGTACTGCGCATGTGCGAAATGTACGTCACTTCCTCTTATAGCCGTCTTTGCGACAACTCAGCAGTTCTTTGCTCCTCGCGGTTTGCGCCAGCTTCGACACTTGTTCGACAGCTTCAGCATCAGTGAGTCAGAATGGATGCTTCAGTTTATCACCAGCTTTTCTCCTGAACGGAGTGCTTCCCCTGACTGAGGGAGAGCGCCAGAAAGTCAAGAGAATGGCGCCCAGTTTCACGATTAAAGGTTCCTATTATGAGCTTAATTGTAAAATTGCAACGTAGTTATAAAAGTCTTGAATGAATGTGAATGTTTCATCGTTGAAATTAAAACGCTGAATAAAAACGCTGAAATTCATTGTACATAGTGTGTAGGCTTCTTGTTAATTAATTCATATTTGTAAAATAATGAAATAAATCCCCACTTGATACTTTGAAAAGTCAGGGAACCAAAATTTTGACCTGGTGGCGCAAAAGGTCTCACCGTGCTGGGCAGGAGCTCTGGCAAATTCGTGATCTTGAGAAAACAAAGCCTTGTTTTACGGGGGTAAAAAAATGTATAAACCATGTTTGCTCAGGGCTTCTGCACCTATCTGCGTGAGCGTGAAACTTTCCTAACAAACGGTGGAGAGCTGTGAAAGTGAGGTCTTATTAGCTTCTGTCATGCAGCGGATGTACAAAGACTGAGACAAGAATACGTGTTATGTTTCCTCCTGAGTGAAAACTAATGATTTTATTTGATCAGAGTGATTTTGCGACTGTTAAGCAAAGTTTGAGAGAAAGTTTATATCTTGGATTGTGTTTCCTGCACACTTAGACGGCTCAGTTGTTCTGTTTACATCGACCCACACACAGGTTTTAAGATAAACCTCACAAGACTAATAAGATTTTATAGATAGCTATGCAACCATCCATCCTGCTTATCGATCCAAACTTTTGTTGATTCCCCGTGTAGGAAAAAGTAAGTTTATGAAGGTTTTTTTTGTTATCAAATCAATGTGTATTTTGCTCTGCAGGGGCGAAGGGAGCCGAGCTTCTAATCGTACTATTACAGGTTGGCTGATTTCTGATAACAGCAGACCATAAGAAAGATGGCAGCCTTGCATTAGCATAGACACATGCTGGGGTTACATCTGAACAGACTCTGAAGATACACAGATCTTCTCAGTGGGAGAGAAAAGCCTTTGGATGTCACAGCAACGCTCAGTTTATCAGAAAGCAACCAGTCTTACAAAGAAAATGACTTTGATAGTTAGTCAGTGTGTCATTGCATTTTATTTTTTACAACTATTCCTTATTATCGGATCATCTCCTGGTTGACCTGTTACATATTAAAACAGTCATCAAAATGCATTTGCAGGATACTTCTAAGTGCATGTAAATGTACTAACTGGTGCTTCTTTCAGTGAGTCAAGTAATTGTTTTGCACACAGACACACACATCTTCATGCCTTTGTTCGTGTCCTACCTCTCAGGTGTACATGAACTCTTTCCACAGGTCAGGATTCAAAGAGACAGCTGGAGTGCGTACTTGAGCATCCATCTCCTGTTATTTCGGGCTTTTTGTACCTGAACATCACCCCGGCTGTCGTGCACTTCCTGTACCAGACGGCTTCATCCTTTAATCTAAACTGGTGTTTGATGTGGTGGAGAAAAAAAAAAAATCCAAACACCTCATATTTTTTTTTCTTTATTTGATTTGAACATATTTTTATTTAAAATTCATTTCAAGATACCCTGATCAAAATACTCAACTGTACAGGAAAATGGCGAGGAAAATAGCGACAGCAAGAACATTCATCATTTAACATGACGTAAGGATTTAAAGGTTAAGCTAGGCAGCGGAAACACAAAAACACTCTCATTCACTGTCATTACAACACAAGAAGCATGAGAAAAAGACGCTGAGACAGCACAGCATTCAGGATACATCTACAGCAGCTCGGACATGAAAGAAACCACAGAAAACGTGTGTTATTATGCCTCTTAGAAATGTAAGTATTCAGTCACATTTATTAGCATAGATTTGTTTACAGTTTTATATTCCAACCCTTTAGACTTGGACGGTTAGTGCTGTGATTGTATTTCACACACTGCCATCTGGAGAGTTAAGTTACCTGGTGGTGCAGGTGTACAGACTTTAGGCTGTTTTCTCCATTTCGTCATCCTATTAATATAATTGCTTAAGTCATTTTATGATAAAAATTATTTTTTGGCCTAAATCATCTCTTGATAATGCTGGCCATCTCAGGTAAAATCCCCTAAACCCTTAGTTGAAAGGATCATGGCATGATCCCTTTTTCCATTATTTTAATAGGGAAACGATTTGCATGTTCTGCGGGGGAGTTTTTTTTTTATATATATATATCTTACTAATGACTTCTCATCATATCCGAAAGCAAACAAGACCATCAGTGACATGATGATTTTTAAACTGTAATTTTTGATGCCTGAAAACAGCCCTGTAGTTTTTACACTTTTCACATTAACCAAAAGTTCCTCACTGGAGCTTTAATACTGACAAAACCTCATACACTTGAAAATATTACGACAGAGTATTAGGGCCACAACAACTTTGAGATTAAAGTTGTGAATTTATGAGAATAAAGTAATTACTAATGAGAATAAAGTCTTAATAAAACCATTATGATACTTATGGTAATGTGGTGCTGATGTGCCAAAAGACCAAGTATCTCCTTGTTTGAGAAACCTTTATTTAAGTACACATTCACAAAATGCTCCATGGCTCTCATTTCAACAACTGTCATCTTAAACAACAGGTTAGAATATTGGGACTTTATTCTGACTTCATCCCGTTAGAAATGACTTTATTTAGACTTTATTCTTGTAGGAAATTACTTTATTACAACTTTATTCTCGTAATTACTTTATCATGACTTTATTCTTGTTAGTAATGACTTTATAACGACTTCCTCTCCCAAGTAATGACTTTATTAAGACTTATTTTCGTTAGTAATTACTTTAGTACGACTTTATTCTCATTGGTAATTTCTTTATTATGACTTTATACTTGTTAGTAATGACTTTATTATGACTTTATTCTCATAATGACTTTATTTTCGTAAATTAATGACTTTAATCTCAGTCTTAGTTTTTTTTTTTCTTAATGTGGCCCTAATACTCAGTCTTAAAATATAACTGCAACGATACTGTTAATCCACTTTGACTGTTTAAATGCCATAGCACTGTTGTGAAAGTAAGGCTGTTAGGATGTGAATAAATTAAATAAAGCAGCTCATAGATCGAATCATAGATCAGGTCTCCATGTGTCAGGTTCTGTTTAAAAGTAAAAAAGTAAAGAGGTATAAGAAAACTTCTATTTTAGTGTGCACACATAATGCACGAAGATATTTCAGTATTCACAGACAGCTGCATCTTCCTTCAAAAGCTCCACCGATGTCCTCCAAGGACACACACAGTTCTGTTTACAATCATTCTGTAGAACATCTATCCATCGAATATTTTATTTTACAGCACAACATAGACACAGATGATGCAATGTTGCAGTTATTTTTTTGTTTGTTTTTTCAGCCAGTGATTTGAAATATTCAAAAGTATAGTAGATTTACAAAAGTAACCCGAGGACAGCAACACCACTGAGTCTGACTGAATCAGCAAATGTCTTTACAGTCTAGCAGAAGTTTCTCTTTGCTCAAGGAAAACTTTTCAGGGTATTTTGGTTTTGACCCTCACAAACTGAAAGAACCTATGAGCACAAACATGAGTGTGTGTTTTCTAGCTTGCTACATATTTCTACTGTAATTAACATGATTATAAAGTGACAGATGGATTGTGACATGAGAAGAGATGGTGCTGATGGGGCAAATCACCCTGTTGTTTCGTCTGCTTCGCGCTTCTCCTCAGCAACAAGCTGGCATCTTTTGTCTCCATCGCAACAGCTCTCGTCAGCGGTGGCTGTGAGTGTGTGTGTGTGTGTGTGTGTGTCAAAGAGGCAGCCATATGCTCATTTGAAGGAGCCCTAACTGAAGAAAGATAATTATGCATTCATTTAAGCCCCAGCATGTTCACCGACTTCAAGTATTGTGCGCTTCAGCTCAAACGATTTTTTCCTCCCTGCACTGAAAAATCGATCAGTTATTTTATCACTATGGGCTGAACTTCATCAAAATAAATCAAAGGATAATTAATTCAGTTTAAAGGTAATTGTTGCTCCAAACTTAGACTCAACACAAATACAAGCAAGAACTTTTGTGGCTGTCCTGTTGAGAAAACTAACCCTGCTTTGTCAGAGCGCATGACAAAAACAGGTTAGAGCCCCATTAAAGTCCCACTCTGATCGTTTTTTTTTTTACTACTTCAAGTGTTCTCAGTGGTCTTTAAACTGTGATTATGAAGTTTTTAGCCAAAATCACGTTACCTGGGTCATTTTCAAGAGCTTTTCTTCTGCAGAACTCCTGTAGATCATTAGCAATTCGCCTCTGAGTTGTGGGCGGAGACAGCGCTGCTCTGCACACTCGTCTTCACACTAGCTTGCAGCCTAATATTGCCGGTGTAGTAAAAGAAGCAGGTAACATAGGAGCTATTCAGCTCTGAGACACAAATGTCTTTGGGGATATGATGAAAGTTAATATCAAAATTACCTTTCTTACAAGCATTGCAATCCGCTAACGCCCACGCTTGTTCCATGATCTACTTTTCTGAGTCTGGCCTGCATAGCGGATTTGGGACATAGGAAATCTCATTGTATCTGAGCCTGCTGTTTGGGTCTGTCAGAGATTCACAGACATTTAGATGCAGAAATACTCAGAAATGCAATTTCGCACTTAGTATTCTCATACTATGTCTCATACATGAAGACGACAAGATAAACGTAATTTTTATTTGAGTGGGTCTTTAATAGGATGACCATATGTCCTATTTTACCCGGGCATGTCCTCTTATTTGGGGGCTGTCTGGGTTTGTCCGGCTTTGTCCAGGGAAGTTTAAAAAATCCTTTAAATGTCCGCGGTTTTGTACGTAAGTTTCGATTTTGTGTCACGTGGACTTACTGAGCTAGAGGCTTGTAAAAAAGACACTCGATCCAACCTGAAAAACTCAAAATTAACTTTGTGCGACTCTGTGACTCCGCCCCATGTAGTCCTCTTTTTGGAAGTCAGAATATGGTTACCCTTGTCTTTAAGTCGTGTGTGTTAGTCAGACTATGAAAAAAAGTTGGGTTTCGGTAAATCTAATGTGTTTACATAGTTTTTAAAAGTCCAGTTTCAGTCGGGCTATTGCATGTTGCAAGTGCATGTAGATGTACTGACTGTATTTGTCCACTCCTGATGCCCTGATTCCCAAAAACGGCCACAGAGTCCTCATCAAACTCTTATCTCTGCTGACGTTTTTGCACAAAGTAAAATTAGTTGAAACGATAACATTTTGCCTGTTTTCATTTTTGACTGTCGGTGGTCGTTGCATGTTTTCTTGTAGACAAATCTAATGGTGAAGTTGGTCCCACGGCTTCTAGAGGTCATTCAGATACTGTTCTGCTCCAAACTTAGGGGTTAAAACCATATTTTATAACTTTTCAACTTGAGCTCTGTTTGCCGTGAGAACAATTGTCACACAGACAGATTTCAGATTGTAGCTGTACCTGTTTGCATGACTTTGACTCACACCGAAAACATCTTACATTCAAAAGGTGTGCTGGTCCGTATTAGGAAAAAACAACCACAAGCAAACTCATTTGTACACTTAGCTACTGCATAAGCCAATTTACTTGCAGGAGAACAAGCAGACAAGAAGCATTTCCCTATCCAGCTCACAGACTCCAAATCATCATATCAAGGCAGGAGTCATCAAGGGAGCAGGTCTCGTTTATGCGCTAATCGGATAACTATGTTCTAATGACATCAACCCTAATGCTTATGTTCTCCCAGGATCACTCTTTTGGGGCTCTGCAGTGTAATGATACCGAGCTGGTCTGCAGCCTTCCATTATGCACCTTTGATTACTTCTGCACAAAACAGCCAAAATGGGAAATATTAGAAAGTTAGAATTCAACACTTGCAGATCAATATAACATGAGCTGTCGTTTATCTATTTAATCTCGCTGCCAAGCCAAAGTCTGTCAATTTCTCACGCACATGAAGTGAAGCTGTTGTGTGAGCAAATATATCAAACTAGCACAGCATATGCTTTCCTATTGATTGTTTTTCTATTTACTGGGCCTGACTGCGGCTAACCAAATCTGTCTCTCGGCTCCACAAGTTTCAATAAACACCACGGGGAATTCAGTCAACACAAGCTGCAACCGACAGAGGCCTGATAGAGACAGAGGCCGTGTCGCCACCGCACTCACTCAAAATAAATGGCTCCACTCACCTCTTCAGCCAGTTGTTTCAACCGAGCCTGCGAGTCCAATGAAGGTGCACAGCATGGAGGTAAGATATCCAAACGTTATCAGATCTAGGAAGCTGAGAGGCTGATGGACACTGTTATCTCTGACACAACCTGCGCCGCTCCAACTGTCAAAGCTGCCTTTTGCGTAGAGTCGGCTACTCCTGCGACTGATCTTCCTTTTCCAGCTACTACATTTGGATGGCTCTGGGGGAGGCCTGAAGCCAAAGCCAGCTCAATCCATCTCATCAGGAACTGTGGATCCTAGTCGTTGCTCATTGCAGGGAAAAACACAGCAGTAGCTCAGGAGGTAGAGCGGTTGTCTGAGAGGCCGAAGGCGCAAAACTGGCAGCCACGTTTCCCGTCAGTCTGACTACTAAGGCAGTTTATCACCACCAAGGTGTGAGTGAATCAATGATGTATCCAATGTAAAGCGCTTTGAGGGTCTCTGATGAAGCGCTATTTGAAATCATGCATTAATCAATAATTAATTCATTCATTGACTGTCCTTGGAGTCACTTACACATTAAAGCATTCTGCTCCAAATAAGTCACCCGGTGGGTCCCGACACTCTCCATCTATTGTTTGATATCATGGACAAGAGGGACTTTCTCCCTGCTCTTATCACGCCTCCCTACGAAGCGCTCCTCATGAATACAGCTGCTCAGGCAGAAGCCAGACACTCTGATGATGCCGGTGCTTCAACGGTCTGTGCTCACCCCCCCTGTCAACTTCACCATCTGCACTTGGAGGGAACCCCCAGATTGCAGCTCCAGATCACCACAGGTGCTCTCCTGTGGGACCCACTCCATATACCCACCTTCTGTTCTGATCAAGGGGAAATCCATCATTAGGGATGTCAAGTCCAGCAGAACCACTACACAATACTTTCCAGGAGCTCAACTCCTCTTGCTACTGTCGCAGTTTACAGCTGCTAGGAAAGTAAGGAGTCATGTTGGCACCGGTGGCACTCCGCGGCAACAGTCAGAGCTTTTAAAGGAGGATCTTATGCGTTTCCATGCACAGCTTAATCAGACCAAGCTCATAATTCATTTTTTCCACCAAATCAGACTTCTCTCCTTCAATCAAATTATTGACGTGAACGTATCCTCCTCCCCAAAACTAGGGGACGATATGGGTCTTTTCAGTGGCACTGTTTCTGACCCCATACAACCGTCAACAACAACAGCAGGTCCGTGCCAGACGTCTACAACTGCTGCAGGGGATTTTCGAGCAATAAGATGGAGCATCGTACAGCGTTGTTTTTGTCGCACATGATGTATGCGCTACTTCTTCAGCAGATGAGATGCACGTTACTCTTCCGACTACGCTGGTTGCATAGTAGAACAAATCGAATTTCAATCGCATTATCTGGGTGTCTTAATCGGAGTTCTCCAACGCCAATCCGAGTTCTCAAACTCCGATTATAGTCAGACTAAGGTGTTCACATGCACTTCAGTTGTCTGGTCTTATTTGGAATAAGGCAATAATTCGGTTTTCTCAAGTGTCATGTAAACATACTGAGAGTGAGCTCTGTAGCCCCTTGTTATCTGTCCTTCCTTTTTCCTGGACCCCAGCAGAGCGAGCTGTGTCTTTGCTTCCTTTGCCCTTTTGCAGACATCATGCTACACAGCAAGGCACATTACTGCACATCAGAGGGCTACCTGTGTATATCCCAAGATCGAGTACCTTTAAAGCCCCATAAATCTGGTATTAACATTCACCTAAAACAAGTGAATAATGTTTGGATGGAGCAGCAGCACATAAGATACAGAACTTCAAATAAAACTTTCATTTAAATTCTAAATTAGGAGTTCAAAGGGGTGCTGGAGGAAGATTTGTCTGGTTTAATTACAGTAAATTACTGCTAAATTACAGTATGTCTGCCTGAAAAGCTACATTGAGGTAATGCCATTGGGATCTACAGCCTCTGCCATCAAATTCTGGATGTTTGTGTGATTGAAGAAGGTGACGTGAAGTGTGAAGAGCTCCAACAGAGAAGACGTCAACGAGTCTAATCAGTGCGCTCCATGTACCAATTACGAATTTCACACGATTTTCACCTCAGGTTTGTTGTTGACTTCTCTTCATTCACAGCTGTAAAATTGCATCCTGAACCGAGACCTACAGCTACTGCCGGGACTTTTTGGACCCTCCTTTATGTTCTACCACAAAGAAAGTCAAACTCAAGGACGTAAAGTTAGCATTAGCAATGTTTTTCAACGACATAACCATCCTTGAGAAGGTGCCAGACTCTCTTGAAACCATGTATTCACTTGCGCTGTTGATGGGTAAAGAGAACTATTTCAGTATTTGCACCACGCTGGTCTGATATTACAGCTCGAAGCCAAATTAAACAGTGTGAAACAACAAGATTTGTGTGAATGAGGAAGTGTGAACCTTGGCTCTCAGAGGAAAGTAGGAGTCGTGAAGTCTAAAAGTGTTAGAGTCTGCCTCAGTGAGTGAGTGAGTGACTGAACGTGAGTGTGCTCATGTTGTTAAAGTGCTCTTTTTGTTTGTTTGTTGTTGTTTTTGGGGTCACAAAGAAAACCTGACAGATGGAGATTCATCATAAACCAGAAAAGACAAGAGGAGACACCATCTGAGGGCCACTCAGTAGGAATATATTCAGTGATTTTCTACCTTTGTTATTCTTTCTTGACTTGTTCGAAGCTCGCCCTCGTAAATCCACTATACTTTTGAAGAGATATATGAAGGCAGAAGCAGCAACACAAACATTCAACTCTGTACCTCCTCCTTTACAAATGAAGCCTGTGTTTGAAGCTTATATAATGATCGCTGTCGTTGAAACTGGACAACTCTGATACTGTTTCTGACAAACTCCATGTGGACCGGCCCCAGTCACAGCCTCAACGGACCCTGTACTTCCTATCACCTTGACCTGAGGCTGCTTCAAGTCCTCCTCGCTCTGGAGGACGGTCGACACGGTCATCTCCACGCGGCTGGCCTTGTAAACGCTCGTCTGGGTCTGAAGATAGCGAGTGGATTTTAGTTCCAGGCCTTCGTAAGAACCCCGAGGGATGCAGGGGCAGCAGCGAAAGGCTTGTTTGAAACCGGCACGAAACCTGTTCAAGAAAGGCATTGATTAGAAAAAGTATTGATCGGTTTAAACACCCACTTAAAAGTTGTGTAAATAACTACCTTGAAAATACAGTTTGGAAACTTTTTCTTTAAAATAATTTGACCAATTTATTTGTCCAAATAATATAGAAAAACGATGTACCTGGGCAAGTCGTGCTCGCCAACATATTATTCAGTTAACGTTCAGAGGGGATTTAAGTTTAGAGCCGTCTTAAAGTGGACAGCGTTAGGGAGTTTTTAAGTTGTCAGATGGTAAGTTTTAACTTATTAAACCAATATTACTTTCTCAATGTCTCCACAGAGGGGCTGAAGTTCAGGGTAGAAAATGCAAATGACATCCAGGGATGGTACTTGATAAATTAAGTGACTTTCACAGCTCCCCATTTGAGACTCACTTAATTAACAATCTGTTATTTTGATGTAACTGGGATCATCAGACTCTACCTCCCAAAGTCTCCAGGTCATTAAAAAGTACTCCTCCCTGAGCAGAGCGTCTTTAAATGGTAACCCTTCTACCCCAAAACTAACTTTTGGAGCCGTCCACAAATTTATAAGAAAACGCAAAAGTAATTTGTCATGTCTGCGTTTCATTCGCATGGATGCTGCTTTACCACCAGTGAAAACAACCTTTATCTTTCTGGTTTCTTCTATACAGACAGTTGAACTGCAGACGGCAGAAAAGGTTTACACTCATGCTCCATTCTCGTCTTCTGATTTTTAGTGCATTTCCGGGGCAGCATTACAGCGACACTGGCTTGGCATATGCACTAAATCGTTTTTCTGAAACGTTTCCCTCTTTACGGACAACTTTTTCAAATCAAAACAGCAACATGTTGTTTTTTTTTCTTTGTGGACAAGGCCTAAATGGTAACCCTTCTACCCCAGAACTATTGCTGCGTTCCAGTTGTACTCAGAAGTCGGAATTTCCAAGCTCAGAGTCGGAAATTTATCTGGAACACCCCCCTGAAGTCGGATTTCTGACTCGGAGCATTAGCATTTCTGTTTTGTTTTTATGAAAGTAAAGAAGTCGTTTATGTTCCACTGCCCAACGTCTAACTGTAAACACGGTGCCATGGTGTTTGTAGAGTAAAATACCGTGTTGTGTGTTGTTTACAACTGGTATTGCTAAGAACTAATAATCGCTGACAACGGCTAACAACAGCTGACAATTGTAAACAACAGCTAACAAAGGCTAACAGCAGGCATCCGTCTTGGTTTTCCGACTTGTTAACTAGAACGCTGTCAACTTGTGTTTAACGCCATTCCCAGCTCCGACATCCGACCTCCGAGGTAACTGGAAAACAGCATAACTTCAGACCCTAGTTCCTGTAGTCGAAATGGAAACAGTTCCTGAAAGGGTCCCTAGTTCCTGGGTAAATTTCCTGCGGTCGAAATGGAAACGGTTCCTGAAAGACTCCCTAGTTCCTGCGAAAAGTTTCTGCAGTGGAAAAGCACCATTATAATAAAATCCTTTCACTACAAGAGAGCGGCAGTTTCCCGACAATAAACCCTGAATGTTTCTGTGACATCTAGGGACCTCTATAATCATGCAAAAACATCATTTTAACTTCTATGCATCATGCAGCTGTTGTGTCTTATTATGTCGGCTTTCATGGTCCAGATTTTATCAAATGATTGAAGTCTCGGCAGGTTGGATCTGGGGGTGTAAATGCACAATAATGTCTGATAGAGGCTGTAACAATACACAGCCTTCCTCTCACTCACTCTCTCTCGTGTTTTAAGGGAGAGGTGGGCTTTGCTTTGACACTGCTGCAGGGGATACATTTTAATTCTAACCCGTACATTTCATCCGAGCAGAGGAAAAGACAGCTTTTCAGTTTAGTCGGTGCATCTGCTTCCACAAGCTTCACTGCATTTCTGCTCTGTTTCAACTCTGCCAATCTGGCGTCCTCCTCAGCAAATACGCACGCTTTCTATTTCTGCCAGACGCTTGGACATGATGCATCAATCAGCACAGAGCAGCTCAAGTGAGGAAGGAAAACAGACACTAAGACAACGTTAGAACATCCAGTTAATGTTTTAGGTTTGGCTAAAGAGTTTTCAGAGCTCATCATGTGGATAGAAGTCATTGATTCAGTGTTCAAGGTGGGAAATCCTGAGTTTTTAGAGCAGAGATGGACTGACATGGACCTCATGGAAACAGGGACACAGGTGATGAAAGGAGAAAGAGAAAATGTCAAGTGAGACCAGGAGAGATAAAATAAGATCAATGGAGACCAATGGAGGCATCAGCATCAATGACAAATCTGACTTTAAATCGTCAGAGTTTAAGGCGATAAAAGCGACTTGATCTCCTATAGAGACAGATTACCAAAGCTCATCTCACTGCAGCCGTATTCACACTCTTCTCTTAGTACCTCCCTAACACGACAAGTGTGAACATTGTTTCTCTGACAATGTGACGACAAGTAACAGGTAGCTGCAATGAAACCAGTGAAAGAAGACGACAAGCTCAACCGAATCTCTATTTTTGTTTTTCAGACGACAACGTGAAAAATGACAGAAAAGGCACCGACTGAGAGTGAACCCAAAAGTTTTTTAAAGTTTCTCCAAACTCTGGTCCAAATGTGTTTTTCATTCAAATGAGATTCTTTCCAGCCGAGGAATCTCAATGTGAGACGAGATAATAAATAGACTGTCCGCTGAGGAAGAAGAGTTTTACACAGCTGCTGTCTAGTGACGCATTTTGCTGTGATTGTGCCCATAAGTAGGTTATTTAAGCAGTTTTTCTCCTTATATTATTTTAGAGTAGCACTTTTGCTCTATACCTCCTCCACTATAAAGACAAAAACGTTTAATTAAAGTATTTATGTAATTCATGCACTTGTTATATTTCATTAACTTAGCTGCACTGGGAGGCGTTTACTTCATTCAATCTTAAAACTTATTTTAATTCCTTTACTAATTTTTTACAGTGTGTAATTGTTGTTTTTGTGTCACTATAAACTTTGTGTGAGATTTTTTCAACGTGGATTGGACTGGGTGGCGGGGTTTGGAGTTAAACAAAAAGGAAAGGGCCCAAATATGCAGAACAAAAAGAAATTTCTTTAAATGAACTAAATAAAAAGCAACAAAAACTTACTTTAAATGTCCAAGAGAAAAACTCCCAAAGGCAAAAAACACAAGAGGCAAAATCCAAAAGAACCAAAAAATTACTAGAGACTCTCTGGGAAGACACAAGCATACAACACAATGACCCAACCAAGAAACAGGAGAAGACAAGGACTATATATACACAGGGAAAGAGCAACGGGAGGCAGGTGTGACACTGAGACACAGGTGCAGACAATTACAGAGGAGGGAAAACTGAGGAAGTCAAACAAGACTAGAAACATGGAATAAACTGCTGAAAAATAAAACAGGAAACACTAAAAACTGATATAAAGAATAAAACACTGAGAACATGAGGGAAACCGAGTCAGACACAAACTGAAAACTCACAAGACAGGAGTACAGGGGAACAGGAACGATAGGGGACAGAAACACTAGGAAAAAAACACACAGAAAATACACTAAGATAACCAAAACCAGGGGAAAACTAAATACCAGAACATATCATGACACTGGGTTGGTGTTGACTGGAGGATACTGTCCTTGTAGCAGACAGTAATACAGTAATAAAGCTAACTTGCTGCTTGATAGAGCCAAATGAGTCACTAAAAACAAACACAATAAAAAGAGACTCGGCAGCCTTCTGTCTGAGCGGACCAACAGTTATCTTGAATCCTTTTCAACGGCCACAACAAACGAGTTAATGTGCAATAAGCGCCGTCTGCCTGAGAGGGTGAGCTCAGTCAGCCCACTGGGATGACACCTTGCAGATAGTGAGCAGCTCCACCCTGTCACATCAAGCCTTTACACGATAAATCCTCATATAGCTGTAATCAAGAGACAGAGATGAGCTTCTCTGCGTAAGAGAGTTAAATAACTTTAACTGAATCTAAACTCGCTGTAAAAACAGAGTTGTTGTGGCCTACCTGTCATTGAGGCAGCAGTAGATGATCGGGTTGTACATGGTGGAGCTCATAGCGAGCCACATGATGGCCAGGTAGATCTGCTGGATGAACCTTTCCCCAAACGCCTCCGGGTAAAACTGGTGCAGCAGGAAGTAGACGTGGTACGGCAGCCAGCAGATTGCAAAAGTGCAAACTACCATGATCATCATTTTCACCACCTGTAGCAGAATGACAGAACCATTTTTATCAACAATACCAGACAGTTTATGATTTCTACCGTGATTTTCAGACTGACTATATATACTGTATATGACGACTGTGGCCGTATCCTGTACATGGCTGCAATTTACAAAGGCGCTCTGACAGGGTGAGAGTAAACTGATCTATAAAATATGAGCTTCTGTTTTTAAAGAGATTACCTTGCGCTTAGCAGTCAGCTGCTCCCTGTAGCGGTCAGAGGAGTCTCCGGGGATCTCACTCGCCCAGAGGGTCAGTCCCACCACCAGATACGCACAACCCATCACCATCAGTGGAAGGAAGTAGAGCAGGATGGCCACACTTACAGAGTACCTATGAGAAGACATGAAGCTGTCATTAATGACTGAAGCAGAGAGGTCAGCTGATCATACTGAAAGACAAAGACTTCAGCAGCCACGTTTACATGGGCAAAATTTTCTGATCCGATTAATGATTTGAGGAATCAGATAATCTGAATCCACTGTTTATATGGGTGCAAAATCAAATAATCCGATCATGACGTGTTTATACATGCACCAAGTTTTATTCAGATTAGAGGCATTTGGACAACTGCAGAAGAAGAGTTGTATTTATGCCTGTGCTGTCAACAAAACAACAAACACGGTAGTGGCCATAGACTGTATGCGTGCAGATGTCACATCATTAGAGAGCCACGATCGGAGTAAGTGTTTACATGGACGTGTTTCTGAATCACGATCGGCATAAACCACCCCTCTCGACCAGAATACGATTTCTTTCCGATTGATCCGAATTGGCTCAGAATCTTCCGATCAACATGTTTACATGACGCATTTTTATTCTGATCATTTGTGCCCATGTAAATGCAGCTAGAGTTGGACATTCAAACCTTCTCCAAACTGATCCTGTGTCCTGCAGTCTACATGCTGGGGTGTTAACGGGCCAGATAGCGTAGACAACATTATAATCCTAGATGTAGAAGTAACCTTCTATGTACAGATTTTACATGGATGTAAAATGTGGTGTGGAAGCACTTTGAGTGGTCAGAGTGGACCGATGAGCCCAACAGAGATGTCACCATTTTCTATTTTTTAACAAGCAATTTCACGAGACATGAAGACAAAATCGGGACTGTGAGTAAATCTATGCTGGCATGCAGATTCACTGAGTGGCAGCCTTAATTCCTGTTTTTAGTCACACTTGAGTTTCAGTGGCTGTGGCGTGTCAGTCATCTTTATCAAACGGGTTTTTGTCACATTAGGAGTAAACTGTCGACTGTATGTTAATACTGTCTGCTAAAATCACTCCTTTTTTGGCAAATTAACACACATTTTCTGCAGGATTCTTATATTCTCTGCAGCTGTTTCTGTCAATGCTGCACCATGTTTTGAGTTGATTGATTATTGCTTTAGATTTTTTCTGAATGAAGTTAAACAGCGGTCGGCGGCTCCTTCCAGTGCAGGAGAAACGACATGTTAAAAATCATCTTTCATAAGTAAAGGGTTTGAATAATCAGACACGGCTCATAATCAGCTTCATAATATCCATTGTCTTTGTGAGGTCCTTGAAACTTTATCGTCTCAGATTGATTGAAAGAGAGGATAAGTTGATCTCCAGAGTGTAGACCAGGCGGCATCACGGGGTCAGGCAGGAGTTAAGGCCCATCTGTGGACGCAGATTGATGCTCATGTTTCTCAGCGATGTTTTATGCTTATAGAACATGTCTGCAACGAGCAAGCTGAACTGCAACTGGTAACTATGCAATTATGCCTAACTATAGCTAGTCCATCACTCTTGTTGCGGAGCCGCTCAGGGCTGTTGCCTAGTTGGTCTACAAAGGCGCTGGTACTTGGACGTTCATGAAGGACTTCAGTTTTGTAGAAAAGATTCAAAAGAGTTCCTTTGTTTTGGAGATAATGCTCTTGAATTGATTGTTTACTAACTAGCCAATTCGAAGACCTCCATAATAAAAAAAAAAATAAGATTATGCTCTGAAAATGATGCACAGTGTCCTTCAAACTAAAGAAAACCACAAGTTCTCTCAATCAAGTGTGTTAGATTTCTAAATTCAGACCAAAACCAGCTTCACATTCAGGTTGTTTCCTTGTTCTCCCTCACAAAGCCTTTCCTGAAGGTCCCAGCTCTCGCTCAGCTCCAGCTGATGGATGCCGTTTTGCAAACAGAAGCTGCTCTACGTCAAACAAACTGAATCAAGCGAAGCTGTTGACAAATTATTCGCAGCATCTTATATGCGTTCACGGCTGCTGTTTTTCTGTGGCGGCTGTTTGTTATCTTCCCCTCTCTGTGGAATAACATGCTTCAAATGTCTTTCATCCTTTCGCACACACACGTTCATGAAGGACACACTAACAGCTAATTTTTAATTCATTGCAATGGTAACAGAAGACGAGCCGTCCCTTTAGAAAAGCTAAAATATTTGTTGAAGATTACCTGTGTGTGTGTGCAGAATCCTGAGTTTGCTCCTGTAAACTTGCATGTGTTTGTTTCAGTATGCATAATTAATGGATGTGTGTATGAAGGAGAACAGCTGCCCCCTTGACTGGACTTTCCTGTGGAGGAAACTGACAGCTAACTGAATATCCTGCTCCACGCCGCCTTGCCGGCAGTTACCACATGCTTTCATCGTGCAGAAGCCAGTTTAGTGAACAAGATCAGACAACAAGAAGCATGAAATCTCTGATTTCCCCTGTGCAAAGTTTGTAAAACTCTAGATATGTGCTTCATCGTACCTGAGTGATTGTGTCTACCTGTGCTCATATGTTTCCCTGCACTTGTTTCTGAGTAGTATTTTTTTACCCTTATAAACCACAGCACACCCTCAGAGGTCCAGTGGCATTCATGTCTTGCTAGGTTTGGGCTGTTTTGGTTCTGACATGACAAAAGAGGAGGGGGTCTACAAAATATTCACCAGGTGGCAACTTTGGTGAAAGTCCAAGTACGAAAATGTCATGTGTGGATTGACTTCAGGACTGCTTCTCAGGAGGTCCAGACCTTCACTGCTGCCATCCAGAGAGAGCTAACTCGGACAAGAGTGGAAATGTTCAAGTGCCAATCTGAACATCTAAGTTGCCCAGGATTTCCACCGCATCCAGAACGGCTCTGATCCGGAATGGCGGCGATTTTCGCCTGCGCCAATTCTTGCCAGATCCGTTTGTGAGGCGAATTATGTGGTGAATTACGGACAGCAGGAATTGCGAGAACTCACAAGAACCCACGGATTCAATCGCAATCACACGATAACAAGCTGTCTTTAGCCACATAGGCTAACCATATAAGCAGTAGATTGTGTCCTTTCAGAAGAGGAAATCTACTTCTAGACTTTTAAAATAAGTATCTCCTCGTCTATGGTGTCTTAGGGGTGAAATGACGTCTAAAAACCTTTCACCTGGTCGGTGGAATACAACCCGCCTGAAACACAAAGTGTTTTATTTAGAAAAGAAGTCGGATGTTTTATTTTGTGTTTGTGCTCTACTTCTTTTCCAGCACAGGTTAGTCCTGGCTGAATTTATCCAGCATGCTCCAGCGTCTGGAAAAAACAGAACTTGTGCGATCAGCTGCGGAGTCCAGCGATCCGCAGAGCGGGGTGGAAAGAAGTCAGTGGAAATTGACACATTAACTTGAATGGTTATGATCAGCTACGATTGGCGGTTACGGCCTTTTTGTAGCAGTTCTGAATGCAGTGGAAATTGGGGGTTAGCTCCCCTTTAAAAAGCCGCAGAGTTAAACCTTGTCTGGAGTGCAAACTGTGAACATAATGGACCATTTTTGACAGAAGAAATTATTTTAAAAGTATGATGACTGAATAGAAATACTTATCCTATCACAAATACTTATGAAAGCTTATTCATGACCTGGTGAACTCCAGTTTGTGCAGATAGTAGCCTAAACAGATGAAACCACAAACACAACATAGTCAAATATCCATGTATTCACTACACTGTCTAGGTTCATAAGATAAGATAAGAAGAACTTTATGGATCCCCGAAGAGAAACTCAATAACAGATTGATTCATAGATGTTATCACAGATCACAGTAATCAGAATTTGTTTAAAAAGCCATCAGCCAATGGGATAGAAGATGGTTTACATCTCTTCGTGCTGTGCCTGAGAAGACTGAACCTTCACCCCCCAGCTCCGCATGTGAAGGATGCAGGGGGTCCAAAATAATGGCCTTGGCCTTTGAAACGGCTCTCACCTCATACAGGTGCTGGAAGTCATTAAGAGCGACACCGGTGATCTTACAGCACGGCCAGCAGCAGGGAGGATGTGAGCAAATCAACTTGATCCAAGCTGGGAACAGTGTGTCTTTTCTTTCCATTCACAAACAGGGACCGCTGTCTTAATCAGCTGGTCCTGCAGGCCTTAAAACAGTGCCAGGGCCGAACGCCAAGCGCTTTATCATAAATATGTAACACAAGCTGTGTTTACATGCACAGTTTTCCTTCAGTCTGATCCTGATTAAAGTCAAGCTAAGCCCACAGCTCTTCAGCTCAACCAAAGGATTGAACATATCAGCTGACAGCTAACCTTCCTGTCATCCAGCTGGCAAATTTCTTGATCTGATTAAAAATTCAAGGGATCAGATAATCTGAATCCACTGTATATATGGCTGCAAAAGCAAATAATCTGATCATGAGGTGCGTATACATGCAACAAGCTTTATTCAGATTAGAAGCATTTGGACCATAAACTGTATATAGAATGGGCAGCGTCTGCCTCCTTGCTGGGTGAAGACACTCTGAGAACAGCACCCTCTGGTGACGGGCTGCGGTACAGGTCATAAATCCTACCTCCGCCAACAAAGCTTATGGAGCTGTGGACAAACTTTAGAAATTTATTACACAGAATATCAATGTTTCTCCCCCCTGTTTATGATGTTGACATGTAGTTACTGTAAGATGGGTTTGTGCTCAAGTCCTCTTTTTTCTGTGAAGCTCCATTTTTAAAAGTTATTAGGGGTTCATGTTTTCTTTGATTGACACCTGATACAGCCTATTGGCGTTCAAAGATTGCGTAGCTCAACCGGGGGATATACTATTTGAGCTGAGCGTCATCACAGTGACTCTTGGCGACTCTCCTGCCGAATGCGTAGAATGCTACTGTACAATGCTGGTTCCAGGAAGTGGAGATAAAAACGCTAAATTAGCAAGAGCTTTTCAGCTTCAAATCTGTGTACTGGCGGAAGACAGAACCAAGTTGTCCATAGTATATCCAGTCTACGATTTGGACATGCGCAGAGTTGTCTGATTTCACTAAAACGACCGCAGAGGAAGAGTTGTATTTACCCCTGTGCTGTCAACAAACCAACAAACGTGGTCATGGCTCACTCTATCCAATTCAGGAGATTTCCCCTGTTGAATGTTGTCACCAGATGGCGCCTTTGCTCACTTACTTTACTGTTCCGTCAAAGGTTGCACTGTACGTGCAGATGTGACATCATTACTCTGTATGTGCGCCCTGTTATGTGACTGAAGGAGCAGACACGGCTCATAATCAGCTTCATAATATCCATTGTCTTCGTGAGGTCCTTGAAACTTTATCGTCTCAGATTGATTGAAAGAGAGGATAAGTTGATCTCCAGAGTGTAGACCAGGCGGCATCTGTCCTGAACTGACCTCAATAAATGAGCCAAAGACTAAAGAGTGAAGATCGAATCAGGTAAGAGAGTCACGATCGGAGTAAGTGTTTACATGGACGCGTTTTGGAATCATGATCGGCATAAACCACCCCTCGCAATCGGAATACAATTTTCTCTCCAATTGAGCCGAATTGAATCAGAATCTTCGGATCGACATGTTTACATGACACATTTTTATTCCGATCGGGCATTTATTTCGATAACTTGTGCCCATGTAAACGCAGCTAATGCTTTGCAATCATGTCGCTGAGTCCTGGGACTCCAAACGACTGTCTGCACGAGTCAAATTGTGTTACCTGTTGCAGTGAGAAGGGCCTCAGACTTGGCCTCTGCCTCTAGTTGCCCTTATGTTAAAAGAGCCTCATACAAAATAATGAATGGCTGTCAATGCAGGCGGTGGCCCTTGTATAAAACCTTTGAACAGGGCTCATGTTTTTTGCGGTAAGGTTAGATGAATCATTCATTCTTCTGCCCAGAAGGACAACCTTTCTTCCTTTCTTTCTTACCTACCACCCCTTTAGTCGATCAGCTCATCTGCCTCTCTGTGACTCTTCGTTGCAGTCATGACGTCAATTCTCTCAGCACAGCATTTGGCCAATTCATGCATGGCAACAGTCGAACACCTCGCAGCCACTTACGCATCATCACTTTCATGCTGGTGTACACGGCTCAATTTTGTCCAGGCTTCACCGCTCGTACTCTCTCAAGTAAGAAACCGTCAGGATGTTTCAGAGGTTGCAGCTGTTGTCCTTATCGATCAATCTAGTAACTCCTAACTTCCACATTTAATGATCAGTCTCTCAAACAGATGTTTAATTGATCCCAAACTTCGTAACAGTTCATCTCCTGTCTGGTCTGGAGCTTTTTTCTCTTCCTGGTTGTTCCTCATGGTGACGGGCAGGTCAAGAGTGACTCATTTCTTGTGAATGGCTCTTGGATGGGAATGACATGAGCTGGCACCTGCTTTTCCCCTCTTTGTTAATTAGCCTAAAACTCAGCGGATACAGAGCTGCCATTTAGAAGCTGAAAGATGTGTCTGCTATTACTTAGCCGGGTCATAAAAAGTCCAGTCCTTTGGCTGCTGTCATTTCTTACCCCAGCTGAATCAAAAGTATCGTACAGGCTGGAAACTTACTTCAGTATAGTTTCCTAACATCACACAGAGGATGAATGGTGGCACAAGCTCTCAGTCTGATGCTTTCCCTTCCTTCAACACAATTTTTCTGCCTTTCAGAAGAAGAGCACACATTCCCAGTGATGTGGCTTCAATTTATCAACTACAAAGAAAAAAAAAGCTCCCGGGCTTTTCTGCAGCTCTCTCTCATGTTGATCACAAACCACATCCTCCCTCAATTACTGTCAATCCAAATGTTATTCACATCAATCCATGACAAATGGTGTCCACAGGCACTCACATTTTTTTGATGTCACACACGGCGAAGTCGGGCCAGTCGATGTAGCACACCACACGGTCAGGGAGCTGGTCTGTGGTCGAGTAGTAGTACTGCGGGAAGGCCAGGAGCAAAGCGAGCACCCAGATCACCCCCACCACAACCTTGGTCTCTGTGGACGACATGCGCTGCTGCAGAGGATGAATGATGGCCATGTACCTTCCAGTGGAAAAAGAGGGAGAAGATACAGTCAAGAAAAAATTACCCTCAACCACACACACACAAAAGAAAAAACCACAACTAAACTGGTGCTCAAGAAAATGGTTCAGTGAATAAATCAATATCCACCTTAAGATTCAGTCGGAGTGTCCACAGTGGATTTATATTGAATGAATTCATTTTACATGAATAAGTGAATAAGTTCTTCAACAGCAGAAATTTCAGATGGAGGAAGATGACAGTAACCTGCTGTAAAAAAACAATGTCCCATAATCAGGGCTTGGCGACATGGGACAAAATTTATCATGGTACATTTTTTTTCCATATCAGTTGTTATCGATATACAGTATATTATATGAAAAATAAAATTTAACAGTGCTCATTTGTAGCATGTTTTTTGCAATACAATAAGCTACTGCATCTGTGAGGTCTTTGTGTCTCTTTGACATTTTGTCGTAAAGCATTGCTAGAGAAAGCGGACTGAATGGTCGACTGCATGGTTCGGATGCACAGGCGTCGTGGGCTCCTTGCTCCGCTCGGGGTTTGTAACCTTTTGCACTGTGCGTGCTCTGTTGTGTGGTGCTGCTTCAGGCAGTGAAAAAGTTTTGAGGTATACCTCGACTTTGCGAGAACATGTACTCGACATAATTTGCATATTTCTCTGCTTCATGTCCAACCTAAAAAAAAAAACAAAATACCTCCACACCACCGATATTTTCGTGCCAGTGTTGTTGACGATGTTGTCATCGATGGGGGTGGCACTCATTTTCTTTTTTTTCCTCACCAACAGTGCTGTCGGTTTCACCTGTTAAAGTGTTACAGTTGCGTGTAGCTGCTGTCTGCTACTATGCAGTTATTTGCTAGTTGGTTCTAATTCAGCACAATTGGTTCAGCCCAAAGCGGACCTGGAGCAACTCCCCTTTTCATTAGCTATTCCAACTATTGAAAAGCATATTGACCATGTTTTATATTGATATCAAGGGAAAATTAATTTTTGATATATATCGTTATTGTTTTATCACCCAGCCCTACCCATAATAATGTATGTGTGGCATCTTCTTTCAACCCTCACATCTCTTTCATGAACACTTCAGCTCTTAGAATATAGATGGTCATGATGATGTAGATGACAGATTCCTATCTTTCATCATCATCATGTTAAAGATGATGATGATGAAGAGCACTATGATAATGATGATGAAATTGAGGTTAATTAGGAGTATGAATGATGAGTGATGTTACTGTTGCCGTGGGTGATGACGTTAATTATCAGAAATGAAAATGAAAGCCTCTACACACAGTGTGCTCTTTCTCCGGCGCTGCAGGTCGCTAAGTGTCCAATTTGACTTGACTGTCCATATTCCTACTCTTAGATGTGCTCTGAGCATGAATGGGAAGAGGACTTTTTTTTTCTACAGCACTTTCTCTATTCATCTGACCACTCAAAACCCTTTTACATTACATGTCACATTCACACCTCATTCACCCACTGATGGCAGAGACGGCTATGTGAAGCACCATCAGTTTTTGACTTTAGTTCCATTCCCACTGAGTGCAACCAGCAGAGGTAGCCTGGGGTTAAGAGACGACCGACTCTGAGCCGAAACCACCCCAGCTCACTGAAACTGAGACATTGTGACACAGTAATGTCTTATTAATGGACAGATTAAAACTAACAACCCTCGCCACAGCCCAAGCTAATTCCCTCCAAATGCAGCTCATCACTGGAAAAAGCAACGCCGATATTAGGAGGCATTGGTCTCTCGGCCCGAGGCGGCACTACATTAAAAACAGACACGACTTTGAAGAGAAAAAATCATTTTGCTGGCTCAGAATTGTCTCTAAAAACCTCTGTGTCTGAACTCAGCTCATCTCTGCATCCACAAAGGCAGGTTAAAACTGTCCTGTGCAAAGATGAAACTGTACATGTCTAACCTTGAGCTCCATGCTCACACAAAAACAGAGCTGAGGAGTGAACTATCAAGATAGATTAAAGGGAAAAATCAAGTCTGTACATGTTGAAGTCAGAGTTTTACAAGTCATGATACTGACTCTCTGATAGACCACCAAGCCTACTGAGCAGAGCATCTTTGGTCTATAACCAGTTACATTCAGAGGCTGACAAAAGCTTTGTTTGAGTAATTATGACATGCCAACACTCTCTCTCAGGTATATGATATAAACACCAACCATAACAATAGGAACACCTGGTCAGTCTATATTCATATCTGAAGACAGAGAGGATGGTCCTGCTGTACTGGAGCACGTTACATTTAAATGTGTTCCTTATATTTTGTCCACTCTATTAACAAACATGAAGGATGCAAAATAACAACAATTAATTCTGTGTTTGTTCATTTCCAGACCATTAATGAAATAACCTTGTGAATAACACTACCCCTCTAGCTTGCATGCTAATCAAGAAGCTGTATTATCATGACAGTCAGGTTTGCTGTGGCGAATAAATAGATAAATAAATAATGATAGAAAGTAGTTGATATATCAATAAGTGCAGCTTTTAGTTGAATAATCTTATTGACATGGTTGATGAATGGTGCATCACACAGGACACACCTTAAATCACAAGAGATGAATTATTTTCTCTATCTCTATTTGTGCAATTCCACTATTATTGTAACCAAAGTGTAAGATGCTAACGCTAAAGCAGGGGTGGGCAATCATGTGCCATGGAGGGCCGAGAGGCTGCAGGTTTTCTTTCCAACTCAAAACTCCACCAGATGATTTCACTGATTACCTTACCTCCAAGCAGAGAGCAGGGACTAATCAGTGAAATCACCTGATGGAGTTTTGGGTTGGAAAGAAAACCTGCAGCCTCTCGGCCCTCCATGGCACATGATTGCCCACCCCTACTCTAAAGAGTGATAAGTTCATGTGATTACAGCTCCTATCTTCAACAGCTATCTAAAGCAAATACTTGTTAATCTTTATTTGATTGAATTAACTACAAAGACAAGATATTTAATGCTTACTCTGATCAACTTTTTTTTTTTTTTGCAGATATTTACTCACTTTAAACTTGATCTCTGCAACTCATTCCAAAAGAGTTTGGACCAGATCAACAAAAGTCTGAGAAATAACTCCAAAAACACCCGTTTGGATCATCCCACAGATGAGAGGGTTAATTGGGAACAGGTGAGGATGATGACTGGGTAAGAATGGGGCCAGGTTCACCACGCGTAAAGGGAAATAGTCCAACAGTTTAAGGACAACTCCTGTCAATGTACATATTGTGATTATCCAAACAAAATTAGTCACTGAGAGGGGAATACAAGGATCTTTCTGGCGCACTGAATCCAAGAAGGAAGCATGAAGTTTTTAGTGCAGCTCTAAGATATTTATTTTCTCTTTCAATAAATCAAATTCTAAAACATGTATTTGATGTAGATTTTCATTGTCAAAAGGAAAAAAAAGGTTTAGCGGTCAACAGAAATATGAGCACCCTGCCTCCTCTCTCTCTGAACCAGGCAAATAATTTACAGGCAGGCACAGGTGACATCCATTTGACAATCAATCAGCCCCAGTGAGACACACACACACACACACACACACACATTACCTCTAGTGACAAGCAAAAAAGAAAGCAAATCCCTGCCTCTACGGTACAATTGCAGGAATTTCTTGATTCCGTCATCTACAATCGTCCAAAGATTCAGGGAATCCAGAGAAATCTCTGCACGAAAACAGCAAGGCTGAAAACCAATATTAAATGACCATGACCTTTGACCCCTCAGGCAACACTGCATTAAAAACCTGCATCAATCTGTAAAGGATTTTACCACATGGACTCAGGAACTCTTGAGAAGACCATTGTCAGTTCACACAGTTCATCTCTACATCTCCAAGAGCAAGTTCAGACTTAACCTTCAAAAGACAAAGACAGATATCAACAACAGCCAGAAACACCACCAGCTTCTCTGGACCCGAGCTCATCTGAAGTGGACTGATACAAAAAGGAAAAGTCTGCTGTGGTCTGACGAGTCCACATTTCACATTGTTTTTAAAAATCATGGACGTGGTGTCCTCCGTTTAAGAACCATCCAGATTGTTCTCAGGTCAAAGCTCAAAGTCAGCATCTGTGATACGGGGGTGTGTCTGTGCTCATGGCATGGCTAACTGTGACAACTGTGAAGGCTCCATTAATGCTGAAAGGTGCATAAAGGTTCCGGAGCAACATATGCTGCCATCCAAGCCACGTCGTTTTCAGGGACATCTCTGCTTATTTCAGCAAGACAAAGCCGAGACACTCTCTGCACATGGGTTTTTTCCACTCTGAGACGACAATGACACAGAATCAAACGATGAAGACGCCCTCACATTATATTTTAATAATGATTTCTTTTTCCAGTGAACTTCATGAAGGCTAGTATTCAACACAGTGGACCTAATTAACAGTGGATCAGTTATTTTGCCTTAAGGAAACTGCATTAGGTACCACATCCTTCAAAAATGAATCTAAACCCAGTCAGTGTGGAGTTTTTGTCCAGAAACATTATACTGACATGTAAATTACAGTGACAGCGGATAGCTCTCTCTATTTTAAATGACGACTCCCACCCTTTACACAGCGAGTTCTAGCTTCTTCCCTCTGGACGGAGGTTTCTTTGTTCCTGCTGCTATTATTGAAGTGAACAAGTTGTAGAGATTTTGCACATAATTTTGCACAATTAGCACATACTGCGGAGGTATTATTTACTTACTTATTTATGTTTGTTTTAAACTTGTTTTTACATTGGTTTGTATCCAGAGGTTGTTTATTTGGGTTATTTTTTTGCATTTCTTTATGTATTGATGTTTTTCTCCCTCTCTTGTGTCCTGACTGGGGAGCCTTGGGGTGCTTTTATCATATGTTCTGTTTTGTGGTTGTTTTATATTTGTACTGTAACTTGTATAAATGGACGTCATCGTTTTATTTCACTGCAGAACAAATCTACCTTCGGGTATTAATAAAGTAACTTGAACCTGAACCTGAAATTTGAAAATTGATGGCAAATAAATTTTGCAAAATTCACACTGAAAGACAAGCTCCTTGCTTTGTCATTTCACAGTTCTTTATTTGCCATGTCTTTTTTAAAAATCAAATTTAATTAAATTTATTCATAATTTGTTGAGTTTTGTAACAGGATGTAAAGAAAAATTAAAGGGATATCACACCAAGTTTTCTGCAACTGTGCCAATTAAAATCAATCAATTCACCTGGCACCATTAAAGTTCATTAAAGTTATGCAGCTGTAACCAAATGAGGAGAAAAAAAGTTAAGAGGGATCTTTTTCTTCATTACATCTCTCCAAACTGTTGAATTCCTTCACATGCTCTGAACCATAAATCTCAAGGATAACCACATTGCCTCGAAGTTATTATCTCAGATGCAACAGACGGTGAAACCCTCATCCTACCTGTCCAGGGCGATGGCAGTCATCGAGTAAATGCTGGCAAAGACGGCTGCGATCGGAAAGAAGTTGTGGAAGCGGCAGTAGACCAGTCCAAAATACCACTCATTGTGCACGGCGTAGATGAAGTTAATGACCGTGTTGAAGGCGGACATGGAGGCTTCGGCGAACGCGAGGTTCAACAGAAAATAGTTTGTCACAGTCCTCATGCGTTTGTGCGCCACGATAATCCAAATCACAATCACGTTACCCACCACAGACACGATCACTATACAGCTGTACGCAGTGGCCCAGAGGATGATTCTCCAGGCTGGCTGAACAAACTGGTTCCAGTGGTCGGTCCCGTTGTTGGTGTCGTTGGAGCTGATGGTTAAAGGTGAAATGCCCGTGGTGTTGAATAAAGGATCCATCCCACTTGAGGATAAAATAACTCCTTACGCATCAAAGTTAAAGATCCTGCAGCAGGTTGTCCACCTAAGATGTTTGGAAATGCGGAAATCACAGAAGAAATTTCAGAGACAGTATCTGACCACTCCAGAAATGTCGACACTTTTCAGCACATATCCACTCGATGTCATCAAATGTGTGATCCTCTGACTTGTCCAGCGTGCCTCTGCCTCCTCTCCCTCAGCTGCTCTACGCCTGTCTTCTGCTCCTCCGCCTTAATAAACTGCTGCACAGCAGCTGTGGAGCGTACCTCCGCGCACCCAGTCAATGCGCACTCTCAGTTTGCCTTTGGTTCTTAGATGGATGATAATCATAAAAATGATAATTGAGCAAAAAATGGGTCGTATAGTAGAAGAAACCTTAATTTTTTAACGTCATTCCTCTTAATAAGGTTTAATCTCCAAATTCAAATGACCATGATGCTAATTAGGTTTGGGCACCTGGGTTTAAAAACCAGTAAACCACTCACCATCCTCTCATGTGGCTCTGTAATGTATCAGGAGACCTCATAGAAAGGGAAGACAGTCCAGGGGCTGATCCAAGAGGTGCCCCTGCCCCACCCTGTTCCCATTGGATTGGCGAACCCATTGGCCACCTCAAAATCCTAAACCATGACAAACTAGAGGTCAGAACAAAGAATGGATTATTGACCTTGGTCAGTTATATGGGCCAATATTCTGCTTTTAGATGATTGTCCGTACCACTATTCAATAGCCAATGTATCACATAATAATACTAATTTTCAGGTCTGACTTATAGACGGGTTTCTTGTGTACAAACAATACTAGGTGTGCGTGCAACCATGAGGCAAAAGCCTGTTTCGGAGTGAACTGATATCAATGAAGATGCCATATTGTTTGCAAGTTCTCCCTGACATCATTGCAATAAAATGTCATTTCATTGAAAAATCATTTTGTCTTTCATTGCATCAAAATCAGAAAAACACTTGACACGCTGAAACACGCTGAAATATCCATGAATTTCACTCAATCTACCAGATTGTGACGTTGTTTTAGATGTTTCTAATATCAGGAGCGGGGTCATAACGTTTGCCGATTGTTTGTTTTGCTGATTCGTGTAGTTCACAGCACAACAGCTCTTTGTCATTTCCTTTCTCCGTTGACTCCGCGAGTAAACAAATAAGAAATGTTTCGCTGTCTGTGCAACGTCATCGCAAGGCTGCGCACGCATACCTGCGTTGACGTTGCACAGAAACCCATCTGTACTGCAGCAAGAATGACCTGGTTAAGACAGCAGTGCATGATGGTCACAGACGGAAACAGTAAACGTGTTCAAATTGAATAACTGCAAATAATGACAGAGTTTGATTGTGATCAATCTTATGACTGAAGCAACTCCCCAACTCCAGCAGCTTTTAACTCCTCCTATGGTTAGGTAAACACGACAACTACAGTATTACAGAAACTGGTTAGCATAGAAAACATAGGGTTTCATGAGTGATGTATTAACACCAATGTTCACAAGTTTCTGGGAGATAAAAGTCTCTAAAGGGTTTTGTCATTTCTGACATTACTGGTCAATGGTGTTTATTAGTAACTTAATCTTGTTTTGTTAAATAAAATCAAAATGTCGTCAGAATAGTGCAGGTTCCACCTGTAAACATGTTGTTATGGTGCTTTTGCATGCAAGCTATCACACAATATGTTCTCATGCTCTCCATTCATCAGTGGGCTCGGTGTTAAGAGTCAGTTGTTGCTCCATCAGAAGGTTGGGGGTTTGTACGCATGCTGAGGTGTCAAGAAGAGTTGTATCTTGTCATATCTGAACCTTTTTATCTAGTTAAGTTAGGTTCATTATTACAGTCTTTGATTTGATTTCAAGATTTTTAATATTCATCCTCTCTTTTATTACATTTCAAAGTATAAAAGACAAAGCTGTAAGTTGAGGGTTTTACTTTCAGGGTTAACTCTTTTAAAGTACTTAAGTAAATGCTCCACTTCTCTTCCAGAGAACTGCAAAGCTTGATCGTTCTGGCGAATATCAAACATTCCTATAAACAGAAGTCTGTACAACAGAGCAGGATTTCCTATGAAAGCAAGTGTCAGGTTCATGTGAATAAACAATCGGCTAACGATGCAGCATGACTGTTTAACATGAAAAAGACAAACAGGAAAAAGACACTTTGTTTACAGGAGGTAAAACTTATCATGTGGCACAAGCAGAGCCGACTCAAGCCTCAATGGGGCCCAAAGCAAAATGTGATTTTGGGGCCCTCTATTTCTGCCAATAATATTGATTGTTGATCTTTCACATACCTTCACAAATGTCTTTAACATTCTATGGCATGCAAACATAGCTTTATCTTGCCGTTTTTCCTCTTCTTCCTCTTTCTTTCTCTCTTTTCTCTGCTCCTGAAGAATATGTCCTTTTTTGCGACATTGATTTACCTGTGCTTTGAATACTCAGTGCACATTGCACATCAGAAGGCACATAACGGTAGCGGGGCTTTGACATATCGGCAGCAAAAATCATAGGCCTACATCAACACCAGCACTATATTTTTTTTACTTTATTTTATTTTGTTTTTACAATAATATATATTTGATCATACAGAAAGCATCACTCATACGTGCAAAAAAAAAAAAATTTTTAATCTTTTATTATTTTTTTTGATTGCTCTTGGGGGCCCCCTATTGGCCGCGGTGCCCTAATGGACAAAACCCACAGGATCCGCTCTGCTCCGGCACGGCGGCGGATCAAATACGCAAGCATTATAATCAATGAATCAGATACGCAAGACTTCTATTTTTGCCGGACGCCAGAGCACAGCGCATCAAGTCAGTGCAGCGCAGCACGAACAGCAGCGGAAGTTGCATGCAGTTACAGAGTAAAATATCTGGTTAATTTTCAAAATAAAATAAAGTCAATACATTGAACTGTTCTGAACTTGATAATAGGAAGGGGCCAGGGTTGTGGGGCGTGAGTGTTTATATACACTGATCGGTGTATCTCATTCTTTGACTCCCGGGGAAACACACGAGAGCTCATGAGTCAAGTCTGGCAAGATATATCAGTAATCTTGCGAGCGCTTCTCCTCCGATGGCGGCGGCAGATTGGAACCGGTGGGCACTGTATGCTTGCGGATCTGATTCGCCTGCCGGTCCGAAACGGAGTGGAGCCATTCTGGATCCTGTGGGTTTAGCCAGTAAGCAGGCGCTTGGTTTGCTTATGCCTTGGGCCGGCTCTGGACACAAGCTCTTGTTCCCAATCATTAGGGAGTGATCTAGCCTATTTGACCCAAGTGTTTACACCATGTTTTTTTTTTTAATTGGTAGATTTTTCTTCATAGGTTTTCAAACAATTGAAAAAATAAAAAAGACTCATGGCCTAGCTGTTTAATTTTATCACAACACACAGAGATGAACTGAGGTGACAGAGCGTCGAGGTTGTGTGCACTGTCCCTTTAAGAATGTAGTCAAAACAAAGCGTGGACCAACCGGCCGTACGGAAGTGGTTGAGTGTCGGTGACCACCCACAATAGTGTGTTCGAAATGAGGGCTGCTACACATTTAAAATACAGTTAGCTCCCATGAAATTGTTTTTTTATTATTTGATAACACTAATTTAATGTGTATTTATGTAATTTTGACATCGGTTGAACCAAACTGAACCTAGCTAGCTTGCCTGTTATCTGGCTTTACGCATCCAAGCAGCCATGCCGTCTTACTCTGAATTGAGGAAAACCAACTACTTCTACTACTTCATCAAATTTACTTTAAATATATACTCAATGCTCTTCTCGGTAAGTGTCTGGAGGTTTTTTAACATTAGAATACCATGTGCCATAATTAGTTTACTTGAGCTGTAACAGTCGGCTAATGGTTGTGGAGGCAACCGGTAGCGTCGATGTGCCTGTTCACGTACCTCCTTCATAAAATCACGCATTTAAATATATTCTTATGTTACAGACAAATACTCGCATTTTATAAGTTGAAAGGGACACATTATAAAACTATAAGATATACTCTTGTTATCGGCTCAAACACAGACCAACGACAATGACTTTTTCGTTCACACTTTTGATTTTGAAATAAGATTAGCATTTCACTTAAGCGACATCCTAGCTCAATGGTGCCGTAGGATGCTACTGAGAATGTGTGAGATGTTACAGCCATGTGCTTGATAAAATGCTTTCCAAAATTGAGAAGACATTGAAACGTACAGAATAGTCGCCAAAAAATACCGGATTTTGGTTTACATTTGCTTTTCAGCGGTGCATTTTCCTTTGCTCTTAAATTGCTGTATTTTCCAAAGGGATTTGGTGTGGTGCTTTGCATTCAAGCTAGCTGCTGAATGGTTAGCGTACGACTGTCATCGCCCCTTGAGACAATATAAAGCCTCCTATATTCAAAGCTATTGTTTGTGCAGATGCTTTGTGGAGGTCTAATGACACAGCTCTGAGATATTTGGATTTACATCTTTTTCTTTAAGACATTAATGACCATTTGCTCACAAACACCACGGTGGTGGTGCAGGGCGTTGGATCCAGTTAAAGGGGCGACAGTGTGCGCAAATTGTTTAGCCGACAGATAATATTTTAAAGGCGTTTTTGTTGATTAGTCGACCTGTCCAAGCTGATTATAAGATTATGATCAATCACGTAGCTTCTATTATTAATATGTTATCCCCTGAACATGTATATGATTCATACATACAAATCCATTATCTAAAATCCTTATTTTGCCAATAAGAAGGTTGCTTGTGAACAGTTTTACATCTTACTTTGTTTTAAATTAAGTTCCTACATATTGATTTCATTAAACAGTAACGTTAATGAGCCTCTAATGTATTTGTCAGTAATGTGACATTCAACTGCGCACTATTTTTTGCAGCGTTAATGATTGAAAGTACTAACCTTTGAACCCTTGCACTGAACATGCCAGGTCTTATCCTGACAATGATCAATCAGAATGTCCCACATCTATCTATCTATCTATCTATCTAGCTATCTATCTATCTATTTTATCTAATCTAATCTACCAATTACATTTTTTCTGAGGCCAGTGCCAGTACTGATTATGAGAGAGCAGGCTGGGCGATGTATAAACCTGATACCGTGTTTATTGTTTTTCTCCTTTTTTAGCATTTGACAAATACAAAAAATTAAAATTACTGACAAATGACAAACAAAATTGTCAAACTTGAGTACATATTTTATTAGATACATGGAAATGGATAAACATTTGGCTCTTTAAAATATGCCAACATGGGTCTTTTGAATTTCTGAACAGCTATCTGAATTATTAAAACTTAAAAATAATACATAATACAAGTAATTTACTGATTAATTTTTTCCATAAAAATTAAAACAAATTGCTGATTTTGCTGTCAAAACTTTACCATCTTACTTTGTATATCATGAAGTAAAGAAGTGATCTGTCTTGAGTTGAGATTTTTATGTCTGTATTGTCAGAAACTTCTTACGTTTTACAGGAAATATATCTCAACAGTCTTGTTTATTGTTCAGAACATGAGACACTATTAATCCCTCTCTTTCCTCCTCTCTTTATAGCTAATGGGCCTTTGTGTACTATGTGTGGGGGTTTATGCTGAAGTAGAGAGGCAGAAGAATCGAACCCTAGAGGGGCTTTTTCTGGCTCCTGCTGTGGTTCTCATCCTGCTGGGCCTGGTGATGTTTACAGTATCAGTGGTGGGCATGGTTGGATCCCTTAGGGACAATAAAACTCTGCTTCATATGGTAGGAATAACAGATCCCTCTGTGCATGCTTTTCATTCAAAGAAAGTATTGAATGAGATATTGATTCAGGCTGATAACAGCTTTAAAATGAAAAAGTCACATTTGATTTTCATGGCTTGTATTTTTATTGTTATGACAGTAGTTTTGTCAGCGTTGATGCATCAGTGTTTTGTAATTATCATTCATCAAACTGTGTGTTTATTTGATCTCCCTCTGCAGTTTCTCTGTGTACTCTGTGTATTGCTGCTTCTTCAGGCGATTGCACTCACCACAGCGCTCATCTTTGAAAAGAAGGTAAATGTTCGTTCTTCCTGTACACCCCTTCACCTCACGTCAGGACGCCACCTCTTTACTTTCTCTCTGTCTAGCATCATTTTTCTGAGTCCTGTTTTCCTCTTTTTCTTTGTCAGACATCTGCCTTGTTTCAGAGCAGTATAAGAGAAGGAATCAAACACTACTATGATGATCTGGACTTTAAAAATATCCTGGACTATGTGCAACAAAAGGTAGGCTGATGTGTCACCTGGAAAAAATACTCACTATACTTTTTCTATTTTCGACAAGAGGCTTTTTCAATGTTCTGCATGCAAGAAAGTGCAACTGAACTAAAGGGTAAACAGGGATGTGGATCGCACATAGTCCTGTTTGACTTACTGGGATGTTAAATGAGTTTATTTTGTTGTTTTTAGAGGAAATGGTTCAAACTCGCTTGTTTCGTTTCTCAGTTTTCTTGTTGTGGGGGAGACGATTTCAAGGACTGGGGTGTCAACCAGTATCATTTCTGCAATGGTACTGGTCCACTGGCCTGTGGGGTACCATATACCTGTTGTGTTCGCCATAAGGTGAGTTCTGATGCATATAGAGCGACTTTTTTTGTGTCTGACTTTGTTCATGCACAGAGGTTATGTAGAGCACCCATCAGTATCAACTTATCCCATTGAGCGCAGCTGGTGGGGGCTGGTTCGGGGTCAAGTGTGGTGTTTATCTGATGTTAAATACACACAGAAGTTTTGTGATGACAGTTCCCGGCACTTTTGGCCACAAGCTGCATTCTTTTGTCCAGAGTAATGAAGGCATGCTGAGGCGACACTCGTGTAAACCCATAAACCTCACTGTGACGAGTATATTTGGGCTCGCTATTGAAGAAAATGACGCCCTTTCTTTAGGATATTAATTTGTTAATGACCCTAGAGTTTCCATTCACTCCCATTTATTTTAGGACTGCTTTCTCTCTAAAGGGGACTCAGGGCAAAGTCCTCAGATGGATCTAGAAACGTTTAAGAACCTTGTGAATACTCTTGTCTCCAAGCTGTAACCAGAAGTTGGCTTCCTCCGGCACAGAAACAAATTCTCTTTTCCGTTGTTTAGTTAAAAGAGAAGTGTTAAAGCAGTGACCTTAGCAGTTATGGATTATTGGGATGTAATTCAGATATACAAACCGACAGCATGTCTTAACTGCATACAAGCTTCACAGGCAGCATTTCATCATGTAGCAAAGCGTGCTCCACACTTCATCTGTTTTAGTGCAACATGCTGATTAAATTCTTTTAACATCACTACAATTACTCTGTCTGAAAATTGTTGCCTTGCTTCGTATTCTAGAATATCTGCATCCTCATCACATTGAATTATCATGAGCAGTGACCTGTTATACTTGGCTGTAAACAGGACAGTTTGTTTACATAAAATACAAGGCATGAAAATGTGAATAATACAGAGCGAAACATGCTGGATCTGCTTGTCCCCTCACTCATCATCTGTCTCCACTGTGTTATTTTGAACAAACAACATGTGATATGAACACAGAATCATTTTTGTATGCTAATGCTCATTACCTGCAGCAGTTCCATATGACTTTCCATCACAACCTCATTAAAACTGAGTTTTTGAGCCTAAATGACTCATTTCATTGATCTGTATAGGTCCAAAAGTCCGCCCACCCTAAACTAAACTTGGTTTATCTGCCTTTTATTACAGCGTATTGAGAGAGGGTTATGGTCTCCTCTCTGTTGATCTTAAAAATAGAGTCTGTTTGATATTGAAGCTGTTAATCGATTTCATCTTTTCTTGGAAACACTTACGCTCTTATACTCACCCCTGTACTCTTAAAATCATATTTCCTCATGGTTTTAATTCTTGTTAAAAACATTTTCTGACTTTTCTTCTTTTTACTCAACAGGTAGGAGAGGTCATCAACACTCTGTGTGGTTACAACACTCTGAATGAGCAGGTAAGGAAGAAAAGCAGCTGTTTTCTCTTGTTGTATTTTCTTTATATATCTTCTTGTAGACATGCACAAAGTTCCTAAAACCATCCTGAAGTTATCCAGGAAGTGAAAGAATAAACCAGGCTTTTAATCACCGCGCTTGATCTGCAGCAGACTTTTGACCTGAATTCTCAGATGTCTTATCATCATTATTTAATAGCTGAAGTAGAATAATTTAAACAGGGGAATTTGAGATCCAGGTTGACAAACTCTCTGATGCCTCTGCTAAGGAGTGTCTTATGTTGTTGGCTCCACACATAAATGTGGCACCCGATCTACAACAAACCTGTTCATCATTTGTGTATTTTATTTGACAGAATATTTTCTTCCAGTTTTTAAAATACCAGACATTTCAGCAAATGTCAAAATTCTCAGACTCTGAGTCAATAATGAGCGATTTTAACCTCCTCTGCACATCCACTTTAGAGCGTGTTTTTCCTTTTAAACCAGAATCTATCTGCTGTGAAGTATGGGAGAGAAAGATTCTGAATCTTTAAAGGGTCTACATAAAATATGCTGCCATCACCCTGGAAGCCAAACAGTGGTTCAAGGGTCTCATTGTGTTCAGGGACAGTAACTGTAAGGTAGATCAGGCTGCACAGCTCGTCTGTTGTCAGGTGGGATTGGTTTGTCACGACGGTCTGGACACATGATCACATCCTCTTCATGAGTTTTGGTTAAGAATCAAAGTGTATAGCTCGTCAGTCAAAACTGACACAATAAGCAAACTCTGATAAGCAGGTGCAGTTGCTTCCTTGTCACCTCTTCCTCGCTTTGTGTCTACATCAATTCAGACACACAAAGTCCGACTAGATGAAAGTGAAAGAAACTCTGGTTTACATTCATGTTGTTTTTCTTTGGTGGGCGTGTTTTTGTGTGTGTCAGCGTGAAACTCTGCACGAGCTGATCCACGTCAGAGGCTGCATCCACGCAGTCAACCTCTGGATGAGCGACAACATCGGGATAACTGTCGCTCTCTGCTGCGCCGTCGGGCTTCCCCAGGTAATTTAAGATTCATAGCACCCACTCACACTGTACTCTAGATAAATTTTCCTTTCCTTCAAACAACAATTTTTTTGACTAAGATGGAAAATATGCCAATGTTTTATTAAAAGGGTTTGATTTAGTACTTGAGGAAAAGTTTTGCATTTTGGAAATCTTGTGCTACTTTGTGTTAAATAGTTTAAGTTCAGAGATTTAAATAATCATCTGTATCAACATCCTGTTTCCTCCCTGCAGCTCCTGGGAATCATCCTGAGCTGCGTCTTCTGGAACCTCTTGGTGGATATGAGCGAGTCACCTGACATGGTGGACTTCAAGCTGAAGAAGTCTGAGGTCAATTACAGCGAGCTGGACCTGGCAGGGGCCGGCTGGTGTATGTGTCTGCCGAGGGATGGTGGCTACCTGCCGGTCCCGGCCTCAGAGCCTGAACTGGACCCCATTGACGTTCATCTAGAGAAACTCAAAAAGCAGCCGCCTCGCACACACGCTCAGCTCCGTGAAATGCAGCAGTCGCGGTCAGCTACTGGGCTGGACGAGGTAGACGTTGGTCGAAAGCTGAAAAGGGAACACTAAGCTGTCTTTTTGCCTTTTGGGTTTTTTGCCTTTTTTTCATTGTAAACAATTATCGAGTTGTGGTGCATTATATAATGATTGCTTGGTAAGTCGTCGGAACAAGAGACACTCAGTCAATGAAGATATCAGATGTTATTGGGCACTCTATGCCAAATTTACGACTGTGCAACATTGGGCTGATTGAAAAAAAATCCTTTTTTTCTTGTTTGTAATGGTAAATATTTGAATTACACTTTATTTATTTTTAGCCTTTATAAATTGAGATGTATCTCATGTGCTGAAGCGTACCTCAGGCTGTTGAAACAAGCCCAGTAGTCAGAGCACAGTCTGTGGTGTATTAAGTCATGGTAGCTTGGAGATGTTTTTAAGTGTCTGAGATGTAGGATTAGCCAAGTTTGTCTTGAGTGTAGCATCTGTGTCAGGTGTGTACAGTTAGTGCATTACTTTATTTTATCATGAGTTTGATTTTGAATTTGATTTTGTGCAATCAAGTGTACAGTGTAAGACTGATAGTTGGTGAATAACATGGGATGCATGTTTTGTACTACATATAAAGAAAAGAAAAAAAGAAGTTTACATGTTAGGCTCTCATCCGGGGAGGCTTTAGTCTTTTTCCATTTTTAAATTAAACTTGTTATTCCATCTCTAAATGTTCCAGGCGAAGGGATCATCCAAACTATAGACCCGATGGAACGCGCACCTCAAATCTTTTTTTTCTTCTTCTTCTTCTTTTTTGGTATTAAACTTGTGCACTGTTTTTAGCTTCCCTTTGCTGCTGCCTTGTATCAGCACTACTATCCTTGTCAATAAAGCCGAATTTGTGTACTGGTTTTCACGCTGAGTTTCTGCTAAGCATGTTGATTTAATGGAGACTTCCATCAATGTTATAATCATGCTGAAATATTTATCAGCCTCTAGAGATGGTTTTACTTTGAATAGGCTTGATTTAAAGGTACCCTATGCAGTTTTCTTGTAAATAAATAAACATTTGCAGTCCCTATTTGGCACATTACATATTTGCGTAGATCAATCAAACAGCGTCTCCACCATGTCAAACACGTAAGTGGTGTGAAACAGGGAATCTATTATAGAAGTAAAATGTCATAGCTCTATTTTCTTGTCAAGCTTTGCATCAGCTCTACTCTCTGCTTTAAAACCTGTGCAGTTTTTCCAGAACTTACCTGAAGAACATCAAACTCTGTGACCCTCAAACCCAGAACCTCAGGTCAGATGTCTTGTTGTTAAAAAGCTGCATCTAGATTATGGTGACCGTACGTCCTCTTTTACCCGGACATGTCCTCTTTTGTCCGGGAAAGTTTATAATATCCTTCAAATGTCCACGGTTTTGTACAGTTTTTGAGTTTGTGTAACATGGACTTACTGAGTTAGAGGCGTGTAAAAGACACTGGATCTGACTCGCAAAACTCAAAATTCACTGCGTGACTCCGCCCCTGCGTAGTCGTGTCCTCTTTTTGGGAAGTCAGAATATGGTCACCCTAATCTAGATACTTTCCTTTATGTTTGTGTGGATGTCTTTTCAGTATTTATTTAAACATTTGCATTTCTGACCACAAAAATTTTTTCCTTTTTTTTGCAGAGGCACACTGGATTATTCTTAATGTGCCCACCACACTGCAACATCTCTCTATTGCCACTAGAGGCCAGGCAGGGTTTGTGAAAAACTACAGTATGCAATGAAAACCTTCACTGTTGCACTTCAAGGATTCAGGTACAGGTACCCTCCTGCCTATTTATCCTTTTTTAAGAGTCTAAACTCTCAGCAGCACCTCTCCTGATTTGTGCTTCTAATCCACTGAGCTGACTCTTCTCCTCACTAATTATCTTGGTCTCCATTACTCTGAGAGTTTGCACAGAACGTGAAGAGGAAAAATAAGTAAAAAGTAAATTGTAATTAAAGTACTGTGGAAATTGCTCTGCAGCTGCAACACAGGAAGGGAGCAGAGTTCTGTGAAGTTGAAATGTATGATAAAAAACAATTTACAGTGATGATCAAATCTTTTCCCGCCTATATTTAACTGAATTCTCTCCAAAGACAGGATATTTAATGTTCAAACTCATAAACTTGAATTTGAATTTTATCGCTGCAACATGTTCCTAAGAGGCTTGGATGGCAGAAGTGTCCTATCCTGCGGTCGTTACTAAAGTTTGTATAACTAGAGAAGCAAGCAGTCGACAACATTCATCTCTCAAGGGGGTGTCTAACTCAGTGTTGCGGTGTGTTTGGTCCTAACTTTATTTTACACTGGAATATCCCTTTACATGACAATCATTTTCTGAAGTCCTCCTCAGTCCACGTAGTAAAATCCTTTACAGACTAACGTGGGTTTTTACTGCCCGAGGGGTCACAGGTCACCTTGCTGCTCACCTGCAGATATTTCTCTGGATTCTCTGAATCTTTTTAATTATATTATGGATTGTTGATAATGAAATCTCTAAATTCCTGCAATTGTATGTTGAGAAACATTCTTCTTAAGATGTTGGACTGTTTTCTCCCACAATTGTTCACAAAGTGGTGAACTTTACCCCATTTTTGCTCATGAAGGACTGAGCCTTTCAGGGATGCTCCTTTTATACCCAATCATGAAAATCCCCTTGAGCAGTCCTCAGTAAACCCAATTTTTAGCTGACCCTGTCCAAACCTTTAAGGAACCTGTTGCAGCAAATCAAAATGAGTGAATATTAAAAATAGATAAATAAATAAAGTTTATCAGTTTGAGCATGAAGTGTTTTGTCTCTGTTGTGCATGAAAATGATTCAAATTGGGGTTAGTATTTAAAACAGACTCTTCAGATGGACACGTTTGCTTAAATTCAAGTCATTTTTCTCAAATCACCTGAATTCAGTGTGCAGTTGAGTTCACTGAGCATTCCTCTTTCTGATTTATTTGGGTGTGTTTGGAAACCACAGTGATTTATAAGTCTTAAATTAAAGTTAACGATGATTTATCAAACACACATTTTAATTACCAAACACTGAAGCACTGCAAAAATCTCGTGGCTCCTGAAGGTTGGTTTACAGCAGGACTACTTATGTTGCTCAGATAATCACAGCAGGCCTTTTTTTCCACACAAAATATTCACAGGAATTGATAAAAAATCAATAAAGAATTGGATCAATAGACAGAATCAATCATAGCGTTGGTACTAATATATCTTATCAATATCCATTCGTAACTATTTCATAAGTGCCTTTGAAAACTTGTGATGTTGAATAGAGTCTTTATTCCCATTTTTACTCAAAACACTCAGAAAATTTCTACTCAAACCAGAATCCAAACTCTTTTTTCCCCACATTGCTGCGTATCGATCTGTATACGTTGTATTGAGAAATTTTCCTATCGGTTGTTGGTGTCAACCATAATGTGAAACGACTTCCTGCCCGGAGCTGCTGAGTCCTAGTTTGGCTGTCATTGAACCAGTCATAAAGAGAGAGAGACAGAGGGGGATCCAGTCAGTCAGACGGACAGAGACAAATAGAGACGTGGTTTTTCTCTTCGTTGAGTTTGTATCACTCAATAGTTTGTTGGAGCTCCACTGGTATGTTTTCATTCATGCGACCCTATGAGCAGCAAAGGCGTCCTGTGCTTGTGCTGATTTTGACAGAAAACTAAGACAGGTAAGAGATCAGATTATTCTGCCTTTTTCTCTCTCTGTGTTGTTTGGTCTCTGTCAACAGTAATGAATATTTTTCCCAGTTAAAAATATTCCTGTAATTAGACTTTCTGCTCCAGTGGTTTATTTTTCTCAACTCTCTTTAAATGTCTTGGGGCACAAAGTTTTTTCTTACACAGAATAATTGCTTGTGGATTAACTTTTTGGGAGGTCTCTTTGGTCTCCTCGTTAACAGGCATCCAAAACTTTTGAGAAGTTTGTCAGAAGTTTGTGATGCTCATCTCTGTCATCTTCAGGAATTTGAGGTGAAAGTATTACTTTACGATAAAGTCGGGTGGTAACAACAACAGAAATTTATAAAAGATGGCAGAGGAACTTTTCCAACTTTGTAGATATGAGTCAAATTTAAAGCCTGTGATTTTTCTGTTGTGCTTCTTTTGGGAACTTTGTTGTTTTGTAAACTTGTGCATTTGATCAATCTACCTGACGGTGACATTATAGCCTTTAGGCAGGATGACACTACCTGTTCAGGTTTTACCTAAATGAAAAACCAAAACAAAGCTCCATGCTTGCACTGATAGAGACGCAAATATTTTAGACCTTTCCCAGCATAAACGTAGCCACACCTCTGTGAAGTCTACAGCTTGCAGAACATCTACAGCCCCTTATATTTCTTAAGTTTCCTTTTTTATCAGGTAGACTGGAGTGATGGCATCTAAGACAAAGTTAGGAGATACCAAGCAGGCAACATTTTATCAAGTGCATACCAGAAATATTGATTCAATCCAGAGCAGCCGGCAAAAACAACCAATCACCGATCATCATTTTGCAATCACAGAAACATTTTCAAAGGTGAAAAATCATGCTTCTTTTTGTAACCCATGATTTCATAGAAGTGCTATACAACTTGAAACGAGAGCTTTTCCTGCTGATTTTTTTCATCTGGTCTTTGACCTGAATTTGCTTCGATTTGTGCTTTTTGGGGAAATGACAGTTTGTACCGCGGGCTAATGATTTCTCGGTCATGTCGTAAAAACATGTTGGAGATATTCTACAAATGAGGTTGATCATTATCTCTCTTTTTTTCATAAATGCTTTTGTGTCTTGGAAACTTGTGCACGTTTGCATCCCTACTAGCAGAGCAGATGAGGAATTTCTAACTCGTGCACATGTGCATGCTCATGTGTAAATCTGTGTTTCTGCATCTTCTTATCAAGCAGCACGAGGGGTTTTTGGAGGAAGGGCAAGCCCATTGATCAGACTAAGGGGGGCAAGCCCACATCTCTCGCTCCAGTTGCCCACTGGGTGTGAAGGACACTGATGTGACAGCAATAATTGCAGAGGCAGGAAGCCAGCACTTCAAACATTCACAGCAGCCGCAGCAGCTCAGGCAGACTCTGCTTAGCTTCCCCTCCTCGACCAGACGCTTTGCCCCTCTAATCCTAACTGGGTGTAACATATTACATGAGGAGATATCAGCAGCTACTGTCATACAGGAAATGTTTGACTTACAGGGTGTAGAAACAGTCTTTCAAAACAGAGAAGATATTAAAGAGAGGCAAATCAGCTCTGATAAATCAAGAATCTTTATGAACTTATAATTCTTTAATGTTTTATTCATAAATTCATATTTTGAATAATTAAATACAACTTTACTGCTTCAGTGATTCAAACAGGTGTCACAGCAGTGTATGTAAATAAATGCATAAGAGTTCAATTTAAACTCCTCAAACTGATTAAAATAATTGTTTTTATATATTAAATAAAATCTTAATATTTATTTTTATGCTTTGTCCTGAATTTATGTGTATGTATTAATATGATTTGTGTTTGATCACATGAAAATAAAACTAAATATTATTTGTAAAAAATAAAATAAAATCGTAATATTTAAAATGGTCATTAGAGTCCAAGTTAACAGCCTAAAAACTACCTTTGTCAATATCTTATGAGGAAATAGGAGAAACAAGAACAAAACAAAGGAGTCACTGTGTCACTTCTATAACTGCATATCTGAAATTACTATTGTAAGTTTTAATTAGAGTGTTTATCGTGGACTTTCACTCTCTTACATGACTGTTCTTTATTTTGGATTTTGTGCATAAATTTGTCAGATTTCATAACATTCATAGTTTGCCCTGACTTTCAAAGAAATATTACGCGCTGCTGATGACAAACTTCTTCATGTCTGTGATTGGTTTGTGTATCCAACTTGAAGTTTACTCCTCAGGTTGTTCACCACCACATGAGGTTAGAAAACTTACCAAAAACTAAAGATTTACCTCCAGCCAAAGACACAAAACTTTACAACTTTCATTGTTTAATTTCCCACACTCAAGTTCATCACTCATTTAGATAAAGTCACATTTATTTAAATAATGCTGAGCTTGCAGAAATGCTCCATAACATCTATCCGGAGATAACAAGTTGGCTGTAAAGTATGCTGGTGGCGTTCAATGTATGAACTGGTGCCATGTGCAATAAGTTACCCCACCATTAGTTTTAATTATGCACAAGTCCATTGACTTGGTCCCCTTTTAATTATTTCAGCATTGATCTGAATTGAAACTCAACATGCAGGTCAGTGAACAAGAGCTGTCGCTGCTGGAGGGTAAATCCCCAGAAATGGAGCAATGACATACTCACATACATAAATCACAGCAACAAACATGAGAACAAAATTCACACTTTTATTCATTTACAAGGAAGAAGACTTGGAATGTTTTTAAGTTTGTTGGTAAATTCAAATAAGTTTGTACTGTGTATTTTATAATATTAAATTTCTTTGAACAGGGCATGAACGAAATCCATCTTTTCTCATCTTTTTGGTTTATGATGTGTTTTTCAACTGCAGACGCCAAACTAAAACTTGACTTATTCTCTGATTAATGGACAAGTTTCTTTGTTTGTTTTTTAACAGTGACTCTTGGTCTAGTCCAGGATGGATCATGGGGATCGAGGGATGGGTGTCTCTCATCTGCGCTATGAGGAGGAAGAGGGTGAGTGCAGTGAATAAAGTTCATTTAATAATATAATAATAATATAATTATAATATGATAAAATATAATAAAATAACATAATTTGGGCCACTCCATTTTAAAGCTCTTGTTGGGAACTTTCTATCTGTGTCGATTTTTGCGCCCCCCTGTGGACAATGTGGTAATTCTTATATCCTTGGTTATCTCATGTTGTCCTTGTGAAAGTGGTATTAATTAACAAAAAACTCCTCCTTATATATATATATATATTTTTTTTTTGTTCATTTATTATTCACTCACTGTGAATATTTGCGATGGAGAAGATAAGAGAGATTATGTCTTATTCATAGCTGCCCTCTGACAGAAGTTACAGGTGTTAAAAACTGGATATAGAAACTGTAATCCTGTTCATTTCAGTCTGTTTCATTAACCTGAAAAAACTCCTCAAAAATATCAAACACAGAAACAGTTTAATATGATCACATAAGTATGTCAGGCCAGATTATGGCCATAATAAATCACCAGTTTGTCACATTTAACAGAAGATCATTGTTAGTGTGCAAATTTAGCGTCTTTAGCTGTTTTTATTATTAATGTTTAAATTGTTGAGAAATAGTGAATTTAAACACAGACCTTTTTTGTCACTTTAGGGGAATATAAAGTTGAGACAAAACTGATCAAATGTTTGGTGGACTTGAAGATAAACTTTTGACTTTTGGTTGCAAAACAGTCACCTGTGCAAATAACATATACTGGCTTTATAACCCTGATTACATGGGTCTGTTATATTGAAATTTCATGGCATTAACTGTGTTAAAGACTTAAACCTTATATATTAAAGGACTTCAGTTCAACGTCTCACTGTTCTAATGTTTATAAGTGAGGCCTCATCTTCTGTAGTGTGCTAATTCAAGGACTCTGTTCTCCAGGGACAGTATCTCTTCTTAAGCTTTGCTGACTCAGTTGGTCGTGTGTTTTATGGTTTCTTTCAAGTCTTGAAAAAGGACTCAGACTCAGGCTGCTCAATAGGGTTTCCTCTATTTGATAGCCTAAGTGCAGTCATGATGTTGTCTGCCATTGAGGAGGAAAGACAGGGTTTTGTGTTTTCTGTTATGGGTAGACAACCTTGACTCACATGAAGCAGAAAAATGGCTCAGACACCACTTTACCATGGACATCATACATGTCTGTGTCTGTGGTTTGTACTGTTAATATCTGGTAGGCCAAGAAGTCACTGTTGGCAAATTTGTTTTCAATCCTGTGTGTAAGATTGACTGCCATGCTTTCTTTCTGAGTCCTTATTTGGCATTGTGTAGTCGTCTACCTGCTCATATAACCATCTAGAAACTGTCCATCTCGCTCCCCAGACCATCAGTCCATCTACATCGGCGTCCCAGTGCCTCGAGGATACAGACGCAAACGCAGAAGACGGCGCTCTAGTCGTGAGAGTGCCGACGTGGAGAGAGATAGACACTATAACCATCACAGACACCAAGAACATGACCACTACAGAGACATAGAGGAGGGACTGGACTCGAACGAGCAGAGCCTTCAAGACATCCATCGCACAAGTAAGAGACAGAAAATGACCCTCGACAAAAAAATCACTTTTATATTCACTTATATGGCAACAAAAGTTCACAACTTTACTACTAAATACATTTAAAATAAGGACCTTATTGCATGCTTTCCAATAACATATCCTCGAATATGACCACACTTTTACATGACCTGACAAATACAGAGTGTAAATACTGAAAGAGGCTGCAAAACTGTTTCAAAGTGCTGTTCAATAAAACTATCTACATGTAAATTATCTCACATTTAAAAAATAAAAACCTTACAAAATGATCCAGTACCTCAGATCGACACAAAAAAGCATATGAATAATATGCAGCTGTAGTCAAATGTTTGTGTTTTTACCATCTAGTGATTAGGACGTGGTGCTGTCATCTAAAAAGTTAAAATGGCACCAAAGTTTCATAAAAAGGGTGAAATTTTCCACATATATGAGCCATACAGGGCTTTTATTCCTTGGCTTTTGACCCAGCATGAGACGGCATTTGTTTTATTACTTTTTTATTGCTTTTTATTATAGTTTAAAACAACTATTTATTGTTGTGTTATGTTTTTATGTTATAATGTACAGCTTTGGTTGTATTTAAAGTACTCTATAAATAAAGTTGAGAGTTGAGTTGAGCCGGACTGTGTCACATGCAGATGTTAACTTCTGTTGTAGAGTTGCCGTTCAGATACTTTGCCTAATTTGCTCACTGCAGCCTGTGGTGTTGGATCTAATGTTCTCGCTGTTGCGGTAACTTCACGGTCGTCATGGTGATGGTTTCTCAGTACATGTCAATCATCGCTGCTGAAAGTCTGAATAAAAGACAATCAGACAACAAAAGTTGGAGAGAAGAAAAAAGTCAGTTTCCATCCTTGTTCCCATGACAACGAGATTATTCAAAGTAGCCAATGAGAAGTTGTCCTTTGTAACCTTTATTTATTTGGTGTTTTATTTCCTTTTGCACTATGGATTCCATCGTCACCTTCCATTCAGAAAAAATAACACATAAGTGGGATTCACTGTTTGCTGACGTCGATGCGGCTTTTCAATATCATTGACTTTAACCCCGCTCAGTGTAATTACTGTACAGCCCGGCCTTTAGGTAAATGGCGGTATGTCCATTTGACAGCTTGTCACCCTGCAGCCCCGTTCTCCAACAAATGTTCAGCTTCCACGCAGCCGTGACAGTGATTGATGATCTATAGGTTACATCTGATCAGCTTCAGCAAGCCACAGCCGCCTGTCAACAAAGATCATTATGGAAGCAAAATACACATGATGCACTTTTTGTTTCATGTTGACAGTGTCTCCAGCGGCAGAGCGCCTGCGTTACATCCTGAGTGAAGATGACGACGTACCTACGCCGACACTTTTCACAGAAATGGACACTCTACAGCGAGAGGGAGATGAGCTGGAGTGGAAGGAATCTGCCAGGTAGATGATCTGATCCGTGGACACCGTAGAGACACGTGGCTTAGAGAAATCTCCGCAGTCGTGTAACTCTCTGTTGTTTTTCCTGTCCTCAGATGGGTGAAGTTTGAGGAGAAGGTGGAAGAGGGAGGAGAACGATGGAGTAAACCACATGTGTCCACTCTTTCCCTGCATAGTCTTTTTGAGCTCAGGACATGTCTCCAGACGGGGACGGTGCTGCTTGACCTTGAAGGCTACTCGTTGCCTCAGATTGTTGGTGAGCTCTTCATCTGATTCACTCAATACGTCACTGTCAAGCAGGGCTTGGCGATAAAACGATAAAACATGCAAAAATTAATTTCCCTCAATATCAATATAAAACATGGTCAATTTCCTTTTCGATAGCCGGCATTCTGCCATGTTTTGGTAGACTATATGAATAGCCAACGAAAGCAGGGTTGCTATCGCCCAGCCCTAGTGTGAAGTTAGTTTAGACACTCAGACTAAACAGACTGAACTTGTACTTCCCCTTTTTACTTTTCTGACCACTCAAAACACTTTTATGCAACATGTCACAATCATTCATTCACATTATATTCATACAGTCATGGTAGCATTAAGTGACACAGATGGGATCTGAGCTGGGATCAAACCACCAACCTTCTGCTCAAGGACTACCAGCTCGACTGCTGAACCTCAGCTGCCCCAGTACTGATCTTAATGTCACACAGTGACACACAAACAAGTTTGCAGAATTACATGGTATGCTTTTCCAGGAACTTGCCCTTAAATGGATATTGATTTCTGCCGCTTGATGTGGATTTGTGCTGCATGAACGCCGTGGAGTACAAATCCGGTTGATTTACGCTCACACACAAAGTACAGCGATAGTGAAATCTAAATGTGTCCTTTTTTTTAAGATGACATTGTTGAGCGACAAATCGAGGAAGGCATGATATCACCTGAGCTCAGAGAGAAGATCAGTTTTGTCCTTCTGAGGAAACATCGACACCAGACAAAGAAGCCAATCCACCGCTCGCTAGCAGACATGGGGAAGTCCAGCTCCACGACCAGTGAGTGTCCACATCCCTGATGATTTCAAATGATCATCTGTCTCCATAATTCCTGGTCTGTTGTACATAATCCATTGTATCCCCCCTAGTGTTTGAGATAAGGAAACCCAGTTTAATTTTGATGATGGGTTCATAGTCATTCTGCATCTTTTTTAGCTTCTGAAAGGCGTCATTTACTGTATCTGACTTCTAGCTGTTTGACTTTAAAAATGACTGAATGCACACCTGCAGTCATCCTCGCCTGGGGGGTATATCAGTGTTTGATGACTGTTACACCTCATCACATCTGGACAGAGAACATATACCTGATGGATCATGACTAATTACCTCAGATCACTTGGTATCAATTTCAAGTCAACTCAAGTTTGACATATACAGAAAAAAGAAAACATTGCTCTCCAGTCCACACAACCAGAAAACTGATCTACATCTCCATCTAACATTGGCATCTATGTCCATGTTTCTCAACTTGCAAGATCGAAATGTTGGGGCCAGAGCGGCACAGGGTCCAGGGCCGGGTTCAGGGCCAATAGGCAATTTTAACCGATCAACAGAAGATCTCAGAATGAAACAACAACAGCCGCCAAACTACGGTCGCCTGCGTGAGTCTGTTTTTGAGCTTCTATTTTGTGGTTTCGTTTCACATGCATGGGTGATGCATTCTGTCCTTTTTAAAGGTCGAAGTTTGTTTAAGATTCTTTACAGCCAAATCTTTACATGATTTTCAACATGTATGATCCTTGCTGGGCTGAAAAACCTACAAAAGAAAGTCATTGCAGCTTAGTGGGGAGTTTTTTTTTGTTGTTGGATGCTTCTTCAAAGAAGTCTTCAAACTTGAGCTCTTTACTTAAGTAAGACATTCATACTGAGAATACAGGATGATCAAACCTCTTCATTAACCAATCCAAAAGACAGTTAACATGTTCAGATAGTTTCATCTTGACCAATAACTGAAATCAAACAGTCGGACTGTTGTCACTGTAAACTTTTACTAAACTTCCTGGACACCTTTTTGGATTGTTCATGAATTCTCATGAAGCGTGTTTGTGTTGTTTTGTCAAGTCTAATTGAGTTTTTGCAAGATATTAAACTTTTTACTGTTAATATATAATTTAATATCCCTAACTGTTCTTCTTGTTTTGTTCTCCAGGTCACGCCCAGAGTAGAAGTATGAACGATATTGCAGATACTCCCAGCACAGACCAGGTGACTCTATCTCTCTATCTCTCACACATCCATCTGAGATAAAGTCAAAAACATCATTCGATCAAAATTTAAGCAGTGCGTTTTTTTTTCTTTTTTTTTTTACTGGAGTGGTTTTTCAGAAAAACTGGGATATTTCCTGGTGGACCTGACTGGTATTAGGGCCACCAATGCTGGTTTACACTAACAATATAAACTAGATATCTTATACAGACTGAACTTCATGAAAAAGTGGTATGAGAAAATGAAGTTCCTCCACAGCCAAACAAGAAAACGAGGCATCAAACCAAGCGGTGGAGAACAAGGTTTATCATCATAAAGAGTAAATTAAAAAAATCACAAAAACTAAAATCACAAAAACTTTTTTGTTAACCGGAATAAAAAAGACATTTTTATTCTGTTTCCGTTAAAGAAAATCCTCTCTCTTCACTGATCTGGATTGATCAGCCTACTGTTTGTTTATGGCCTGTCGATGGTGGACAGGGTGGCCTTTGGCGATCCACATTGACTTAATGGCAGAGAGAGCACCGCTCTACACGGACATACATCCTTGACAGGATCTCTAACAGAGCTGAGTCCCTGTCTTTCACTGTAGCTTCCTGTAGATTCCATCAGCAGAGCTCTCCGTTCAACATCGACCCAGCTCATACATGAGCCCACACACCAATACACAGCATTTATTACCGCTGATGTCTCTAACACTGGCTGTATAGTTAGCCACATACATTTTTTACATATTGTCAGATTTTTAATGTCGCTCCTGCCAAGTTTTCCATGTTAACAACAAAAAGCAACTAAAATAAACTAATCAAAAGTACATTCAAACTTGTCACTTTAGGGGGGAAAAGAGTACATTAAAATCCAGCCTTAAAATTAATTAAAGCTAAATACAAATCAAAGTCAAAATGTTATATTGATATTAATATGACTGGGTAACAGTCCACTTATATTATGGTTAGCTCTGTATTAATTAAATTCACTCGTTTGTACAAAGAGAGTAAAATAACAAGACTTAATGTTGACATTTTATCTCACATTATGACACATTATCTTATAAGTCTGACTTTTTATTTACTAATAATTACTACTGGGACATACTGGTATAGTACTGGTAAGTCAAATACTAACATGCCTGTTACGATGTTTGTCAACTTGGAAATGTTATATTTTGGTAAAATACACGAACAAAGTTTCAGAGACTCATGCTCCATCTGGAGTCTGTATACCAGTAAGGCTAAAATTATAAATCTCCAGTCAAAGTTGTGGTCTGAGCCGTAAAATCCCAGACTGAAAATGAGTCCCACTTCAGCCTTGGCTCGCATGCAACTCTGGACGAGTGAGCATCATCTGGCTTCACGCGACTCGTGCTGGCGTCTGTCTCTCTTGGCTTCAGTGTTGCTGGAAGTCCAGCAGCTGTGAGGCACACACCAGTTCTTACTTTTTGGTCTGTTTTTGACCAGCTGTGAGCGTTTTTAGTGTTTAGATTAGTTTTGGGGATACTATTTGACATGCTCACAACATTTTCACCCTCCACTTTTGCATCTTGACAACATTTAGTTTCTGTCTTTCATTTTGGCAAAAAATGTCCATTTTTGTGCGGTATAAAACTCCTCAGCTTCTCCTTCTTTTTCTTGTGTTGTCTCAGGAAGGCATTTTGTGGTCAAGTTTGAGTTTTTAAGTCGTTACTCTGTCATTGCAAGACTAAATGAAAAGGACAGTTTCTACAGATTTGTAAAACATTCATGCATGCTTCGACCAGCATGCTGTTATCGCTCGGATTAGGCTCCTGTACTCTACTGTCATCTAAATGACTGATGTCCAAAGATTAATAAATGACGTAGTGTGATGTGGACGATGAGCCCCGTTTTGTGGAACTATCAGGAAAAGTTCTGGCTATTCAGTTCAAAGTGCCCTCGTTGTAAGTGGTTGGCAAATTGTCTCTACCATCCTGCAGTAGGTCACATGTGACAACGGACAAGTGATAGTTTAATACTTTGCGTTTCTGTGTGTGTGTGTGTGTGTGTGTACCATACTGTCTGTGTCGATATTGAGCTGGCACAGGAAAAATGGATTTCACTGTCCAGTCCGCGTGCCGGGCCCTCACATGTAGCCGCAGATTTGACTGTTGGTTATCAGTAAGGCCTTCAGTATTGAGTGTTGTTGCACTGCTGTCCTATTTCCTGCCACACCTTTACATGCAATCAAACAGAGCAGGTTTGTTTACTGTTTGACATTTGCCAGCCTACATTTCATCTGCTCCGATTTATTTATTTCATGTCTAATGATTGTTGTTTCCAGTAAGCATACTCTGTGTTCATTTAGACTGAGACTTTGACTTTCTTTAATTGTATATCCATCTCACAGCATGATGGTGTTTCATTTAATATAAAGAAAAGTAAAAACAATAAAAACTAAGGGTAAAAAAATAGCAGCATGGTGAGTAATATTAAACTTTCTGGAGGTAGAGTGGTCATGGAATAAAAACAAATAAATAAAAGTATATATAAAAAGATATATGTTCTTATCTACACAGAATAAATAATAATTGTTACTGTTTTGTGTTTTTGATATGATTTCCTTAAAATTGTGTTATTGATTTTTATGGTTTTGTTGGATTCTTTTTGGCCTCTTGCTGACACGTCTTTTACATTTTCATAATCAGGCTTAATTTAAGCTTATACGTGTGCTCATAAATTAATAAATAAAAGGTATGAACTATTAATTTATTTCAAGAGTTGATATTTTGGCTTATTGTTTCAGCTTTAAAAAAATGAAATAAAAACCCACATCCGTGAAGATATGGAAAAGCAATTAATGTAAAGATATAATCCAAAACACAACAGAATCTAAATCTAATAAAAGCAGAAGTACAAACTTGGACAAACTTAGACCAAAAAAACATTATGATCGTACTTGACCTTCATTTTCTCTCTTTGTTGCAGCTAAAAAATAAATTCATGAAGAAAATCCCGAGGGATGCAGAGGCCTCCAACGTCTTGGTGGGTGAAGTTGATTTCCTCACCAAACCTTTCGTCGCCTTCGTTCGCCTCGCTCAAGCGACAACTCTAGGCGGTCTGACGGAAGTCCCTGTTCCCACCAGGTAAAATTACCTACAGAGTCCTCGCCTCCTCATTCTCACTTTATAATGAGTTTTTTTTTTTAGAGGTCATTTTAGAACATAACTCACACATGTCTCACCTATCTGCAGATTCCTGTTTATTCTATTGGGACCCCAAGGAAAGGCCAAGTCCTATAATGAGATCGGCCGAGCCATAGCAACTCTGATGGTGGATGATGTAAGTGTCTAAAATGCTTTCGAAATGTTTTAACAGACTGCATTTTTAAAAACATGAAATACAATTTTAAAGCTACTATAGGGAGTTTTTTTTATGTTTGTGATGTTTGATTTTCAGTGATATAAAGTTGCTCTGATTAGTCAGGGGCCGTTTTAGCAAGCGGGATGATCGCCACCGTGACAGAAAGAAGGTACACAGGCTTAATCTTCAACTTTCGTCCCTCTCTCTCATGTCAGCTCTTCAGTGATGTTGCCTATAAAGCCAGAGATCGAGAGGACCTCATTGCAGGCATAGACGAGTTTTTGGATGAAGTGATCGTACTTCCACCCGGAGAATGGGATCCCAAAATCCGCATTGAGCCGCCTAAGAAAGTCCCCTCAGCCGACAAAAGGTCAGAGTTTCACCATCATTAACTCTGAGATTTGTTGTATGTTGAAAAGTTGAGTAACTAACCAATCACAGTGAGTTGTTTTAAATAGCTTCGATGTCTGTTTTGTGTCTTTTCTTTAGAAAGTCTGTGTTTTCCTTAAATGAGCTGGGACAGATGAACGGTACAGCTGGAGGAGGAGGAGGTGGTCTCGCTGAGGACGAGGAGATGCCAGTGCAGCATGAGCTCGGGGAGGAGCTGGCGTTCACTGGGCGGTGTGTAGTTTTACATAAATACCTCATAAATGCTCAAGCTAATAACTAAATATTTTGGGTTAGTCCAGGGTGGGGAAACTCTGTTTTCTCCTTCTTCAGACTGAGTGTTATTATTCAGTGAAAAGCTGATTGTCTAAAGCCTTGATGTGTTTCTGTGTGCGACAGCTTCTGCGGTGGTCTGTACCTGGACATCAAAAGGAAGCTGCCGTGGATCCCGAGTGATTTCTACGAAGGTTTCCACATTCAGTCCATCTCAGCCGTGCTCTTCATCTACTTAGGGTGCATCACCAACGCTATCACCTTCGGAGGCCTACTGGGAGACGCTACGGACAACTACCAGGTGAGAAACGGAGACGGTGAATGAAGACAATAATCAAGAAAGTCTTTTATACAATTGGTGAATCAGGATCATAACTCAATCTGACAACCGAAGCACGGCCCATAATCTGAGAACCGAACCAGGACATTGATGATCTGCTGCCTGTATACAGCAACATCTAAGCTAACATGAGGCTTGCTTTGCTAGTTTTAACAGTGTCCCCTCTAAGTAAGACATTTCCAGCTCTTATTCTCCTTCTCTCTGTATCTAATGAACTTCCTCTCCTCGCCCGATCTTCCACCAGGGTGTGATGGAGAGTTTCCTGGGAACGGCTCTGGCTGGCTCAGTCTTCTGTCTCTTCAGTGGTCAGCCCCTTATAATCCTCAGCTCCACCGGGCCGATCCTCATCTTCGAAAAGCTCCTGTTTGAGTTCAGCAAGTGAGATTCTTTAGAGTCAATGTTCTCGCTGGGTAACTGGGGAGTAAACACAGATACCGACTGTAGAAAGGTGCAGAATTGGGATGTTTGTATCAGTATTTTACATAAACTGTTTCTTTGACGTCTCATTTTCAAAGGAACAACAGCATAGATTACATGGAGCTGCGTCTTTGGATCGGCATCCACTCCTGCTTGCAGTGTTTTATCCTAGTCGCTACAGACGCTAGTTACATCATCAAGTACATGACACGCTTTACTGAGGAAGGCTTCTCAAGCCTCATCTCCTTCATCTTCATCTCCGACGCCATCAAGAAGATGGTGGGCTCCTTCAAATATTATCCCATCAACACTGACTTCAAGCCTGACTACATCACGGCTTACAAGTGCGAATGCCTGGCGCCAGACCCGAGTGAGTTCACCCCTTGGCTCAGGGAAATAAAGCCGGATTATCTACAAGACAGAAGTGTGGCAAAGTTATGTTCTTGGGCTTGGTGGAGTGACTCACCAGGTTATAGAGGAGGGTACAATATTCTGTATTTGGTTTCAAAAGAAAATTTTCCCAGTCATCGTGGCATAAACAAATGGTTGCAAAAGTCAGGAGTGAACGTTACTTTGACAGTAACACAGTTAACAAAATCATTATATTTAAAATAATGTTACTATTCTTGAGTAGGTAACTTCAAGAAAAAAGAAAAAACTCTGTTACTGAATGGAAACCATGTTTACTAATTCTCAAAGGTGAACTTTGGTGTTTTTCCATGAGTTTGTTTGTGTTTGACTGATCGGGAGAGCGATTTTAAATGAATGAATCTACTATAACGTAGTTTGACCGTGCAACTGTGCATCATCTGACTGCATCCACTACAAGTGTTTTATTTTACCTTCTTTCCCTGTGGGCGTAGGATCACAGCACCCACAGGAACACCACTCATCTCTAAAGTTTTGCAGCCTTGCAGCTGCTGGTTTGCCTCGAGCTCTCCTTGTTTGCTAATCGACTTGTAGAAGATCTCGACCTTCCTCAAACAAATAGGTTCGGCTATCGTATTTAGATACTTCGTCCACACTGCTCCTTGACTCTCCTGGTGTCACTCACGTGTCCTTCATTGTCTTCCTGCAACAAGTGAAACGTCAGAACAAAAGTTTATCCAATTTCAAAAACTGTTCTCCCCATCAGTCGAGCAAACACAAACTCATGAGAAAATGTCCACTCATGCATCCACTAGGGATGGGCGATATAGGCTAAAAAAATTAATCATGATTAATAGCAGCAGATCCACTGTCCAATAGCTGCGTTTACATGGGCGCAAATAATCGGAATAAATGCCCAATCGGAATAAAAAAGCGGCATTTAAACATGTCGATCAGAAGATTCTGATCCAATTATGCACAATTGGAAAGAAATTGTATTCCAACTGAGAGGGGTGGTTTATCCCGTTATTCCAAAACGCATCCAGGTAAACATTTATTCCGATCGTGACTCTCTTACCTGACTCGATCTTCACTCTTTAGCCTTTGGTTTATTTATTGAGGTCAGTTCAGGAGGTTTCATTATTAACACTCTGGCATAAAACACAACTGCAGGTGCTGTGTCTGCTCCTCCGATAACATAACAAGGCATACATACAGCGTAATGATGTCACATCTGCACGCACAGTGCAACCTTTAACAGATCAGTAAAATAAGTACGCAAGGGCGCCATCTAGTGACAACATTTACGTAAATACAACTCTTCTTCTGCGGTTGTTTTAGCGAAATCAAACAACTGCGCATGTCTAAATGCTTCTATTCTGAATAAAACTTGGTGCATGTATACACATGTCATGATCGGATTTTTAATTTTGTACCCATATAAACAGTGGATTCAGATTATCTGATCCTTCAAATTTTCAATCGGATCAAGAAATTTTGCCCATGTAAACGTGGCTAATGTCAGACATACCTGATTGCATTTGTCTAAACTACAATCTTGAAGGAAATCCCTCATGTGGAGCCTCGATTAGCAACGACCTGCTCAGAGACGTCTTATCGTGAGATGGCAAATATTTATCGTGGAGGAATTTTCTGACGATATTTTATCATCCATCCGTACCATCCGCTCCTTTTAGAAATGTCAGCTTTAGCAGTTATTTCTTGGCACGTAGATTTCTGTAACTGATTTGTCTCTTGTTTTGTTTTCGCCATGCATTAACAATTTGGCTGCCATCTTCTGCAAGTAAGTACCTCACTGTCTGTCTGCATTGGCTTCACAGTGCTTTTTGTAAAGTCCAGAAGCTGGATTCTCATTATGTTTTGAATTTGTGTTTTTTTTTTTCCTTCCCTCTTGTTTCTCGACCCGCCCCTCTTCATTTGTTCTATCATTACCTCCCCGTCTCTGTTGTCTCTCACCAATTCATAAACAGTGGCTGCAATGATCTTCAATGGTTTAGTTCCAATGCCAGATAACAGCTCTAGTGTCTCTGGGGTAAGTGCTTGTTTTGATTCACTTTTCCTTCTTTAAACTGAAATGACCACAATGCTACAAAAGAGACATAATGGTTTATTTACAGTCAGAACTGACAAAGACAAACAGACTGACAAAGAAGTTGATAGGTTTTCCTTTTTCTTTCCTTTGTTTCTCACCATCTCCTCTTTAACTCTCCCTCTGGAGTTTAACTTCTCATTTGACTGTGCCTACACCTACATCTTTTTCAAAACACTTGACTCTTCTCCATCCTCTTCTCTCCTACACTGCCACCCACCACCCAGTTGAATGTGACAGCTCTGGACTGGAGCCAGTTAAGCAAGAAGGAGTGTCTGAAGTACGGCGGCTCTCTCGTGGGGAAGTCTTGCAAGTATGTTCCAGACCTGGCTCTCATGTCCTTCATCCTCTTCTTCGGCACCTACTCCATGACAGTGTCCCTCAAGAAGTTCAAGTTCAGCCGCTACTTCCCTACGAAGGTGATGAAGTTATAAAAATGCAAACACATGTACTGCAAACTACCAAAGTGCTAAATGACATCATAAACTGGAGTCTCTGTTGACAATGGGCTTTGTGTATATAATCAGTGGTCTGTCCTGCATTTCCGTGCACAGTCTAAATTTGTTGTTAACTTAAGTTTCATTTCAGCAAGTCATTTATGGTGTCCAATCAGATTTTTTCTTTGCCTCTACTTATAAAAATCTTTTTTTTCTTCTCTTTTAAATATTTTTTTTGTCTCTGTTTTTATTCTGACACCAGTTGAGGAAACTCATCAGTGACTTCTCGATCTTCATGTCAATCATGACCTTTGTTGGGCTTGATATGCTGATAGGCCTCAAGACTCCGAAATTAATCGTCCCGACAGAATTCAAGGTACTTCTCAACTTTAATTTTATTTATTTATTTATTTCATTTAAAAATAAAAAGAAACAATTTGATTTAAATACAAATAGTCTCCTATCTTGAATGAAAGGGAGCAGAGGCAGACTAATATAATCTTATTTTATCTGCCCCTTTATCCCCAGAAATCACTTTACAAAGAACAAACTTAAAATAATAAAATAAAATTAAATTAAAAAAAGCAAAACATAAACAAAACACAACAAAATAATATATAATAAAAAATAAAAATATAGCTGCTGGCCACCACAGACAGTCATATATCATTTAGTTCCTAAGTTACAATTCAGTTAATGCCACTCAACAAACAACAACAAAATTACAATGGTATGGCAATCAGATATAACTGATACTGGCTTTAATTATTCTTTAATGTTAATAAGGTTGAAGATGATTTCATTCTTTGTTTTTCTGGAGCCTCTAGACATTTAGCTCACACATCCCTGTCGAAGTCACTAAAATAAAAAAATAATAATAATAATTAAAGGAAAAATGGAAAGAAATGTAACCCTATCATTGACTGTTTGAAGTGTTATAGTCACCCTAATATTCATCAAAAACATTCAAAACTAATTTTGAAAAAAAGCAAGAAGATCCCCTTTCAAATTATACCAAACACAACATTACTAAACGTTGACAAATTACTTTAATCTGTCTCTAATATTCATGTTTTTATTGTTAAAATGAGAATAATCAGGCTTCTTTTCTGACTCTAGCCAACTCGGCCGGATCGCGGCTGGCTGGTGATGCCTTTTGGTAAGAACCCATGGTGGATTTATCTCGCCAGCTTTGTGCCAGCCCTGCTCGTCACTATCCTCATCTTCATGGACCAGCAGATTAGTGCTGTCATTGTGAACCGCAAGGAGAACAAACTCAAGGTAGGACTGCTACCTTTGTGAAGACAAAACTGTAACACTGGCAAAAGAATCAAATAATGTAATAAAAAAATACTAATATGGACGGAGAATGTCGCAGGAAGCGTAACGTTTGTCTTTACTCTTTTTTTTTATTTGGTATTCTTTGCTGACGCTCTCTTTTAATTCTATATTAAAATGTATTCTTTGGGACTTTCCTGTTTTAAGGAGACCTTTGCAAGATATTACTTTAATGCTAACAAAGCCTTCTTCATCTCTTGGCAGAAAGGTTGTGGCTACCACCTTGATCTCTTCTGGGTGGGTGTCTTGATGGCCGCCTGCTCCTTTCTGGGCCTGCCCTGGTACGTGGCTGCCACTGTCATCTCCATCGCCCACATTGACTCCCTGAAGATGGAGAGCGAGTCCAGCGCTCCGGGAGAGCAGCCTCAGTTCCTCGGGGTCAGGTTGGTGGAAAGTAGAATAAAAACGCAGAGAACATAAATATTAAGGGACGCAGATGAAGGAAAGGATCTCCTTCAGAAATACCTCCCAGAGTGTGAAACTGATTCAGAGTGTTTTTAACCTTTTTTTTAAACAGAGAACAAAGAATGACAGGCATTCTGGTGTTCGCTCTGACCGGGGTCTCCATCTTCCTTGCTCCTGTACTTAAGGTAGGACGTAAAGCATGAGCAACACGTGGCTTTTTCAGTTGTTTAGAACAGAGTGCAAAACTGTCCAAATTCAGGTCCAGGTGGAGGCTGTTTTTACTCTTTACAACACCAATAACATTGAGTGTATTGATAGATGAACAGCTGGTCGTGAAGCCAATGTATCAATGCCATCTTGTCAGGGTCTGCTGTGTAGAAATTGCCCGCTGCAGCTGTAGTGTTGACAGTTCCCTGGTTAAGACCTCTTAGGTTGATTCAGTCTACAGCAGAACAGCTTCATATGTCAGTTTGAAGCAGGGAGGATCATGGATAGTTTAATGGCGTGAGTGTTTGTCTCTAGACCCCTTTTTTCCATATCTCTTTGACTCTGATAATCGCAAACAGGAATGAGTTTTATTTCTTGAAACCAAAAGTAGTAGTGCAAAAGTAGTTCGGACTTAAGTTCACAGCACAAATACTTTGTCTTAACTTTGATGCTGAGTACAAAGTCAGCTCACGTCCCTGCTTTTCAAATCACCTGGCGGGGTAAGCAGCATGTGCATCCTTGTTAAACTATGAAGAAAAGGTTGGTAACTTGTACCGTCACCGTCAGTGGTGTGACATGAGAATGGTATGTGGAAAAATGCTCCCAAGAATCAAAAAATAGAGTTTAAAAATCAGATTTTGACAATTTTCCTGTTTTGAACAGTGATCAAAAGCATGTTTTCTGGTCTTCTTGTTTGCAGTTTATCCCCATGCCTGTTCTGTATGGTGTTTTCCTCTACATGGGCGTAGCTTCCCTCAGCGGAATCCAGGTAAGTTGAGTAATAGCTATTAGAGACCTCACTAGTTATACAGGCTTGAGGCATAAAGATTAGTGCAAAGCTGCCCAATAAACAAACAAACAAAAAGCCTGTTGGATATGTCAGATAAGGCCTGACTGACATAATTAAAGGGATTGCATGAGCTCTGAATAAACCATAATACACATTGGTGCTGGAGCAGGTATTCAACTCTAGGCTAAATATGAATAATGCATATTTTGTTTAACAATTAGAACTTTAAAATAAAGATTTCTCTTCTGTCTTTGTCATTCTCCACAGTTCTGGGACAGGATCAAGTTGTACCTGATGCCATCCAAACATCAGCCGGACTTCTCTTACCTCCGCCATGTTCCTCTGAGGAGAGTACATCTATTCACGCTGGTCCAGATTATTTGTCTCGCTGTCCTCTGGGTCCTGAAATCCACCTTCTTGGCCATAATCTTTCCTGTCATGGTATGCGCATACATAAAATACATATATGTATATACTTTTTTCCTCTTTCACGAATACATCTGATAGGACAGAACTTCATTTTGCACTTCCTGTCAGTCTGCTTTACACCAAGACTCTCCACATTACTCCACCTCCACAGTCTTTTCACCTGTTTTAATGCACACAGTTCTTAGTGGTCACAAACATGCATTTTGTTGGGATTTCAAACAAGGCCGACCTCTCTGTTTATCTCTGCTTGGAAACCTCCAGATCCTGGGGCTGATGGTTGTCAGAAAGATGCTGGACATGGTCTTTTCCCAGCACGACCTGGCCTGGCTCGACGACCTCCTGCCTGAGAAAGAGAAAAAGAAGAAGGATGATGATAAAAAGAAGGGGAAGGACAAGGACAAGGAGAAGAAGAGGGCAAAAACAAATGACAGTGAGGAGGAGGTGAGAAACTTCGTCTTCTACTGCCCCCTGGTGGTTTGAAAAATCATAACTTCACTTTTTGATGATCTGCAATCTTTCAGGGAGTTAAAAATGAGAGAAATGCATCGTATAAAACGTGTTGTGGATTAATTAATCTAAACTCAGTGTAAAGTATTAAGATCCACGCCTGTTAAGGACAAGATGTTAGTAATTTTGTCTCGATTAAAGAACCTCTCAAAGTCATCATGGCTGAGGACTAAAGGAGGACACAGCTTAATCCATCTGTGACTGTCTGTCAGCCCGACTCCAGCGGTGAAGGCGGTTTATTCTGCCTTGACTAATTCAATCAGACTTGCCCAAAACAATTTCTAATTATTGATGAAGCCCGCACTGTTTATGGACTCCAACTCGACAGCCAGTGGTTCAATGATTAGACGTCTCATCACTCATCCAGTTTGGCAGGAGCTCAGAGAAAATTACAGTCTAGTCATTTCCACTGACGTGACTTATTTATCCAATCTGTCCAGTCATCTTTGTGCCCGTGTTCACGTACGTCTCTGTATTCATTTACTTGCAGGAGAAGTGCCACACCTACTCAAACCACTCGCCGAGTTCAGAGTCAGACTTGGATCGCAGGTACTGTGTCCTCAAACTGCACATCCCCTACAAAGATCTTGTCTATCCTGATGTTGTACAGTCTCAGTGGGGGGCATACTGCCAGCCTGCTGCCACAAACTAGGCTCTTTAGTACACTCAAAACACACACACACACACACACACACACACACACACACACACACACACACACACACACACACACACACACACACACACACACACACATGCACACACATATCTGTATATAGACATGGACAAATACTTATGATGGGTCTGTGTGAATAGGAAATTCTCATTATAACCTGTTATTTAAACGATGCATAGATTATACAGATGTACAGTATATAATGTCCCTCACCTTTAGTGGTACTCTGCTATTTGGGTATAATAGAGAACATGTGATGACATATGGCATCCAGATTCTGACTTCATCAGTTCAAACAAGGAAATGCTGAGCAATTTAATGGGCTCTATGCACAGCTCCACTACTTCCTGAACTTAAAGGTATATTCCGGCGTAAAATTAATTTAGGGTCAAACACACTGTACACAAGTGTTTAACTGCCTGTTACACTAGCATGCAGCCTAAGTATTGCTGGCCCTGCTAGAGGCTAAGGTAAGGCCTGAAGGGAAAGCATGGTTCAGATGGCTGGAGAGGGACAGTGTACCATGTCTCATAGGACAGCACTTACTATTATTTACTATTATTTTAGTTTCTATTTTGTTGTGTTTCTTTTATTTTATGGAGATAACAATCATTTTAAACTACTTTCATAACTTCTTTGTGAACTGTGTTGTAGGGAAGTCAGAAACTGGGATTTTGCCAATGTCTGGTATGTTTTGCCTCTTTTTTTGGCTGTTGTGGATACCAGTATATGCATAGACTTTTCCAACCTTATTCCAGATACCATATGTCTCTCATATAGAAACATTATAGTGGGATCTGTATAAATTAGAAATCAAGTGAAGGTGCAAACAAAGCCCAACCAACAGGGGTCACTATACTGACCTGACATAATTGCAGACATGACATATTCTAATTATCATCATTATTATTTCTGTGGTTGTTGATTGAGTACATGCTCTCTTTTCGAAGCGGGCATCCATAGTTGCGCAGAGATTGGATTCATATATAAAAATGCACTCATAGTCTTACTGATTGTAATGTTCAGATCACTCTCCTCTCCATGCACTTTAAGGCAATGCAGATCATCATATTGTTATTTCTGTATAATCATCCTGCCACTCTCTCTGCCATGCAGTCTATGAGCCATGCATCTATTTTGCATTATCACTTGTTTTGAAGCAGCGACTGTAAAGTGAAAAGTGATGATCTGAAATGCATGATCTCTGTTTTCTAGCACTTGGTCAGGGACTTCTTACAAAGGAGTTAAAAATGATGTGTGGTGTATTTAGTCTGTTGTATATGTGGTATATAAAGGTGATTTATGATAGGTCAGTTTGTGTACAACTGTATAATTATCCACATGCAACAAGCATCATTGTTTTGGTTGTTTCTTTTTCTTCATGTGCTGATTTTCCTCAGCACAGTCAATCTGTGATACTCACACATGCATTTGAAATGTGGCCTATTTGCTCTCTGGATCACCCTCACCTGCAGCAGCAGCAGTTTCAGTGACAAGTGCTCACGCTGAAAGTGCAGCTGATTAAGGTGTTTCCCAACACGCCAAACATTAGACCGTAAATACTCTGTTGGACTGTGCTTTCTATCGAAGGGTGGGAGAGGGGGCGGGGATTGGGGGGTGAAAACCCATCAATTCTGCATTGCTTGAAAGAGGCATGGTTAGGAACTGACAAACTGTTACTGATGACTGATTAGTATCTTGATTTGTGAGCTTTAAAAACTTCATGGTCAGAAAATAAAAATTAACCATGAGGGTGATTTTTCTGTTTCACTGTAGCTTTAGTATAGCGATATCCCATTTCTTGATAAGGGTCCTTCATTTATCTTAGTTATCTGAAATACTGTACCTCTCTTTCTTTATGCTGTTTAAACATAGTTCAGTTTTTTGGCCAAAGGCAGATTTGTCATCTCGCTCTCCTCCAGATACGGTTTCAGACTGTGGCTTTATTTTGTCTATCGGGCTTAAGATTTGCAAAGAGCCACATTAAATGTTTTTAAAGTTCATGACATGAAACCCTCCCAGCCTCAGAGTGTCCTGGTTTTCAGTCCACAGCAGCTCATTTCACTCCTTAGACCCTTTTTTCCCTGCTGCTGTGAAGAACCGGCCTTCATGGTTGAGCTCTTCCACCCTCCCAGCCTTTCCTCCCTCAGCCCTCCAGTGTTTTAAGTATGGGTGTGTATGGTAACCGGAGCTTGCCCTTCCTTAGCATCACTCTCCACCTGAAGATCTCCTGTCCATCATCTCCTGCTGTGCCGATGGGCCGAGGGATGGCCTGTCCCGTTCCCCAGGTCAAGATTGAGATGGAGTCAGACTATGACTCAGACCTCGACCACCACCGCCCTCGGGACATGAGCAGTGAGACCACGTTATAGAGCTGAACCTCGACGTCTTGTTGACTGTGCATTGACTGAATAATGCACAGCTGGGATTGGGCAAACTGCTTGATGCAGCCAATGCTGGCCCAACATATATTTCAAGGACAGCTGTCGACAGACTTCACTGACTGGCTGAAATTGGACTGTTTGAATCAGCAGAATTGGAGAAGTTTAAGTTTTAGCTGCAATATGCCACTAAATCAATGTATTTTAATGTTAATCATATAGTAAATAATACATGTATTTATGTGTATGATGTAAATAGTCACAGGTATAAGTGTACAAATTTAAATATGTGCGGTGTACAATAATATCTTTGAAATGAAAATATGTACCTCCATAAAAATATCTTTGTATTGATACTTTACAGGTATTCCCCCAAATGAAACTCTAAATATGTGTCAAACATATTATACAGCGAGACTGCTCATGCTTGTGTGCACAGAGTATGATTTTGAGGCTGTAGAAACAAAAACAAAAAATGATTTAGTATTTATTCTTAGGTTATAAAGTCCACGGTGCAAAGCCATGCCCACCAGTGTATGTCAGTGCTTGCATTTTTGTGTTTTGGTGTCTGTCTGATTGACTAAGCAGTAGAGTGCCTCCAGTCTGAGATTATTCCCCCTTTCCCTGCTTCCCTTCAGTTTAACTCTCTCATGGCACAGTAACCTGGAACAAAAAGAAACAACCAAAAGTGCTGATGTTGTGATGTTGCATACAGGTTTATTTATGTTCTTTTACTGTCTACATGTTAAAAAAAAGTCACTTGTCTGCCAATAAAACACATGCATTTTAAAAACAAAGAAATGCACACATGAAATATGTTCATGCTGTCAGAAAAAAATCATGTTATTAAAATTAAAAATCCTGAATAATGTGACCTGTCTTGTTTAAGGTGGATTTCTTTTCTCCTCAAGTTTCCAAACAAATGGTGTGGTCACATCTGTTTTTCATCATCCTTGTCTGTTACCCGCTGGGGTCAGAATTAATTCTTGAAGGCTGATCTTGAGAAAACTTTTCATGCCTTTATAACTTCATGTATAGACTACTGCAACTCCCTATATGCAGGCTTGGGCAAGTCATCCATTAACCGCCTTCAGCTCATTCAAAACGCTGCTGCTCTGACAAGAAAAAGCACGACCACATAACTCCTATTTTAGTAACCCTTCACTGCCTCCCAGTCCCCTTCCGCATTGATTTTAAAATTCTTTTAATTATTTTTAAAGCCCTCAATGGTCTTGCCCCTCCTTACCTGTCCGAGCTCCTGTATCACCACCCCCCAGCCGGAGCCCGAAAACCAGACTCAAGTCTAGAGGTGACAGGGCCTTTTCAGCGGTTGCCCCTAAACTGTGGAACATTTTACCTGCTGCCATATTAGAGCCTCTCAGGGTCTTTTAAATCATCTTTAAAGACCCATATTTTCTCCCTTGCTTTTAATAAATGAGCACACAGGAATCAGAGGCACTGCAGCTTTTATTCTTTTACTGACTGTATTTTATTCTACTGTTTTTAATTTTATTGCTATCTATTTATTTACTTCTTTTATTTATCCCATGTGCAGCTCTTTGTTTGACTGCTGTCTTTTAAAGGTGCTTTATAAATAAACATTGACTTGACTTGACTAAGACTAAAATAAGTAAGAAAAGTGTAAAATTTAATTTAAATTCTCCATTTCAAGCTGATACACCAGCTTGCTACTGATGCTGATTGTGACCTGAGTAACACACAGAATCATCATCATATTGAATTTGTTCTGTAGATTTCAGCAATAAACAAATACTGGCCCTGCTGTTATTCAACATTTTTCACGAAAAAGTGATGGTTCTCTATTTTTTTCTTTATGTGACAGCTGCAAAGTAGAAGTTTTTTTTTAGACCATTCATTTTCCTTCCTGTTGAGTAGTCAGTCCTCTTCAGGTATTTGGTTCTACGGGTGTTCCGTAAAGCTTTACTGTTATTCTGACAACACAGGGATTGTAATACTTAATACTTCATCTTAATATTGTTCTTTTGCATTTTTTAGTCAAATACTTTATAGTGATGCAACACTCATAAAAAGTAGAGTTTAATCTGATCAGCACAGGACAGATATCAGAACAAACTAAACTGATAACAGGAGTTTGAATTGTATTTGTTTTAAAGAGACAAAGATAGAGATCTGTGCAGTAAAATACAGAACAGTTGGCACTATAATATCAAAAATATAAAATATATAATCAAACAGTACCCCTAAACAAATATAATAATTTAAAGAACCATTGCAATAAAAATTTTTACAACTTTGTTTTCAAATTAAGTTAAAAAGTGTCTTTAGAAAGATTTTATCATTTATCTGCTGTCCCTGTGAGTAAACTGTCATCATTTAATAGAAGTGACAATTAATCAAACAGAATTTTTACATGTTTAGATACCTGTATGATTAAAAAGTGTCATGAATTTTAAATTCAACACACAGATGCGATATTTAAGCCCGTCAGCGACCGGGCCTGTTGCAAGTTTCAGCAGCTTTTGGTGAACCCATCAGCAAAGCCATCTTCCTTAACCAGTGTTGGCTTTCTGTTGCACATGGGGCAAAGTTTGTTACGTTCTTGTGACGCTCTCATCCAGATAATCAGGTTCCAGCGCTGACCGGAGGAGATGGGTAAGGCCCCGTGCATGTGTTGGCCCCGATGGAGGAGGCCCTCACTCACCCTGTGTTCAACCTCTGAACACTCTGTCATACCTAAAGGAACCTGAAGGGATGATCAAAACCACAAACTTAAGCCATGATGTGGCGTTTTCTGTGTATGGATGTACTCTTAAGTGTATTTACTACTGTGCATTCAACTACTGTGTTTCATTTTCTTATACAATCACAAAACAGCTGTTTCATTATAGTGTAGCTCTGAAAACAACTATAAATGCAATCTTAGAAATAATTTGCTCCTCTGCTCACTTGTCTCATATCGCCAAAATAAAGGTTGCCTTCAGTGAAATCCTTCCCGAGGGCGACATTGAGGGTGACCTCTGCGTTGTCATAATGGTAGCTCAGGTCAAGGTCTTCATTCAGGTCATATTTCACAACAAAGGCCTTGTGGCTGTCCAGGCAGTGTCCCCCACAGTCTGGGTATAGCAGGGAGGTAAGTGGATGCAGGTACTGCTCACGAAGGGGAGTGATGAAGTTCTTATCAAAGCCTATTTCATTCAGGAGGATCTGATGAGACAAAGGAGTAAAAGATCATATATCAAATGACTTACAGAATATGTAATATCCTATTTGGTTATTGAGAATTTTCTTTAACTTCATAGGAATTAAATTACCAATTGAAAAACATCTAATTAATTTAACAAAGTGTTTTATGATTGACAGGAAAATAGTAGGCCAAGGATTAAATGTCAATGTGCCATAGAGATAAAAAAGCAGTGATTAAATGGTGTTTCAAAGGTTTCGGCCAAGGGTTTGAGAATTGATGCACTACCCCGTATCGATTCATGGTGTTGGGTCTTCCTTTTGGGGCAGAGGACTGCTCAAAGTGCTCCAGCTCCTCCAGAAGCTCCTCGCAGAACCTTTTTTCAAACACAGGGAAGCGGTACACCCTTGCTGGTACAACAGAGAGGAGAGATAAAGATAATTCTCTGTTCATAAGTTTGATGTTGAGATTTTATTATATGGATACTATATTAGAAATTTCATAGATGTATAAAAAATAAATACTATAAATGGATTTTTGATGCTTTATAAATGAGCTAATGATGCATTACAAGTAGTGGGCTCTTAAAAATGTTCCATATTCTGTATTAAAAGTGAGTTTTTATTCCTTGTATGAACCATAGCTACTGAGAACAAATGAGATTACTCTAGATCTTACCTGCCTCTTCCACTAAAAGGTCCAGAAGACCTTCCTCTCTTGTGTTTCTGCTTCGACAGTAATCAACAATTTCTTTGAACTTTGGCGCAAGGTAGGACTCCTATGAAAAAGATGAGTGCTTTAGAGAAAAGCTTAAATTAATGACTTAATGTGCCCTGATTGATGAAGTTCATACCTGAAGATTGTAAACATGAGGATGGAGGGGCTGGTACTGCTCTTTAATAGTAGCAGCTCTTTGGACAGAAGTCTCTCTGAGATGCTTTCGTCGGTCCACTTCCTGCGAGATCTGATCATAACAGTTAAAATCATTGGTGTAGAAGCATCACTGAATATAACTCCTTAAATGTGAGACTGCAAATTTGTTTTCAGGAAACATAGCTTTGAAACAATGTTATCGCACAACAGAGAAACTGCATCCTCTGTATATAACTGCTCAGTTTGGTGCACTTCTTTGGGGATTGGCCTTAGTGTAGTGAAGCTGATTTTAATGTAGAGTAAATACTTGCTTAGGTACATTAATGAGAAGCTTGCTCTTTCACTGGACCCAGTTTACTTTCTTACCTTATTGAGAACATCCTCAAACTGTTGTTCAGTCACACAGCCCGACCTTCTGAGTATCTTAGGTAGAGAATGAAACACATACTTGTTAAACAGGTTCACTGACTGTCGTTTAATTTATATTGTCCCATGTAAAACACGAGCGAGATTCACTCACTGTTTCATAGTCCAGTCGGAACTGCTGCTCGGTTACAAAACTGACATGAAGTTTGTAGTCATTCAGAAATATATTATCTGTGGTAAAACAGTCACAGATGTAAAACTGAGACGTTTCACCTTCCTCGTTTGTCATTGTAATCCGTTTGAAATAACAAAAAGCTCAAGGCATAGAGAGAAGAGTGTGTCAACAACAACAGGACAGTAAACTGAAAAACTACAATCTAACTATTTTGAAAGACGTAAACAAGCTTAATACTTCCGGTTCAACGCTGTCAAGCCCAAAGTCCGGTGTTAAAGCGCCAATATTGACAATAACAGCCCCATTTTCAGGCCGAGCAAAGGAGACACTAATATAAAATAACAATTATCCACAGTGTCAAACTTTTTTGGCGATGACATGAGGAGAAAACTGTTAGCAAGACACATAAAATAATAGCTCTAGCGTATGCGCGTCATGTCCATTGAGGCAGAGGGGTACGTGTCCCACCAGACCTTTTAGATTTCATAGGGTTTTTTTTTATACTTTCTCCTTACTGTCAAAATTGTATTTCTGAATACTTGTAAAATCAGTTATAGTATTACGAGTCAACACAAGTTCACTTCTTGTGCCTGATGTTACACCACAAAAAAAGTGTCCACCCCTCTACCTGTAGTTAGTTTCGCCCAAAAGAGCTGCACGAGCTCATCTCTGCCGGTGTTGTGTCGTAGAATGCACCCCCATTCAATGTTCTCTAACTTGACAGCTTACTGTACAGTTTATATACCCAAGTACACCTCAATGTGTGCATTTTTAGGACACATAAAAACAGAACAAAGGTTTGCTGCTCCATTTGACATGTTGTTATGATCCAATACTCGTGTTGTTTTAAAATATGAGATCATTTTCTTCCACTTTAGGAAGCTAATGAGCGGATGGGATGAAGGGGCTCATTCTACGGCAGGGGTGCATTCTTCGGCACAACACCTGCAGGCCAGTTCAACACAGACAGGGTCACGACGTGTCTCATTGTGTTACTTAACTTTTAAAAGGGAATTAGTTCATTTTATCAATGTGTTGTTGAAGTTCAATCCTTCCTTCGTCCTCTGGTCAACTCCAGTTCTGTTAAAGTACAAGTACGAATGTGTTTATCACATGAGTTACAGCTGGAAAAAATGGAGTATCAGGCTAGCAAAAGATAAAATACAAAGGTTCTTCAAAATGCATTTGATTACTTCTTTAAAATGATTCATCTGAAAGCAGGTAGATAAAAAAAATAGTTTTCCATGTAAATGACAAGTTCAGAGCAAAGGTTATTGTTTAACTTTGATTTGTGTGCCTGAGCCGATATGAAGTTAAACTGGAGGATGCCGGTGTAGTGTTAGCTTCAGTTCAATTTCATATCGACTCAGGCGCCACATGGCCTAACCAAGTGATACACTGAAAAGTTTGAGAAGTTAAATTAAACAATAACCTTTTTACTTACTTCTTTGCTAGTCTTCTCGCCATCGTCTTCTGTCCCCGGCAGCTCACTTCCATTTTGCCTTTTTTTTTTTTTTTTTTTTCATCAGTACCTTCTGTTGTGACTTCTTCTTTTTTTTTTTTTCTTATTAGCAGCAGTGGCAGTTCTGGGCCACCATACATTATAACTGTCTTGACGCCCCTGGATAAACATACCATATTTTAAAGGAATTTTCTTAATTTTATAAAAGGTGATTTGACTTATTTCCAATTACAGACAGAAGGTAATATCATGGATGGACAGGGGGTCTTGAAAGTAGCACTTCCTGCACACTCACACACAGCCCTCCTGGTGCTCCCAGTCTCCCCGGGCTCCTCTCCCTCCTCCCTCCATCCATCAGTTGTATGAACCGTTAGCGGAGCAGCTAACAGCAGCAGCAGCTCCTCACCAGGCCCAGCGGCCGGCCGGTGCATCCTCCTCAGCCTCCAGCCATGGCGTTGGTTACTCTGCAGCGGTCCCCGACCCCGAGTGCCGCATCCACCGCCAGCACAGCAACGACAGCAGCGGGGGAGGTCAGTCTCGGGTCTTTTCGGTGGGCTCAAACGGAGCCCCGGTGTAGTGAGTGTCGGCGGAGAGAGGCTGAGGGTGTGGGAGATGTGACCGTTGGAAGGGCCGTAGATGGAGGCTAAACTAGCACCGTCGGTACCGTGTTGTGCTAGCTAACAGCGGCGAGCTAACCGTCTTCGTTCCTGATAACCACATATTTTCTAACAATATTCATGACAATACTGCTGATAGAGCCGTCGTTTAGGAGTGTAATTAAACTAAGAAAAATATTAATGTATATTTTGGGGGGGAATTTAAGGGAGCTAGTTGAACGTAGCAAGTGCCTTATGAATGATATTGGCTGGAGCTAACATTAGCAATTTTATGATATGACTGACTGTCATTGAGTAATAGCTTTGTTCCCCTAAAGAGATTTATAATAACAGATACAGAGAGTGTTTCTATAAAGGTTATAATATTCCTCCACTGACAGATACTCCAGCAAAGATAGGACACATAACCAGAATACTGCATCCTTATGGGAAAATATTCAACTTTATAATATGTTAACATGTTCCTCTAATAATATGGGTTCATCGTTAAGCTCTACTACTCAAGCAAAGGTTTCATGATTGACTAAAACACAAAACTAAAATCCCTGGAAGATAATTTCCTTTGCAATTTTTTAGGTGAAAATGTTTTTGCTCACTGCCAGCTGGGGGCGCTAATCACCAGTCATAAACGGAGGAGATCATCCTCTACTGCTCTGTATGACTTTATCAATGAAACAAAGTTGTAATATCCTCATATATGTGTGCAACCACCTGCTCTGACATTGGTTTGATTCAGGCAAAATTGGGGGAAACACTTTGTTTTTCCACAGCACTTTCAAAACTCAGTGAGTTTAATGTCAAGTCTACGTTTAAATGTCAAATGGATTACTAAAGGATTTGTTTTCTTGTTGGTTTGGCTGTTGTTTTTCTTCTGGTCTTTGCTGCTGTTGGTGTCGTAGTCCAGATGGGTGGTGAGGTGTGACAGATAATGCTGGCAGGGAGCTGCTGCAGCTATGATGTCATCTACTCATGAGGGGTGGGTGGTGGGTGAGTGGGGTGGAGGAGCACTACTGTAGGAGAGAGAGAGTAAGAGTGAACAGTGGTAAACAGATTTGGTAGGAGCTGGCATGAGGCCGTTTATGCGTGAGATTAGCCTAATAACACTATAATGCAGAGTTGGTCCAATGTCACATGCTTTCCTCGCAGACTGATTTAAGTCCATCCAGACCCAGTCGCTTTCGCTGTTTCTCCTAATGTAATATAATCGTTCTTGTAATCCTTTGAATATATTTGACATGCTGCAGCTATTCTTTTGCAAATACACAAGTCTCCAATCCTGGAAATAATAATCTTGTTTTAGTGGCAGTGATGGAGTTTATTTAATAGTCTTTTATTTGTTTCTTTGGCTTCTCCTTTATATATGAAAATATTTGTTTTTGAGTCTCAACAGGAGTGTAATACTGGTTTACCTTTTGTCACTGTTACTTTTAGAACGTATAAGTAGTTTCTCTTTGTAATATTAAGAAATCATGCACCGATAAATCCGTCGGCCGATCGATCTGCGCGGATTTCCTCAATTTTGGGGGATCGGTGATCCGCTGATCCTTACATATGAAACCGATTTTATCCACCAATCTTATCTACCTCAGCAAAGGTCTGAAAGTCAGCCGTTGTAGCACAACAGTCATGTCCGGAGCATGATCAACTAAGCATGTTGAACCCACGACAAGGAAACCTAAAACTCCTTTATTTGTAAAAGCAAAATACTGCTGTGCGCTTTATTTTAGTGAGAGGCTCAAAACAGGCCTGCAGTGTGACCTGTTGAACAAGTATTGTTAATTTTTAAAATGTGGAAAGTGAAAGACTAAAGGAACTGATATAATTTAGTAGTTTTGACAGCGATACTCTAAACTTTTCATTTATATTTGAGAGAACTACCTCATGTGCAGTTAAAACAAACACAAAAAGGTTTGTATTGTTCTACAAGTATTGTTTAATGTTTTTCATTAAAATAAGATTGGAGTAGAGGAGGTGTATGTTGTCAGTTATTGAAAAAAATCGGTATCGGCAGGTCAAGCTTTTTAAAGATCAGTGATCGACCAGGAAATTGTGATTGGTGCACCTCAATCGTTTAAGTTTATTATGAAACATTTACATTTCATGTAGCGAATGTGGAGTTTCTCAAAAATGGTCAAAGAAGAATCACTGATTAGAAAACCTTGATGATGATTGATCAGACATTTTGTAGAGTCCCACCATTAAAAAAATCACAAAGATTAAAGCTGTCACATCCCCTGTTTGGTTGTCAAACTACATGACAAATCCTCCTTACATGGTCCTGCATCAACTGTCGTCCCGTATTATTCTCAGTTGTTTTGTCAGAAATAGGCCTCACTTATATAACGTGGCGTTCTCATTTTGAACTAAATGAAGAGGTAGTTTGAGGCGATGCCTCTGACTATGATTGATGCAGTGCGTGTTGGCTTGTGTTAAAAACTTTTGCACAGTTCATTGGTTCCCATTATACCCATGCCATGTAGTTGCTTGTCAGGTAATTTGTACCAGACTGTACTTTCTGCTAAACCGTCAGGCTGGTTTTAGTACGCTCACTTGTTTAGGTGAGAAACGTTCAAGTCTTGTCTGTTCTGCTCTGTGCTTTAAGATCTCCTCAGGCTCCTCAGATTTAATGCATAATACACACCTGCTTTACAGCGACTTCACTGGTATTTGCTTGGAGCAAAGTTTTGACAGCAGTGTAAGAATGTAAAGACCAAATTAAACTTTAATTGGAGCATACTGTCTGACTGATATTGAAGTCAAGCTGCACCCCTGTGTATCTACAAAATGTGTTTAATGTTACATGAGAGAGCCTAGTTTTACTCAATAATGAGTAAGAAGTGTTTTACAAAACATATACAGTTTTCCCACGGGTTATTTAGCAAGAAGTGTTGATAAAAAAAGAAGTGAAATTGTAGTGTGAAAGTATATAGCTTGTTGAAATGTTTCATAATCATGTCAGAGTTTGTTGGATGTGGTATTCATTCTCCCTTATCTTCTTTTGCAGGATTTCGGGAGTGAAGATGAACGGCGAATAAATCAGAGGTGAGTTTACTGAAATTTTACACACAGTGTTTTTTCCACTCGTTGGCTGAATCTCAGAGCCACGTGGTGGAACGTGGAGCGGAGAAGCTGGCAGCAATAAACGAGGACTCCAACAGTCAGTGCGATGAAACATCTGTTTGTCTGACTTGTTGGTAGAGTCATCGAGTCTAAATAAGAAACAACAAAACATTGTATTTCCCCAGTAGTCTGTCAAGAAAATGTGTTGACAGCTGTGTCTGCATTTAAAGCAAATCTTAGACTGATGAGACTATTCTTGAACTGTGCATCAGCAGGTGAGTCACGTTGTCTTTCCACCGTGGGCTGAAGACTTTAGTCGTTTACTTACTAGAAATATCAAATACTTCCTCACTGCAGCTTTAACAATAAAAGTTTACAGTTTTGTAAACATTCATTTTGTCCTGTTAAACAGTGGAGGGGAAATATTCACATTTATACCTGTGGTTGGACAGTTGTTGTTTCTATCTTGATGAGCTTGGATATTAAAAATTTAATATTTTAACTTTATTTCAGTTCCTACAGGAATACGTAAAGATTGAAAGTGGGGTCATGGAGAAAAAACTTAGACAGCTGTCGGCATACCTGTCTGATACAGTGATTTATTGTGCGTTAGTCAGCTTACATACAGGTATTGGCAGGTAGGCAAACCAGTAAATGGAAACGGGTACAGATGTAGGCGGGCGGGAGGCAGACATGCAGGACTCTGAACAGAGAACTCTGAAAGCAAAACACGAAGCAAGACAACAACAAAGTTCACAGTAAGAAACATGCACACTTTAAATAATAATAGACACAGCCACAGTGACGTCACCCGTGAATCACTTCTTTTAGAAATCATGAGTTTGGCATCTTGTTACCACCTTGTTGGTTTTCTTAAACCAGAGGATGGAAGAGGAACAGGAGGTTCTCAAGCTATACAAAAATGAGATTATGTTTGTAACGGCTGTTGACTGTAGTTGTTTGGGCTCAAAACAAAGAAGCGTAAATCTAGTCAAATACAGTGAACTCGTAGCAGACACATCTCTGGGCTGTGAGTGGGGGGCAGGTGCACTGACTGCCAACAATCAGTGTGCATGACACACTAACAGTTAGCATGCCATCTTTAGAGACTGCAGATACAGCTATTTAGAGCTGAGATGTAAGAACAACAATACAACATTTTTTGTAGAAACTGAATTACATGTCCAGAGATCAAGAAAGATGTTTCGACACTCAGTGGCAGCAGCTGGCAGCACCCACTCATCTTTAAAAACCACTCCACCTTTAAACGTGCGCAACTTTTAACCACACTATTGTGTCATTTGGTGTTCCCCAAAGCTTCATAAGACCTGTTCTGTCCACCACCATGGAGAAATCCATCAAACTATCAGTGTTGTAAAGAAACCAGAAAGTTAAATCAACATTATCATGCAGGGAATCCCAGAGTTTTATCTACTCGCTGCTCTAACTCATAACTTGGTATCAAAATAGTCGTAAATTAGTATCATTTATTTCCTACGCCACCCAACCACCATAACTACAGTCTGTGCCGAGCAGTTTTTATTATGCAAACAAAACTTTCTCAGCCTGGAAGTCTTTCTCTTTTTCTTCCCAACGATGCAGTAAGGCCAGGGAACCGATTTAAAGTAGATCATTTCCAGGAAACCACTTGACTCAAGTGCTTTAAATGTTTTTTTTCTGCGTTTGATTTTAGTACTACTTATAACTTCATTATATTTGGGCAAAAGAGAAGTGCTTTTGTAATTGTGACAGACTGACTCAGTTGGGTTTAAGCCTGACAGAGTCGGTCCTCTATGGAAAACTGCAGCCAAGTCCCCGAGGCACTTAAAGTTATGAGATCCTCTCCAGTAGAAAGAACAGACACATGCTTTTATTATGTAACGTCATGAGCTCACAGCAAATATAACACAACCTATACATTGTTGACAATTTTAGCTTCAAGCTGCTGTCGGAAAGCTTTCTGTTAAGAGGTTATCTTCACATAGTGAGCCTTTAATCTTGAGATTAAAGTCAGTTGACTACATGCTACTGTATGTAGAAGGTTTGGTTTGTAGCAGCTTCATTTAAAGTCTGCTCTACAGGTGTGTGTGTTTTAATACTGACTGCTCTGTCTGACATTGGGAACACACATTCTTCCGTTTGAGCTGCACTGTGCTTCAGGAATTGGATAACAAGTATCTTATTGTGGTCCAGCTGCAGCGAGGCTGTTTACCCCAGAGATTTAAATTCAGTTTGGATCGGATCACAACAAAAAGCTTTTTTTTTTTTTTGCCCCATTCATAATATCCACTCGTCCTTACAATGTGAATCATGACTGAAGGGGGTCTTTATGTGTCATTCAAAAATTACAGAACCTTCTGTTCCAATACGAGTACACAGTCATGTTTAAAAATATGGAGTCAGGACAGCCTGTACAACAACACATGTACACAACACATTAATCAGAAAATGGTTCAAATAAAAATGACATATATAAACAGTGGGTTCCCAAAGTTCTGATGTGAAAAATGCTGATAAATAAAAGGGGAATAACCTCCAGAGTCTGCAGCTTTAATTGGTTGAGCCTCTTGAGTATTTTAAGGCTTCCTAGCATTAAAAATGGACTAAAACTCTTTTTTTTTATTCACTGCATAATAATAATTTTCCAGATCTCTGTAGAATAAGACCTGAGCTACAGGCTAACCCTAAATGTTACAGCTGCTGGACCTCTTTGGATTTATGAATTACAGATATACAAAAGTCATCAGAGATCGGCCAAAATAGAACCGAGAGATTTGCAAGTCCAAATCATATCATGTCTTGGTAGCCACAGAATAAACGTTAAAACATTTTTTTTTTTAAATGATGTAAAGGTTTCCCTTTCTCTTAGATTTTCTGTCATGAGATTAGTTTTTTTTTTTTCTTGAATTTGTAGTTCTGTGAACTCTGCTCCTGGGAAGTGGAGGAATATTTTTAAACAAGGTTTCTGCTGCAGGGTCTTAAAAAGTATTAAAATGTCTAAAATCCAATAATTTGAATTTTAAACTTCATAAAATGTCTATAATTCTCTTAAAACTTCATAAAATGTCTAGAATACAAATTAGTTACTTACAAATTAAGATTGATTTGAAGTAAGTTTAAAATGTTCAGATTTCCCTTCATGTCTTAAATACTTTTTTGCTAGTATGGATGTAAAATCTTAAATTGTATTCATTAAAAATTCTTAAATTTGACTTGTTGAAACCTGCAGAAACCCTGGTTAAAAGGTTGAAGAGTCTTGACCTTCACGGGTCTGAATTTGACATTCAAAACTCTGCGTTCGTTTTAGTTATACAACAGCTTCGACTCTGTCCTTAAGCAATTCATGCGTGTGAGTATGATCTATCTCAAATCCAATCATTTGAATTTAAAGCCTTAAAATGTCTAAAATCCTCTTAAAACCTTGTAAAATGTCTTGAATACAACATTGAAAGGTCTTAAAATGCACTGGTTACTTACTAATAAAGATTAATTTGAAGTTAGTTTCAGATGTCCAGATTTCACTTCATGTCTTTTGTACTTTTTTTGCCAGTATGGATGTAAACAAATCTTAAATTGTATTAATTATGGTCTTAGAAAGTCTTAAATTTGACTTGTTGAAACCTGCAGAAACCCTGTTTAAAAGGTTGAAGAGTCTTGACCTTCACAGGACTGAATTTGACATTCAAAAGTCGGCGTTCGTTTTAGTTATACAACAGCTTCGACTCTGTCCTTAAGCAATTCATGCGTGTGAGAATGATCTATGGATGATGCAAGCTCTGTCTTGCCTCGAGATTGCCTCCATTTTTTGAGGGCTGGTAATTCCCATTATGCAATTCAACTGCGGGTGAATCTCACTTTTACAACATAAAACCAAGTTGTCGTGTATTTTATTCATCAGGTGTATTTCTCTTAAGATCAGCAGCACTTATCTTGCGCTCTGGACAAACAGCGCCGTGTTTTGATGGATAGCTAAACAGCTGCCAAGTGGGAGTATTTGGTGTTCTCTGTACCCGACTGACCTTGATAATGACGATGAGCCTAAAGGGTTGACGGAGGCCAGTGTAAACATGGCGCAGGTGTTGCAGGCACAGAACCAAAGAATGATTTCATCTTACCACCTTGTGCATACAGTACAAAGTACAATTAGGCAAGAAGCACCAGTAGATGAAAATATGTGGGTTTGCATATGTTAGAGTGTTTGGAGTAAAAGGGGGAGGGATTCAGCTCTGAAGATAAGATGAAGGATTTACCGACGATTACCTCCACAGAAAAAAAAAATATACAGGAACATTCCTGCTTCTTACAGAGTCGCTTTAAACTCACTGCAACACTTTCTCACTTTAACATCACACTTGTCAAGACTGGTAGTGATTCAGATGGTGTAATAGGTCAAAATGTTCCTCGTGGCTCTGAATGGAGAATATGTTTGCAGTTAAAGCATCATTTCTTCTGCCTCTTTATAGGGGTTTTTCCTCAGTTACACAATGATGTCATTTGTCTCCGCTGACACCTGAGGAGATTTATTTCTCCTTGTTCTGTTATGCTCTCTTCCTCTATTTTCTACCCGCTTGTGTGTGTAAATGAGAAAATGCCAGTATTATGCAACTGGCAGACTCAAGAGGAGCCCCCTTTTTTTTTCTCGCTGTGCCGGTGTGTGAAGAACACTCTGAGGTCCTGAATAAACTATCCCGGTTACTGCGTCTGTGTAGATAGTCTTAAATGTAATCCAGAGCACCTCTCTCTCACACGTACCGTTATACCTGGTGATTCAGTCCGTGGCTTAGAGGACATCTGGTCTTGTCGGTCCATCTGCTGCAGCAGCAATCTATACCTCACCTCTGCGACATGTCATCATCTGTGCCTGCTGCTCTTATAGCTAGACGTCATGAGATGAGGATGATCCTAAATCCATCAAGTTCCTCCACTTTACATACATCTGAAACCTTCAGTTTCACCTGGAATGGGACTGAACCAGGTGTATCTGGTTCAGTGTTTGATCCCAACAAGTTGCAGCAGACTTAGTTGGTTTTTCTGGGAGAATGGGAGGGCTATCTTGTTATCTGTGCTGCAGTGCCATTGTTAATGTCTGTCAGCAAATCCTCCCAGATTAACTGAGCTGCTTTATAAGTGCACGTGTTAGGGTTCGAATGCTAAGCTTAGAGAGAAAGTTTAAAGGAAAGTTGTCGCTCATATCAGCTTTTAAACCCCTAACATAGACAAATCTGTATTCTCAATTTTAGCATTTTATTAACTTCCTTTGCAAGAGTACATTAGATTAACAGTTTTGGATCCAGATTTTTGCAGGAAAAAAATGATCAAATGTTGTCGCTAATGAATTTGACGTAAATAAAAAAAGAAATGCCCTCCATAACCTGCCATTATACTCTCTAATTATCAAACTCTATACAGTTTGTTTGCAGTACAGTACAGTGGAGTGAGTGACAGCAGCTGCTGGCCACTTGAAGAAGAGAGACAAGATAATCCCTCCCTTATAAGCCCGAGTATAATGAGATTTGGGAGGTTTTGGAAGAATGCCAGCTCTCACTGTCCTCTCCTCCAATGCTTGGCTCATGTGTTAAGCTCCCTGGAGGCACTGTCTTGGATTCTGTTGACCCTCATTGTGGCATGCACATCGAGACGTCCTATTAGGATTCCTCTGTCTACTTTTTTTTGTCTCCTCCTGATTGAGAAAGTGGTCCTGCTTTTTCCCCCCTTTTTGAAGACAGTGAGAGAAAAACAGCCGTCCAAACTCAGGAGATGGTTTCTGTCGGACAACAACACAAGATCCTGGAAGTGGACATGTTTTACATAAAGAGGAAACCTTTTTATGGTGCGCTGATTCAGACCTGATGAGTGGGGAAAGTGAAGAGCTCACGCAGAAGGATTTCCTCTGGATTTATTGTTTTCTGAAGTTTGTGTGATAGACTTTGAGTCTCTTGAGGAAAGTCAGCAGGTGTTTTCTATTATTACCTCTCTTTGCTGATGTGAATGTGTAACCTAGAGAGCACTGTTGTTGAGGAGTGGGACCAAGACAAAATAGACAGAGAGCTCAGTTGCGTGAGCCTGAGGCAGCGGGCGGAGACTGCAGTACGTCCCTCCAGGCGGGAGTCTGACTCGCACACTCACTCTGAGAGGCTCAGATGAGGAGGAGAAAACCAGAGGGTGTGGCAAACTGAACAGACGACACTTCTCCACTGAGCCGCACACATGAGCGCAGACTGTCACTCTGCCTGTCACTCAGAAGTGGTGGACTAAGACCTGAACCTGTCCTTCCTTCCTTCCTTCCTTCCTTCCTCTGCTGCTTTGCTCCTTTGCTGCTTCTTGAGGGCTGATGAAGAGGAGGTAGCTCATATCGGATCGGCCCTGGTTCTGTTCCAGTCAACAGGATGCATCTGGTTCTAGAGCCCATTCAGGAGGCCATGATGAAGATGATACCCTACTTTGTGGAGAATGCTGTCTTGACCCAGAGTGAGATAAACCGCATGTGAGTGAAGTCTGCTACGGATGAGATTTAGGATCAAACATCTGACTCTTGTTTAGGTTTCTGTCTCTTAAATCAACAGATGATTCATGGCTCTGACTCTAAATCACTTGTATAACGCTGGGACTTAAATGTTGGCCGAGTTATTTTGCAGCAGATGTCATGGTGTCATGTCAGGCCAGCCGCCAGATTTAGCACGTACAAATGAGCTGATGGACTTCAACAAACTAATTCATCATGCTGCATTGACTTATGTCTGTTGATCTGTGTCTGCATTTTTTTTTAGTCTCTGAGCGCTGTAGGTTGTAATAACACAGGATCACCGAGGTTATCTGCTGAGCTTTACTGTCGTATTCTTCAGAAGCTTTGATGGCAGATGTATTTTTAGCTCTGGTGTTTGTGGAGAAACTGATAGCAGGGTGCTGCAGGGCAAGAGACAGTAGAGCTACGGCCGTTTAATTAGGACGTCTGAGAACGGCGTGTAAAACAGCGGGACAGCCCTTGATTTACGCATGAGAACAAGTTTCACACATCCTCAAGTTTCCTCTGAGAGCTGTCGGAGATGTGATGTCTTTTTTTTTGTAGATGTTGTCAGGTATCGCAGACCGGCAGGCTTGGGATTGTGTGAACACATCCATAATGAGGCTGTGGACCTCTTCTTCGTGCTCATATTATACATCATTCTGTGACAGTAGACCCTCCTGACACCCTCATAAATCTGCAACAAAGAACAGACTGAAACAAAAAAAAAAATCCACCAAAGTGAGACAAAAGCTCTCATTGAGAAGTGTCCACCCTCGTGCTTTGTCACTATGGAACTCGCTATTTCTTTGGTGCTGCTGAGGGCGGCGGGAATTTATTGTGAGGTGTACAAAACGAGGTTCATTGTTCAGAGAAAATCGTCTGTTTAGCCCCGGCCTGCCCCTCTGTATGTGGGTTTTGAAACTTACTGAGAGCCGAGTGAAGGAACAGTAAGATTTGTCGTTATTGGTCTCTACTTGAACTTGAACTTAAACCTCCAAAATGTTCATGTTGATAATGAAAACCGTCATTTTCCAACATGGCAGCACTGATGTTTACAAATGCAGATAGAGTTTCGCTCTTTTGAGCTCATTATAGGCTAAGATTACTAACATCACACTCTCACGCTGCGCCTCTCGCTGTGTTTAAAGCAAGCGGCAGCCTCTCGTCTTGAGAAGTAAAGCTGATGTAGAAGTGTTTATAACTGCAGTTCCTCAATTGTCCACATAAAACTGTCCGCAAAAGCAACAAACTTTATGCCTCTGTTTGAAAAAGCCCAACTTTAAATGTCTGATACTCAAAGACTATTTGACTTAAACAGCTACGACTCTGTTAAAGGAGGTGAAGTTTTTGCAACGCATTAGTTTTAAAGATATTAAGGTTAGAGAGGCTTTGCATAATCAGAAGCAGAGCTGACTTGACAGGCGCACGGTAGCCGTCGCCAAGGAGACTAAAAGCCGGCCTCAGCTCCACCTCTTCGCCTCTTGTTAGGATGACCGAAAGTTCGGTCGAGTCAGCGTTTCCACCAGTGAGGCGATTTCCTCTGATAGGCTGAAAACAGCGGGTGACATCACTGATGTTTTAGACGGTCTCAGGTTTGGAGACAGGTTTTTCTTTGGTACCGGGTTTGGATTTTGTCAGTCATCACTTCCTTCATTTCTTTTATGATGTTCTAGTTTGTCAGAATAAACGCTGCATGTGTTTCATCCTGCTGTCAGGTACATTTATAAACACACTCAGGTTGTTTTTGAGTGAAATGTAATGATTGAATTCAGCCTGGAGGGAAAACCTCACTTCCTGCTCTTTATTGCAGTCACTTATGTAATATGTTGACAGCTCCAAAGCCTTACCCCTGTTTAAAAAAAAAACATCCCTTTCTAATTGTAGGCGTGAACTGCTAATTGCTGCTTTTGTTCATTGTAAACAAACATCTGCTGTTAGGTTGGTTATTCAAGTCTGTGCGCTTGACACAGAGACCTGATGAATGCGGCCCAGACCGAATCAGAATCAGAGCTTTGATTTATAGCTGCTGCAGACCCGAGCTCCTCTTCTGTAACGTGGCCACTGACTTCTTCCACTCATCTGCTGAGATAATTCACAGGCAGCAGGAAACCATGATTTACGCTCACTTTGTCGGCTGCGCTGAGCTGAACTGCTGAATCTTTTATTTATCTTCCATTTACTTTCTCATCAACAAATAAACAAACCGGCTCTAATGTGCTGAGCTGTCCCTCTGCAGCAGCGTGTCTGATGTGCAGCATCCGTGTTCGACCGCCTCTAACCTCTTACTTCCATCTGCTCTGCAGCCTGAGCGAGAGCTTCTTCATGGTGAAGGGTGCTGCCCTCTTCCTGCAGCAGGGGAGCAGCCAACAGGGTCAGAAAGCACATCCTCACCACAAACATGCAGGTAAGAAGAACCCCGTCTACTCAAACTGTGTGCTCACATGAACCTCTTTCTAGGGTTGGGAGAAAAAAATCGATACAGCATAGTATCGTGATATTTTGTCTGGTGATATATCGTATTGTCACATCTACTAAGTAATGTTTTTTTAAATTAATTGCTAATTTAAAGTCAAATCTATGATAATGGAGAAATAAAAACAACACTTTGTCCAGTGAGGTTGGCAGAGGTAACATCATAGAGCAGGAGGAAGTTAGTGCAACAAATATACAGTATATAAGGTTTGCAAGAATAAAATACAGCGTAATAAGACAAACGTAAATAGGGATTGGAATAGAGAACCAGTTCTTGTTGAGAACCAGTTTCAAATGGTTCAGTCCATCGACATCGTTTTCATTTTATCTTAACAATTCCCCTAAAGATTCCTTTCTTCCGGGTGACAGAAACGAAACAAAAAATAGGCAGAAACGATCTAAAGCGTGGCTCAAAATTTTCCGCATGACTCCGCCCTGCTTAGTAGTGTCCTCTTTTTGGGGACCCAGAATATGGTCACCCTAATTTGACTTAATACTGACCAAAGTAAGTGCTGTACAAATAGTTTGCTGACTCTTACTGAAGGTGGCGTACATCTTTTCTGTTATTTTGAGTTAACAGTGAAAACCTACAGTCTACTTTTTTTAAATCAAAGAAAGGCATTGATAAGGGAATCATTAAAGAATTGAATCGATAAGCAGAATCGATAATGGCATCGATATCAATAAAATCTTATCAATTCCCATCCTTAAACAAAGGGAAAGCCAAATGCTAAATTAAGCTAAATAGATGAAAAAAATTGTATAAATCACAATATATTGTATCGCAATACTCACTGTATTGCAAAATCTTAAAAATTGCAATAATATCGTATCTTGGCCAAAGTATCGGGATAATATCGTATCGAGGGGCCACAGGTGATTCGCACCCCTACCTCTCTCTCACACTTTCCTCTTTCAGGTAATGCGGTTTGTCACTGTCCCGCTCCTCTGCTTAAGCAGCTGTTCGTAGCTGAAGTGAGGAGGATAGACGTGCCGTCTTGATCAGCATGTTCCAGACGTATAGCTTAGGCAGATTAAAGCTTAAATCCACAGCATGGTAGCTTTGTGAGCAAAACTTCTGTGGACGATTAAAGGAAGCCCTGAGATGTTTAGATCACCTTGTGTGCCCCCCTTGTGTTCACTTTCCAGAGGGGTACGGCAGGTAAATGTGAACTACTCTCCTAACACTCTTAACTGAAGTAACAAAACTAAAAGTCGGGTTACTTTTTATAAGAAAATCTAAGAAAGGATCGTCTCCACACTCCGTAATTAACAGGGAATCAGTACGCGGTTAATGAGCTCATCTCAGATCAGACTATCGAGGTGACTGACATTTCAGAGCGGTTGGATGGGCTAATCTTATATTCTTGACATTTTATTCATCATTTAGATGTGGTTTGGTGGTTTAAACACATTCATCTGTTGTATGAAAACCTCAGAACACACATCCGCTTTACACAGATTTTAATAGAAGGCTTTCTTCTTCACTGCAAAATGCCACAACCATTGCTTTTACAACACGAGCCTGACCCCACGGTGCACTGGGATAATGGGAAATCACCAACAAGCAACAGCAAACAAATACTGCCAAGTCATTTGGCCGCTCAGTTGGCAGCTTTGTCCGCCCTGTCAGGTAGACTACACATTCGCCTGCTCTACTTTGCTTTCCAACAAATTCCCCAGTTACTTTGTACAAGTCACACAGCTCACTTTGCTCTTCTGAAGCCAAAGAGCTCGGGAAGGTCGTCTCTGCTCTATGTACTAATTTTCTATCACCAGTGTCCTCTGAAGCATCGCCACCGACAGGATTAAATATCATGTGGAGACAAACATGGCGCTACAGGATAAAAACACTGTCATCTATGAGGCTTCACCAGAGACATGAAATGTAACTATAATTATTAAATCATTAACTGTAGCTGCATCTGACAGTCAGTCATCTTTGTCATGAGCTGAAGTGTGTCCTGTGAAGCCCACTAATACAGGCCAAACAGAAGCTTATCTCTAACCCGACAGTCTGTGGTGTCAGTCGAGGTTATCAGCTGAACTTGTTTACACCCCTCATCTCAACACAGACACATGATACAAACTCTCTGTTGATGTATTTATGTGTCTGACTGTGAATGACTTCTATCCTGCAGATGTTGTGATTCAGAACAGAAGCCAGCTTGGCCGCCACAGGGCCGTGAACTCACTTGACTTTCCCTCTTTGATCTATTTGTATTCATAGTACTCAAGTTTTCTATTCAAGATTCGTTATATATCAGTATTCTATTTAGGGTTTATCTATTTATATCTATCTGTGTATCTATGCATCTATATATCGATACATCTATCTATGTATCTCTACATCTATATATCTATACATCTATCTATTATGTATCTATCTATCTATACATACATATATCTGTCTCTCTATCTATACATCTATACATCTATCTACTATCTATATATCTATCTGTGTATCTATACATCTATCTATTATGTATCTAACTATGTATACATCTGTATATCTATATGTTATCTATCTATTATGTATCTATCTTTACATCTGTATATCTATCTTCTATCTGTATATCTATTTATATATATATATATATATATATATATATATATATATATATATATATATATATCTAACCAAAAGATAGTTATAAACTATATCACCTGATTTTTGTCTTAACTGAATGGCTCTCAGCAGGCGAACATGTTCAAGTATCCCTTAATAACTCTTACTCTGTACAAAGTTGGAGCTTAAATTTTTGAATTTCTCCCTGTGGGACTAGTAAATGAACACCTTATCTTAAAGTTGCCTCCCCACATGATGATCACTGTAAAGTTGTCCTTTCTTTATCTAGTTTAACTTTGTATTATTATGTAATGTCTGAGGTCAACATGGGATGTATGCACTTTCCCAAGCTTTTTACCAAAAACAGATATACATAAAAACCTGAAATGAGGTGATCAGTGTCACCGTGATTGACACTGAAAGGGACCTGCATGTGCAACCGGGCTATGAATAGTCAGTCACTTTCATTTCATGTCAGAAGCTGTAATTACAATCAGGCGACCTGTTGTGACATACTTCAACACAGTCAGCTTCTCCACCTGCTGCAACTTTGAATAGCTGTTGTTCCACCTCCACACCCTGTTTTATGATCCAGCTCCACTGACACATCTGACATCAGAGCTGGCAGAGAGACAGAGAGAGCTTTTATTGAACAAAGACAGGCTCTTGAAATGTGGTTTTTGTGGTTGGAGTAATTAACTTATGTAAAGGTGAAAAATGTGCTGTCGGTTCGTGTCGTAATGGGACGCATCAGCTTATCAGAAAAATGAAGGTGGTTCTGTTATCGTCTCAAAGGACTCATAGAGAAGGAGTTTAACTGAATCAACAGGAGCAGAGTGACTTTTCTAAACTTCGAGCTGCACTTTTTACATGATGTAAATCCATTGTATTTATTACGATCTCACTCATATTCCTAATCAGTGTTGCCAAGGTAAAACAGGCTTTACTATCAATGGTTCTCAAAGACAGTAAGCCACTGTAATTGACGAGTGAGATGTTTTAACCCTGACATCACCTCTCTCTCTCTCTCTATGATTCCCATCAACAGGCGACTTACCTCAACACCTGCAGGTGATGATAAACATTCTTCGCTCAGAGGACAGAATCAAACTGGTGAGAGACAACACAAATATGCATGCATCCAAACAAAAACACGTACACACATACAGACTTGTGACTAACAAGCTGGCAGCGAAAACCCCTCCAGAATGCATTTTATTGTGTACTTAAGCAGCTTATTTGTTCACTGTAATTACTGGTTCATGAGAGCAGGTTTGAAAGCACTCAGGAGAGCATTACCAAATGTTTCCATGGTGCGGGAGCGAGAGTTATTTCATTTTATGTTTACCAGCCCTATGTTCGCTCACATCCCGAGGACTCGCTCATCCCATTACTTCAAATTTTGAGAGGCAGTTTTCTTTGCCCAGCCAGCTGTGACACTCGTGTTGGGCACAGATTTCAGCAGCAGAGCCAGTGCATCCACCTTTTAGATCTCTGAGGCATCTACTGTTATGTGTGCAACAAGTGTTTTACTCTAATAAATGGAGCATGATACTCATTCTGCCATGAGAGACTAATGAAACTAATGAACTTTGGCTTGACACGAATGTTAAGATAGATTTTGATTTACTGTTTTTTTTAAAGCTTGTTTACTGCACTCTTAGATAAAGTATAAACAACTTAAAAAAGGGAAGTGAAATTTCTTACTTTTGATCAAGATGTTCTGGTGTTTCATTAGAAGTACATTGTCTGTAATGTGTCCAGGCGGTGCGTCTGGAGAGCGCATGGTCAGATCGTGTGCGGTACATGGTGGTGGTGTACACCAGTGGGCGACAAGACACGGAGGAGAATATCCTACTGGGAATCGACTTTACCAGCAAAGACTGGTAAGAGCAGACTCTCTCTTTGTGGGTGTTTATGATCAAAAATTAAGTTTCAATTCTAGAGTAAATGGCAGGTGATGAGCTGAAATAAACAGCATACATGTTTATGTTCTGGTCAGTCACAAAATCTGAGTCCTTTTTGTCAAGAGAACTACAGACCAATGAATCACATGTTTTTTCACTCACAGGTGTTTCAACATTTTTAATGTAGTAGACCTAAACACAGACGTCATTGTTTAGATTCAAACTCTCTTGAAGTATCCTTAAATATAGCAGTGGTGGTGACAGATTCCCATGGTGGAAAATCATGTTCATGTAACCGACTCGCATTCAGGTCTAAACAAAGAAAAGTCTATTTTTATCCGAAATCTTGGGTGTGTAATTCTCTTCCCTTTGTTCCAGTAAAAGCTGTTCAATCGGCATGGTGCTACCTCTGTGGAGTGACACAAAGATCCATCTGGATGGAGACGGGTGAGTCCTCTCCGTCAGTGTAGACATCACAGCTGCAGCCCCTCACACAGCCATGTCTCCTTATCTGTACTTACACCACATCAGTAGCTGGCATTTGAGCACTAAACATGATAGACTCGGAGCATCGCGGTGCTCAGCCAATGACCATCTGTGTTATGTGCCTCCTCAGGGGCTTTACTGTGAACACGGCAGGCCGGACCCATGTCTTTAAACCTGTGTCAGTGCAGGCTATGTGGTGAGTAACTAACGACCTCAAAAAAGAGCTTCTTCATGACACAGCACAATAAATCTCCTGATAAACACATGTGCCACTCTGCTGCTGCAGTGAGGTAAGTGGAGGCAGCATTGACTCAGTCTGCCCCCTGCTGACACAAACATGCATGTGCAGAGAATTGCATTGAATCTTAAAAACACATATAATCGTTTTTACGGGACTCAAAAGTGTAACACTTATTCACCCCAATGACCACAATGTAGGTCAGCCCTGCAGGTGCTGCACAAAGTATGTGAGGTGTCAAGAAGGTATAACTACTTCCCCGGGGGCATGGCTCTTACTTGGATGGGCTACTATGAGAGCTGCATCGCCTCAGACCAGAGCTGCATCAACGAGTGGAACGCCATGAAGGACCTGGAGACCACCCGGCCGGACTCGCCCACCATGTTTGTTGACAAGTCAGTAAACACAGAAGTAAACCGGTGTCATACATGTTATTGATAAAAGCTTTACGGTTCAGGAGCGGTTGTTGTGCGAGTGCTGATGTTTGTATGATCGTGTCCTCGGTAGGCCTTCAGAACGAGAGAGGACAGAGTGCCTTATCAAAGCCAAACTCAGAAGCATAATGACGTGCCAGGACCTGGAGAACGTCACCTGCAAACAGGTAAGTTTACTACAGCACACAAACACACACAGAAAAGAAACAAAACCTCAGCTTTGTGTTATTGTATCATAAGTGGTTGCAGTAACTTCTCATTTTGTTGAAAAAGTACATTATGCATATGTTTTTTTTTTAGATGTAACAGTGATTTATGTATGACAGAATTTCTCAAACTTCTGTAACTCTTAAACTGTTACATATATTTTGTGGCTGCAAATGCAAACCCAAAAGTATCACCCACCCAAACTTTGATACTGTTGTTTTTAAATCCTTTTTGAACCGTTCATCTCTTGTTCTGTGTGATTGACAAAAATCAACAAATTCAGTGAAATTTTCTTTGGCAGATACGCACAGAGTTGGAACAACACATGAGCTGTAACCTGAAAGAGTACAAGGAGTTCATTGACAATGAAATGCTGCTGATCCTGGGCCAGATGGACAAAGCCACTCTCATCTTTGACCATGTCTACCTGGTGAGACAACTGATACCGTCTCTTAAATGTCTGTTACATCTGACGTTTCTTGTGAATAACTCCAGGATAAAAAGGCTCTCTTTAGTTTCCGCCTGAAATGATTGTTTTTAGAGAAAGAACAAGCTCACTGAGACTTGAATCCATCTAAACAGTGTTTTGCTTTATTTGTTTGCAGGGATCAGAGTGGAATGCGTCTAATTTGGAGGAGCTGCAGGAGACAGGGTGATTTATTTCATGTTATGGAGGAGCTAAGATAACCGCACATAAAACAACATTTTCATTATGATTCGAGCGAGAAAGAATGTTGATGATGACGGGTTACATTATCCTTCCTCCCCAGGGTCAGCTATATCCTCAACGTTACCCGGGAGATAGACAACTTCTTTCCAGGCACATTCAATTATCACAACATACGCGTCTATGACGAAGACGCCACTGACCTCCTGGCTCATTGGAATGACACGTACAACTTTATTGTTAAAGCAAAGTAAGTCCTGAGTTCAATAGAAATCATGTTCGATTTCGTGTCATGTTCGTCACTAGTATTGGGCGGTATGAACAAAATCTTAAATCACGGTATAGGTAATTTCATATCACAGTATGTTTTTCCCCCTGTAAATTTAATTATTGGCTTAAAAGTAACCAAACTGTCGCATTTGTTCCTTTTCCTTTAATTTTTAAACTTGGATTTGCTTACAAATACAAACAAAATGTCAGACCAGTCTGGCATTTTTTTTTCTCGTATGGCGTAACTTTGGTGAAAGACTGTTTTGCTTGAGAGGAGCTGCTCCAGCTTTAGTTTTTAGTGCAGTGGGTGCGCCACATGTCTTAGTTCTCATAATAGTTTGGCGTGTTTCATCTTTTAAGTGGTGTAAAAGGTTGTTGGTGATTCCACCTCCAGCAACGACAGCCACACACACTCTTTGTTTTTTGTTTTTTGATCATTGTCGGATTTTCTAAATCTCAAGAATCTCCAGACAACCGATGTCGCGACTCGCGCCCTTTTTCAGAACGAGTTCCTCCTCCTCTTCATCGTGTTGGGTGGGTCGGGCTGCCTCCATTTGCCTGGTGCTGCAACTAATCTCTGACACGCTGGTGAACCTACGGAAACGCACCCAAACAGATGCACTCCAGCTTTCCTGTGAGCGAGCACAGACAACTACAAACTGACTCAGAGAGATGCAGCAGACGTCTGCTCTCTCTCTCTCCGGTGTAAACAGTATAGCCAAATTTCTACCGGTAAACACTTTAATACCATCAGAAGTATATACTGTAATACCGACTACTCGTCACTGTGGACTCTCTTAGTGTATCAGTTACATTTGAGCTCAATTCTACTCCATATTTGGGAGTTCTTTATTCAATCTGGTATCTTTTCTCATATCTGGTTCCCCTAAAAAGCTCATTTTTATTCGAATGTCTTTCATCGTCTTTAGGAAGAACCACTCCAAGTGTCTCGTTCACTGCAAGATGGGTGTCAGTCGGTCTGCTTCTACTGTCATCGCTTACGCCATGAAGGAGTTTGGCTGGTCGCTGGAGAAGGCTTACAACTTTGTCAAGCAGAAGAGGAGCATCACACGACCGAACGCAGGCTTCATGAGACAGCTGGCTGAGTATGAAGGCATCTTAGACGCTAGGTACGACAGATTTTTAAACACAAATGTGTGTGGTGTTGTTTGCTAGTCGGGAATGATATGCCGAGAGTGATTTCTGTTTCCCTCCTCACTTTCTGTTTCCAGTAAACAACGTCACAACAAGCTGTGGCATCCAGATGCTGACTGTGAGATGGTTGAGGGGCAGCAGGGGCTGCAGTGTTGTGGCGGGGAGGAGGGAGGTCACCTGACGCCCGAGCCGGGGATGTCTCCATGCTGTGAGGAGGTGCTCTCTGATAAGGGGGCCGCCTGTCCCTCCCCCCGTAGGACTGTAGCGCTTGAGATCGACCCTGCTTACAACAATTACTATTTCCGCCGGCTATCTGACTCTGCACTGGACAGTGAACCGTCAACTCCCGTGCGCGGCCCTCCCCTCATCGGCATGGAGAAAGTCTTCATTGAAATCGAGGATGTGGAGCGGGACGCCCTGCTGGATGACGAGGCTTTTGACGGCCGCGAGGGCCTCCCTCTTCCTCACTTTGGGCCGACAGCAGAGGGAACCGCTGCTCAGACATGCTCTCGGGGGCCCGAGCCGCTAGAAGAGCTGCGTCTTAGGCTAGAGTTCAGCACAGTGGAGGAGGAGGACGAGGAGGAGGTCCAAAAGGAGGAGGCAGAGATGGAAGTACTCATGCAACCAGACGATGGAGGGGGCGGGGAAGCAGGCGGAGGAGAGGAAACACAAGACGTGGAGGTGGAGGGGGACGCAGACGGCAACGGGATGGATCTGGCAACCCTGAATGAAAACTCTAACAATAACAACCACATGCTGACTCCAAATAACCTTAAGGTTTGTGTCAAAATGTATTTATTTTTCAAACGTGTGACACAAGAAAATAAACTGAAAACAAACAAATAAAACCAATGAGAATATTCAAAACAACAATAACAATAATCAAAGCAAATAATAAATAAAAATAAAATAAAAAAATACTAATAATAATATCGTGAACCCAAAGTGCGATAAGGAGTAGGATGAAGCATTATCCTCGTCGTTTTCTTCCGTTTATCCGGGTCCAAGTCGCAGGGGCTGCAGCTTCAAGGAAGCCCAGACGGCCCTCACCCCAGCCACTTCCACCAGCTCCTCGGGGGATTATGAGGCGCTCCCACACCAGGCGAGAGATATAATCCCTCCACCTGGTCCTGGGCCGGCCATGAGGTCTCCTCCCGGTTGGACGTGTCCGGAACACCTCTAACGGGAGGCGTCCAGAAGGCATCCTAACCAGATGCCCGAGCCACCTCAGCTGACTCCTCTCGACGTGGAGGAGCAGCGGTTCTACTCTGAGCGCCTCCCGAGTGTTTCTAAGGCTGAGCCCGGCCACCCTGCGAGGGAAACCCATTTCGGCCGCTTGTATCCGCGATCTTGTTCTTTCAGTCATTACCCACCTACTCCTTATCCTCCACTCAATAAACAGTCTCCAACATATTTACATTATATTCACAAAAAATCGAACATAAATCGAGTAAATAAGTACACAGATCATGTATGAAAATGCCCACTTTAACCTTGAATAATCCCTTTTTATGATTATTACCTTGTTCCTTCTGACGCTTTGTCTCTTCTCTCTTTAGGAAGAAGCTGCCCCCGCCCCCTCCTCCAGGACCAAGCAAAAAGAAGACTCTCCACCCCTCGTTTTGAAGCTTTGCCTTAATCCCAGTCCTTCTGAAGTCCCAAGTGCTTCACACCCACTGCCCCATCCCTCTTCTCAATGCCTAAAGTCTTCAGTTGTAGTGCTGCACCCGTGTGGCCCTCTTTGTGACTGTGCCAACTGTGCTGCCTCCCCTCCTAAAGCTCCACTCGACAGAGACGAGAAGCCGGTAGACCCGCCGCATTTAATGGAGCTGAAGGGCAACGGCGATTTAGTCCAAGTGAAGACTGATAGTGTAATAAATCAACCTGCTGCTGCCTTTGAGGTTGTCCCCGAGTTAGTTAGCATGGATTCACAGGAGGAGAAACAAGGTGTGGCTTGCTACATCGGCCAACAGCAGGAGACCCTTTCTCAGCTGCAGCGGTCTGGGCTGGTTCGCCGCCGTGCAGAGAGACTCGAGAGACTTTCAGGTTTATCGAAGGAGAGCCTGCACTTTCTGAAGCCTTTGCACGAATGCCAAAAGTCTAAGAACAGCCCCTTTCACCCTGAAGAGGAAGAGGAGTTTCCCAGCATTACCGCCGGAGACTTCCCCAAATCTTCCACGCCATGCCAAGTGCGGTTAGAGCCTCTGGTGGTGCCACTGACCAATGAAGCCTTGTTGGGGGTGGTGGGCTCTGGGTTGCTCACACCCACCTCCTCGCCCCACGGCTCCACACTGACACGCAGCTCCAGCAGCGACAGCCTGCGCAGCGTGAGGGGGAAACCCGGCCTTGTGCGTCAGAGGGCGCAGGAGATCGAGACCCGCATGCGTCTGGCGGGCCTGACCGTGCCCTCGAGGCTTAAGAGGTCCAACTCGCTGGCCAAGTTGGGCAGCCTCAACTTCTCCTCAGAGGACCTGTACTCAGCCTGCTCCTCGGACGCAGGAACACTGCTGCTCCTCTCACTGTCCCCAGAGCCAGACCCCGGCCCAGAGTGGGACTCCCCAAACACACACGCTCTGCCCAGGCCCTGCAAGGACCTGCACACTCCAGAGAGAGCGCTTCCAGGTGAGCCCCGAAGCTGACACACTATGGAGCGGTTGTGTAAACCCCACGCTTCGCTTCATCCTGTGGGGCCGGAGAGTCGTGTCCAATGAAACGAGTGAAAACAGAAAAACAATGCCAATCGTTCCGAGGAGTGCAATCTCTCCTCTGCCACATTGTTCTTTAAACTGCTGTTCACAGTGATGATAGTCATATTGCTGTATCTGTGTAAGCCATCAGTTCACCTCTAACTTGGTTTGATTCATGGACAAACAAGTGCCTTACCTACGAGACCAGAGGCACAGAGCTGTGTTAGACTGCAGAATTAAGACAGTACAAGACCCTCTTATAACCTTTAATTCACAGCCAGTAGTACCTGAGAAGTACCAAATCATAAAATCTGTGGGCACCTAGATTATTTTTACCCGTCTGCTCCAAAGTGATTGTCTACATGGATGAACTTGAGCTTTGACAGAGGGCCAAGTGTTCATAAATGTAGAGTTGTTAACCACAAAGTCTATCTGCTATAGATGCTGGAGGGTTGTAAATCGAACGGTTACCTCATGTTTGCATTCATGGAGCTCTTTCCCAGATGAACACCTGGCTAGACTTAAGTTTACTTCATTCAAGGAAATCAGTTTTGAACTCACTTTAATGCAGAGGTGTGTGTTTATGCATTAACAAAGCGTAACTTGATGTGAGTTTGTGAGTGAGTGAATGGTGTGTAATAAAGAGAGCGGAGGTTGTGACTTTGTTAAGCCAGAGGCTTGCTCACTGTTTCAACAAACAGAACAAAACATTTCAGAGTTTGTTCTTACTTTGCACTGTTTTTTTCTTTTTTTTTATTGAGTGAATACTGGTACACACAAGCTATCTTCCAAAATAACATTAGTGTAATGTTATTGACCTCATCATTCCCTACTGTGTTGCTGGGAGAGCAGAGTGAGGAGTCATGCTGCATGGCTTGAAATCATAATACAAACGCCTATTGTGACAGACGCTGAGAATTTTATGGCGCTCGAGTCGTATAAATAAGAGAAGATTTGTTCCCACGCTAACTTTATGAAAAGAAAACGTTCAACATTTCGCTTATGGAACTTGACCTTAAAACAGCTCTCAAGGGTTGCCAACATGTTCAACTCATTTGTGCTTTTTTGAAAATGTGAAAGACCAAAGTTCTTTGGCTGTCTTGACTAATTGGAAACACCATTGAAGCTGTACAAAATGTGTGAACCATTATTTCAATCGTGTGAGTATTTAATGCTGTCACATCATTTTTGCACCTTTTTGGGAGAAACCAGAGCGACTCAGTGAAGTCATCAGGCTCATAGCTGTTAAGCTTTCTACGCTCATATCATCAGTGAGTCGGAAAGCTTCCTGTCACAGACGTGACAACGATCACACAACAGGTTACTTCACCGTTTGTAACCTTTTTCTTTTTATATTTAAGTATGCAGTAACTTTTGTACTGTACATTGCTGTAGTTTGAATGCATATTGCACTTTTTATGTTGGTCAAAATAATGTACTGTATGTGTTCATTATGGAAATAAACATTTCTTTACATAATATCCTGTGGATCTGACTTTTTCTTCATGAATCAAAACTGGTGCACTTTATGTTGGCATCTCCCAATCATCTCTTAGTCGCCTTCAACGTGTGCAAAATGCTGCTGCCGTCTTTTAACCAACACTAACAGACGTGAGCACATCACTCCTGTCCTCAGCTCTCTTCACTGGCTACCCATCTCTTACACGGTGGATTTTAAACTTTTGTTTGTTTTTAAAGCTCTCAACTGCCTCGCCAGGTAAAGCTCTGAGGTCGTCAAACTGGAAATGCCCAGATCAAAATACAAACACTGAGGTGACCGAGCCTTTGCAGTTACTGGCTCCAGGCTCTGGAATAAGCTCCCCACCGAAATGAGACTTATTTCTGAGCTGGGCCTTTTCAAATCTCGACTGAAAACATATTTTTTTTATGTTGGCTTTTAAAGGGATATTCTGGCGTGAAATTAAGTAAGGGTCAAACACTCCGTAACACTGAGTTAGACACCCTGTCGAGAGATGAATGTTTCCAACCGCTTGCTTCTCTGGTTATACCAACTTTACTAACGACCACACGATAGCGATACAGAGAGCCACGCGCACAACCAAAATGCCACTCTATAGCCACAAATAATGCTCAGAACAGCACCTAACTTCATCAACAGTACATATAGGGTCCCAGTCACAGAACTAGTCACCAAACATCTTTTTAACTTGGCCTGATTTCTTTAGCAAAGAGACTAAACAAAACTCACCCACTCTCTTCCAGAAGCCGCTTGTTTCTACAGAGACGTCCTGGCAAGTCCATCGACTACAGTGGGGTGACACAGCTCAAGGAAGAACATTTATGATCATTACTTTATCATTTCCTTGAAGTAATAATCACCAAGTATAATCACCAATCATTTTGCACTGCAGACGCGGTAGTTCTTCTGAATTGTATTTCCATGAAGAAATGATCATAAATGCAGCTGCTACAAACAAGCGGCTGCTGCTGGAAGAGAGCAGGTGAGTTGTTTTTAGTCTCTAAGATGTCTGGTGGCTAGTGCTGTGACTGGGACCCTATATGTACTGTTGATGAAGTTAGGTGCTGTTCTGATCATTATTTGTGGCTATAGAGTGGTGTTTTGGTTGAGGTTTGTTTACGGCTCCTCAGACCGCTGTGTTTTGCTATATTGCAGTTGTTACTAAAGTTGGCAAAACTAGAGAAGCAAGCGATCAGCAACTTTCATCTCTTGAGGGGGTGTCTAACTCGGTGTTACGGTGAGTTTGAGCCGTACTTCGTTTTTCGCCAGAATATCCCTTTAACAAACTTCAAACACAAACCAGCGTTTATTCATGAGATGTTTACCATTCAGAAAAAAACAGCCAGAGTGTTTTGAATGTTGTGATGAAAACCTTCCTGAGTGGGAAAAATATCACAGGGATGACTTAATAACAGTGCAGCGCCTCTAATGTGATGGTGTGTATGAGCGTATCCTGAAATTACATCACCGTGCCCCCATCTGTATGCTTTGGCAGGAGAGCTGCTTTCTAACAGCCAGGTTATATAACATTTGGCTTCCCGGCACTGTTTGCATGACATCAGTGAATTACTTAAGTTACACGCTCTTGTTCCTCCTATAGAAGTGTGAGTGTGTACATGAATAGTAAGCCCATGTATGGTTCAACATTGAGGTTATTTTTTATGTTAATGTCTAAACTGATATTTGGATATTACAGCGTTTCAGCTTCTGTTTATGTCTGATGGAAACTGAATGTGTCTGTCTACTGTAAACCTGAGAGTTTATCAAAACAGCTCGTCTTGAGTTAACAATAATCTTAAATTAAACCCACATCCCCTGTTGTCTGGACGAGACTTAGTGTGACCTGTAACACTTTACAAACAGAAGAACGCTGAGGTCTGCTGGCTAACTATCAACGCTCTAACCTTCACTCTTAGCCTCTGGGTGTGGGCCGGACCCTCTTCCCCTAATTCTACCGGTGAATTCTTGGCTGCCGAACCTCCACTTTTGTTTTATTATCCTAGGATGTATCCTGTTTGGGACGTCACTATAGAGACCAAGAGAAACAAAAGAAAGAAGCCTGAGCTCTTTTTCAGATGATTTCCCACACCAGGTTGGCTGGATCACCTACTTATCTTAACTGAGTTCCTGGAGCGAGGGGGGTATCTGTGCAGCCCATGACTCTGGTATGCAAACAGTGTTGAGAAGGGAAAACAAAAAATATGGTCATTTGTTTTCTCTCACTGCTCTATCATAACACCCATTTTAAATTCCATCTTTGACACCTTACAATCAGGGTTCAGGAAAAAAACACTCTACTGAGACAGCCTTAATTAGAGGTTCAAGTGATGTCCTGATGGTCAATAAACAGTCCTGGTGTTGTTAGATCTCACTGCTGCATTTAACACGGTGGACCGTAAAGTCTTAATAAATAGACTCAGAGACAATTTTGGGATTACAGGTACTGTTTTGAGTTGGTTTAGGTCTTATCTGACTCGACAGGGCTAGGCTGTGGGGTCCCACAGGGATCAGTCCTAGGCCCTTTTCTCTTTTTACTTTACATGACCCCTTTGGGTAAGATTATCTCCTATCATCTATATGCTGATGATGTTCAGCTCTACTGCTCCTTCAAGCAGACTGAGCTACATAAATTAGACGACTTAACTGCTTGTTTGACTGCCATCAAAAATGGCTCAATGACAACCTTCTCCAACTGAAACTGAAACACTGATCATTGCCCCCGACAGCGCCATCCCCCTCAAAAAGCGGCATTTAGGTCGGTTAGGTCTCTCTGTCGAACCTAGCTTATGTAACCAGGAGTTGTGTTTGACGAGGACATAAGGCCTAACAAAAGGCTGTACCGTTACTGCGAAGCTGCGGTAATGTATTGTTATTCACGTCGACGTCATCACTCATGTTCCCAGGCAGGAGGGTCTCGCTGCTCACTGCTGCTCGCTGCTGCTCCATAGCTACTGTTGCTCCCTCCACTGGTATGAATGTTTACTCTGGTGTGACTGTTGGCCTCAGTGCTTAACCTCCTAAAAGTGGAGCTGTGCCGCTGCTTCCTGCTTCCAGTCAGTAGTCGTCGTACTTTTTTGGCGAACAAAAAAAACTCTTATATCCATTTTTAATAGCATACCAATGCTTACCGCCAAGTCTGCCTTCCGTTGCGCTGAGTTTGTCCATGAATATTTCACCTTTGACTCAGTAAGCGGCCCGCCCCGTTTAATTGGCTAACACGTTGCCTTTGATCGACAGATGGGATTAACCGAAGATGACTACTCTGAAGGAAAAAACAAACCCCAAATCAAATTAACGGAAAATTTTGCTTTTAGTCCAGGGCGGGCACGGCTGATTTGGTGGGTGGGCACGGCCCCCCAATGCCCGCCCATGCCGCCGGGCCTGCTCTGTGAAGTGCTTGTACCTGTGCCATTATATGTATTGTGTTTCTCTGAATTCTATTGCATTTTATCCTTGTTGTAAAGCACTTTGGGATTTTATCTATATAAATTAAAGTTACTTACTTACTTATCCCTATCCTGACAAAGAAACTATGTGAATGAATCTAAACACAACCTCAACGTGCCTGAAATCCACACACAGAGGTGGAGATATTGAAGATAACTTGTCCCACACAGCTGAAAGTGCAGCCACAAGCCTGAGTTCCTGATTGTGTTAGTCAAATGTGCTGTGACATCACATGGATGCAATATAAGGTTCCCATTGCTTGTGCATTTTGAGGGAGGACTAAACATCACCAAACAACCAACAAAGAGCACTCTGTGGTCCCAGGAGAGAGAAAGAGGACGATCGACTGGACTTCTAATCGGTAAGTGTCAACACAGCGCATGATAAGTGATCAATATTCTTAATGCATTTATGAATAGGAGTGGTGAGCTGTGAACTGCCAGGCCCATGCCATGTATGTGCTGGACTGATCCGAGCTCCATCGGTATAGATATGATAGCTCCTGTAGTTTCCTGATGCTGAAAGTTTTCCGTGTCGTAGCTGCTTCGTTGGTTTTAAATTCCTGTATGTCTGAGTATGTGGAGAAAGCAGAGCGCATGCTGATCAAGTGATCATCTTGAGCACTCAAGGAGGACAAGATGAGATAATGGAGTAGTTGTTTAAAGGGACAGAGTGCCTGAGGGGAAGGGGTTCCCCACACTGACTGAACAAGAAGGTGAATAGTAGTTGGCATAAATCCTACTCTACTCTGAATTTGACCTGGAGTGTCCGCATGAACTGAACTGAAAAGTTGTTGCTTTTTCTTTTTTTCCTTTTTTTCCTCCTTTGCTTTCTCATTATCACAGCATGAAAAACAAATGATCTTCTTCACACTGAGCTGTGCCTCAAAAAATAACATGAGCTCCCTCAGCTATGTGTCTGGCAGGAGTGAAGGTCTGTCAGATGATAAGACAACAGCAGTCATATGTCTTCACATGGACTGAAAACATACTCATGGCTTAGATCATTGTTCACTGTGTCTCCTGTTGTCTCTGCTTACTGGAGCTTATTAGTGGACTATCTCAGGAAGCAGTTTGTCTCTGTAGCATGGTAGCTATGTTTTGCTTTACATTTTTTTTCCTCCTATCTTTCCACCTCATTAAACGAACAGCTACTGCTGATACACCCACGCTTTCATACCATTCATCATCATCATCATACTTACAGACGCGGGCTTCATACAGTGGTGTGAAAGAACTGAGAGAGGAGGAAAGAGGCCCCCAGTGGGCTGAAAACTAGAGTTTTGTTTCAGCTTGATTTGTTTTTATCTTAAAGTTTAAAGGTTTAAGAGTAATTGGAATAATCTGAACTCTTATTCTTGAAACAGTGAAGTGTCTGTTTGAGGCACCTTTGGAGAACCATGTCTTCCCCCAAAACAGTGAAATCTGGATATCAGAGTGGAGGGAAAAAGGGTCACAAACAGGAATAAAAACAGGAGAAAGAGGTTTTGAATTAGAAGGACCGCTAAACCTGAATTTTAATTAAAGGTATTGAAGCTGGTATTCTGTTTTAAGTCTATGTAATCTGACTAGGGTGCTAATGATGACTTCTAATACATTTAACACTCACCGACACTGACAGACTTTCACCAGTACTCCATTTATGCTACTTTATTCCTAGTATTTCTTCAGTAGGTGAGTTTAAGCAGAGAAAAAGACATCTGTTTGTTTGTAATTGAAACAGCCCACTGAGCAATAGATGGCTATTAGACGTCTAGTTTGTTTTTAGACCTAATTTCAACCGTCTGTTTACTTTTAGATTCAGATGTTTCACTTTAATCCATTATTCGTTAAGTATTTATTTAAAAAAGCAACTGAGAGTTACCTAACTGATCTCCAAGTACTTAGCCAAAATACTTATGATAGCCGTTGAGCAATATACAGTGTAGTATAGATAAAGCCCAGATTTAGATTTAGTCTAAACTTGGTCTAAATTTAGACATCTAAAAAAAACTTAATTTTTAGAGCCTGATTTTGGACCAGTCGTCTTGGCTACATTTAGATGTCTATTAGACCTCTTTCAGACCAAAAAATGCTCAGTGGGAGAGTTTGTTGTCTATACTTGCCTGTAACTTTTGTACTGTGTAAAAAAAGATAAATTCTTCAGATGTCTCAGGGAGTTTCACACTTTCTCCAATGTTTATATTGACTAAAAAAAAGTTATGAGAAACTTTTAAGGGGGTTTTGGAGAACTGTACAAGAGTTTGGTAATGGTGTCCTTCATGATTTCCTAGTGACCCCCCCTGTCCAGAGAGATATCCTCGGAGCAGAGCTGCAACAGTACAGGATAATGAGTCTCAAAGGAGGCCAGTTGTCTACATAACATATCCAAACTGTCGAAACAGACTTTGACAAAACTTGTATTCATTACACACACACTCAAAGTTAGAAGAAAAAATAGGAAATACTGATGCCTGACGTAATAATTGGTCACATGAAACCAAATTAGCCAAACATCCTGGCTCCCAAAATTCAAAGAGTAGATATAAAAAGATTCACTAATAGACAATCATAAGACTTCTCAAAAATCAAAGAAGAATTAATCAATTAGTCAGACTGAGTGTTTGTGCCGGTCCTATCTGCACGGATACTGATTGTCCGAAAACACTGACCCCAGCTTTTACTCTGTTTGAAGGAGGATTTTATCTTGTGTGAGAAAAACCTGCTAAAAACAATGAAAATACATGCTGCAGTGGTTCTGCTGAATCATTCCAAAACAAATGGTCAAAATTAACAGGTCAGGTTGTTCCTAAATCTTGTGAGTGTAATTTGTCTGTCGCATGAGCAACTACGGTCACTGCAAGTGCATGAATAACACAATACAGGCAAACACACAATAACAGTCAAAGTCATAAGATACTCAAATTCACCTCCTGCATAAAAACAGCTCCTGTGTGACCATGGATTGTTTGCTTCCCAAGACTGAGTCGTTTTCTAATGCATGGACGCTGATGGTAATCTCAGGCGTCTGCTCAGTTTTTCCAGTTTCCAGTGTGTGGAAATATAAGTTAGGATAGAGAGTGTGGTTGAACACAGATCAATCATGGTCCGCAGGAAAATTAAAATAACACGTGGCCTGATTTGGAGGATTTTATTTTTGTTGTGAGGTTAACCATGTCTTTCCTCACAGACCAGGATGGGACAGAACCAGGTCAAACAGGAAGGAGGAGAACCAGCCCAAAGTGAAGGATTGGAGGACGCTAGGCCAAGCACTGAGTCTGGAGATGTAGTCAGTCATACAGGTGATGTCATGGAGGGAGGAAGCGCTTCTGAGGAAAAGGAGGAGGAGGATGGCAGCACCAGGAAAAATTCAGGGGAACCAGATGCTCAGGATCTGGATGGAAGCCCCGGCCAGGAGCCAATAACACCTTCTAGTGAAAGGCACATAAACTCCCGGGTTAGTCCTTTTGCTGCAAGGGAGGTGAGACAGGGAGGGGCTGCAGGGAAGGAAAGAGGAGGAGGAGGAGGAGGAGGAGGCAGGACTGTGCCACTGGTTCCACAGGAGACAGACAAGAACCTCAAGAGCGGTGAGAAGACTGAGGAGAGAGCCAACACATACAACCCTTTCAAAGAAGCGAAGAGAGAGAAGAGTAAGAGAGAGGAGGAGCTTCACAGATCCTCAACGGTCAAGATGGAGAACCAGGAAGAAGAAACCATCCCACAGGAGGATCAGCAAGATGAAACCTCCTCAGCTGAAAGGTACAGAGATGTTGTTAGTGTAAAGGATGCAAAGTTATCGAACAGAGGAAAGGGCTCAGCAAAAGTGAAGAAGAGCAGATTTGGGGCTCATGAGGGAAGTCAGCTGTTAACAACTGTTCAGCTCGATCACAATGACACCATGATGCTGAATGAAGATATTAAACTCTGTGCAGAAACAGTGGGCCGCTTGACTGAGAGGAAGGAACCGCCTACCGCTCAACGACAACATCCTTTGGAAAACAGCGTGCAGAAAGAGTCTCTATTAGACATGAGTGATACCATTCAGAGTGGACCTCCAAACATGAAACCAGAGATTACTACAAAAGAGGAAACGCCAACAGTAGCTTTGAAAGACTACTCTTCGACTAAACCAAGAGTTTCAGACTCAACGAGGCCTCATCTACTGATGGACACAACTGAAGACAACACAAGTCAGACAACAGACTTGGATCAGGCATCAAACCCAGACTCACCTAAAGAGCCCAGCTCTATTCTGGAGAAACTGCTGAAGAGGAACAGAAAGGAGGCGATCCCAGATCTTTCCGAGATGAAAGAGGTCCACATGAATGACAAGGACACCACAGATGGTACCACAAAGAGGATTGTTTACAGTGCAGCAACAGAGCCGTGCACTGATCAAATCCAACATTCAGATGTTGGCACACCTCTGTCAGCATGTGGTATGAAAGAGCTGGAAAATCTCCCTGCAACAGATCTTCATATCAAGGACCTGGATTTCAAACAGAGAGATGTCGGTGACAGTTTAACCTCAGATGTTCTTTGTTTTCAGCCTGAAGTGACTGGAAATATTGTCAATGAGAGTTCAGTCACACAATTACTTCATTCCAAAGCTGATTGTCAGAGTTCAGAGGAGAAGATAAACTCAACAGATGTTAAACCCGAGGAGGGGGTGGAGATAAAAACAAACATCAGCTCCTCAGAACACTTACAATCACATGAAAGAGCGTCATGTGAGGAGAGCGGTGTGATCACTGAGGAATCTACACCTTCATCAGACCATGATGCAAAGTCTCTCCCAGCAAAAAGGGATGACTCAGGTCATTTACATACCTCTGACAAGACACACAAAAATACTATAGGCCCACCTCTGCAAATAGAGAATGGCAGTGACAGCAAAGCTCAACAGGAGTCATCTGACTTTGCGAGCTCAGAGGCTCAACCTGAGAGGGAGAGGCAGGAGAAGGACTCCACTGAGGATACTGGTCAAGCTGTGGAGACTGGTTTAGTTTCGGTTGAAGCCAGCGCAGCCGTCTCAGAGGAAAAACAAGGCATGAAGCAGGAGATTCACACTAACCCTTCCCAAGAAAACATGACGGAGGAACAACCTGATAAAAAACCTGGCAGTGAGAGAGGCGACGCTGTCGTTAGGAGGAACAAATCCCAAAGCACTCCTAGAACTAGGCCTGTTTCTGACCTCATAAAGGAATCTGTTCAGCTGCATGAAAAGCTGCAGCACCAGGACTGGCCCAAGCCCATGGAAGTCAAGTGTGATGATCAGGGCCAGTCTGTGAAAGTGGCACAGATGAAGGCGGCTTTTGACTCTGCTCAGAAATCCCCTGAAAAGGCAGTAGAAAGGAAGCCATCGATGAGAAAAGGTAAGTGTGATATCTAAATTGCAGTATTTGTATAAGATTCTGCAAACAGAACACATAGAGCACTGATAGGAAAAGAGGTAAAGTGATTAGTGAGTCATTAAATATTGAAGCAGCAACTCACCAAAGAAGTCTGCAGACGGATTCATCACAAACACTTGCATCAACACTCATCTATGGGTCCAAGGAAGGGTGGAGGGAAAAAAATAGATGAAAAAGAAAGAAGAAAAAATAGACTGATGATGGAATACAGCTGTTTTCCCTCTGTCAGGAGTCAGCATCTGTCTGGGTTTGTGAAATATCGCCATCTTGTGGACATGTAATACACTTGTGGTACATTGTGTTCTTGAAATAGAGTTTTAATATTATAAAACGATTCCTCGAACAGACACATTACATAAGCATGTTGTGTTGTTTCTGCATGTATCATGGACTGTGCAATGAGTGTCTTATGTGAGGACATCCAATGAAGCCTGCATAGAAATATCTCATGTGTCAAGGAATAACTTTATAAACCTCACAACAAGATATTAACACTTGTGTTTACATTTTATGTTTAGTAGGAAAAATTAAGACATACTTGACTCTATCACTCTTACATATATATTCTGCTTATCTAGTTATTATTGGATTGTTCTTTTTCTGTCATATCAGTCATTTTGGCTCATTTACTCTTCATTTAATACTATCAGGTTGGTGAGGAGAATACCCATTTGAAATAAGTAATTAGTCCTAACATTATATATGCATAAACTATGACTTTCTAAACGATTTCAAAATGAAAATATATTAGGAACAAGACGTTTTATAACCATGTTCTATGACAACAACAGTGGTACGGATTTACAAGCCATTAGTCACCATTTACACGACTGATGATGATTTTTTCCCACTGACTTCCTCAAGAAAAGCAGGCGTGTATTCTGTTCCCAGTTATCCAAACAAGACGCACCCTGATTGGCTATTTAAGCTATCTGTCAAGCGTCGATTATCCACTCATATCTCGCCAAGCCAAAATGGAGGGCGGGTTCATTGGCGGAGTCGGAAAAGAGCAGACAGAGCGGAGCGGTGTCAGCAGCGGCAGCAGCGGCAGAGAGAGAGGGAGGAATCAAGTGGGATACGCGTTGGACTCTGTTATATCATTCGGCTTTCTGGAATACTTTAATTTTCCTCCTCAGAAGGTAGGTTTCAGATTAGATTAATGCATTTAAATCGATGTAATTCAGCGTTTTTAATGGCTCTTTGTTTGTTCACTTAACCGTCACAGCCGTTAAGACAGGAAAGTGCACGCGCTAGCCAAAATGAATTGGGACAGTCTGGTGGAAATGTCTCTTAGCCGTTAGCGTTAGCCGTTAACAGCCGTTTTTGCTGACATTATACCGAAAGTTTATCATAAATGAACAGAGATAATGGTCGTTTTTATTCTTTCCGGCGGCGGCTTGTCTTCGTGGATAATTCAGGACGTAAAATGTTGGACGTTAACGGAGGAGCGGGGTGGGGTAGCTAACCATAGTGCGGCAGGAAAACTTATCTTCCAAACGATAGATCCACACACACACACGGAGGTGCAGGCAGCAGGATAACCGCGCCCTGGCCCGTGGCTCCCTGACTGTTAATATACACCATTAAAACACGTCTACACGCAGATTCAGGTCTTATATTTAAAATCCCAGTTGATTAAATACTATCTTCAATATTCATCATGATTAAAGATTCAGATTTGACCCACTAACACACTGATATGAAAGATAAATAGAGAGACGCTTTGGGAAACAAGCAGCATTGATGCCTAATTCTGCCCAAGTGCAGTGACAGTATGCCTGGTCGTCTGGTCATCATCACACGTGGAGAATCACTGAGCAATGTTCAGCACAATATGGACTGAGACATGACACTAGGATAGATTTAGTAGTTTTTTTATCTTTATTGAGGGCATGGAAATACAATGAGTCATATCAAGCTTGTAAATGAGTGTAATGCTGGGTCCATCAGTACTGAATAATAAGAATCAATGTTAATACAAGTATTATGTGTAGTTGTATGTGTCCAGGCCTATTTAGGTTAGATGTCTGAACTTGTAAGTTTTATTTCCAAATCAGTCCGTCTATGAATATTTTAAATCAAACTTTCTCCAGATAGACTTATGGTGTGACCCAAATCACAACTAAATACTTAAAATGTTGAGTATACTTGACGCAAAATGGAAAAAAGCATGGAAAGTATGTGAAAATTGAGTAGGCAAAAGTACCCAGATGACGTACTCAAATTGGTCAAGATTTTGAGTATCCGACTGTGGACAGAATGGCAGCCTTGTTTACAGTCATCTTAACGTTAAATAACAGTTTTGCTGAATAAAGCACAAATAAACTATACCGCTGCATCTTCAGCCAGTAGAAGGAGGAGAAAGCATTGTCAGCGCCGATTGAGACGTGAAAAGCGATGAACGTTCATTTTGTCGCTGATTTTACCTCAAAAGTGGATGAACGAGCGCGGGCAAAAGGTGGCGGTTATTAGCTGATGCAGAGCTAGCCGTTGACAAATTGGTGTAGAAGAAGAAATCGCATCGTCATTTCCGGTGAGTGCGCTGCGCAACACTGCACCCTCGAAACTGAAGCACTATGCGATTGAGTACATAGTATGAAAGACAGCAGTGATTTCTCTGTGCAATGAAATGTCATTGCTTGGCTTCCATATCACAGCATGATGGTGTTTAATTTAAAATAAATAAAATAAAAACAATAAAAACTAACTAACCAAATAAATAAAAGTATACATAAAAAGATATATGGGATGGGATGGAGACAGAAAATTAATGAAAAAAATATATTGTAATAAACTTTTTCCTATATTGCCCAGCCCTAGTTTTAGGTATCACAAATTATCCTTATCTGAAAATATAACGACTGTTTCTTTGATTCTTAAAGTCTAATACCATTATACAATTGGAATGATTTGATATTTGGTCTTCTGTGGAGGATTGTGGGGAGATGTGATAGTGATGACCCCCAAAACTATTCAGGTCCCCCTCCAGTTGAGCATCAGCGGCTGAGACTCGACCTGAAGAATCCTTACTATGACCTCTCTGTACGCCACAAGCGGCTTATTTGCTTGCTCATGACAAAAGGCGAGTTGGATTCGTAATGAACGTGGTCAGTGTGCCAAAAGGGCGGCATGATTTGCATATTTGGCTCCTTTCTTCAACGTAGTTACTCAGCATTCATGTGTAATCAGCTTTTGAACTGCAGGATTTCTCGACCCTCTGAGGGGATGTAGAGCAGGTGAAGGCTGACAGAGTGACCCCAGGGTCGACAGTCGACCGCACAACAGCTGTGTTTGGGCTCATTAACCATTCCAGACACATCAACCTCTGCTGGTTGTGTTGCAGTACAAGGTCTTCAGGGGTGCAAACTAAAGCCTGCCTTCCTATGGTTGGGCTGAGGGGGGGAGAGGAAGTGGGTCAGGAAGCAGAAGGAAACTAAGCGAGAGATGGTAGGGAGTGTTTGTTCCTGTCAACTGCAGCACAGGGGGCTGGTTTTAACCATGGCGCAATATCAAGTGCTAGTAACAAGAGGACCATTAATATTTACATCCAGTGTGTCCACTGCATGTTTTTACTTACAGCTGATAGAGGTCTTGTTGAACACAGCTTTGTTTAGCGTGCTATCTCAGGTAAATGCTTGTTTTTTGCGATTGATTCATCAAAAAGTAGAAGTTCAGCCCTTATTTTGTGGACTTAGCAACGTGAACATGAGAATTAAGTACCTGAAATTGATATTTTCCCATGGCAATGCCGGCTCAGTCTCTCAACTAAACAGCTCAGTTTGACTGAGATATTACTACTACTTCTATTTTTTTCCTTGCATTTTTGACATACCTTAGTTTGTGTTTAGTACTGTCTATGCAAGATGTTATCATAGTCTACATTCTCATCAAGAACTTTAAGGTTTCACCAACTTAAAGATTTTTCTAAATGATGTGCTGAATTTTGTCAAAGCGGGGTGTCAGGTGCTTCTTTTCTCTGAGGGCAGTCAGGGAGACATCTCATTAACCTACTGCTAAGCATATTAGGGTGTTTGTTTGTTTGTTTGTCTGTTTGGACCAGCCTGGTAATGAAGAGGATCACATGCCTAAATCTGGGCTGCTTAGAGGAGACGCTGGCCCCTGAGAAGCGATCCTTTTAGGAATCCAAATAGCCGTCCATCCCAGCGTTGTTTTGATATCTTTGCATTTATTATTTGTATTAAAGGGTAGACATAATTTTTGAAAGCATGTTTGCTTGTTTGGTTTGGAATCTCAAACAAAGTCCAAATAGCTTCATATTTGTTTCATTCTTTCTAGTTTACAATTCCAGTCAGTAGACACAGACTAAATCTCTTTCTTCCACTGGCCAATGGTCTCTCCGACCACAGCTGACAACATCTGTTGAAATGGGGCAGTGATTTTTGCATGGCTCATTGGGGGAGGGGGAAGTGGCTATTCAGGAAGAGGAAGACACATGCTTTGGACTCATGCTGTATTATAGCAGGGAGGCCTTTTATTTGTCCTTGAATAATAGACATAGGTAGCTGAGATTCATCCTGAAGTCGTCGTGTCCTTTTGTTTTGATCATCTAACAGCTGAGGTGCAAATGAAAACTCAGACACAGGTTATAGGAGCAGCTGAAACAAAAGTATTAACACTGCACACAACGCTCATTAAAACCAAATCTTTTTTCTATTGTGAGTCATTTATAGGCTCTTAAAATCTGAACTTGTTAGCAGGATATGAAGTTTGAATGAGTCTCTCTTTAGCCCCACAGGACACGGCTGAATGAGAGTCGGGAAGTAGGCTTGTGCGAGACCACACTTTAGGACACATTCAGCAGCACACTAGACACACAGACTGTCAGACACATTTTTCTATTTCAGAATTTGAGGAGTATTTTAGTCTCTGTTTCGGAATGAGGAAGTTGGAAAAACCTCAGCCTTGACTGCTGGTGTTGACTTTTAGTCTGTAAAACAGTCTTGAACTGCCCGAAACAGTCCTGTGTATATAAGTTAAACGTCCAATAAAAACTAGTACACACTTATGTAATATTTCATGTTTAATGTTTGCAGATGGAGAGCAAAGTCTACCAGAGTCCTTCCCCCTTTATGTGTATACATACTTTGCCAATAAAGCTGGTTCTGATCAGTAGAAGTCTAAAAATCTTAATGACAAATGTACACAGACTAAATGAAATCTGATTGAATCTGGTGATTGGCTGGTCTTCAAGTTACCTGGAGGTGTTACTCCGTCCAACTTTGAGCTAATCTGCAAATCTCATTTCCTCCGCAAAGTATAATAGACCACAGCACCATTTTTCTTGAAATACTGATGTGCAATGTATTGCTTTGCATTGAGCCGAGCCGACTGCATAGTCACTTGGGGTTGAAGCGAGGTGAAAAAACACTACCTTATCTCATTGTTGCATAAAGCAATGGAATGTAGCTGGAATCTGATTACAATGGCGGTCCGTGGCCTTGGTAACAGGAAGGGGATTTAGGTGGCGTCTCATGTGGTCTTGGTGACAAAAGGCAAAAGGCAGCCAGTGTATTGGAAGCACTGAGGCGGCATCATCGGTGTGAGTGTGTGTGTGTGTTGTGGCAGGCACCGAGGGGCAGCACGGGTAACAAAGTGTGGGAAAGACATGTCTGTAAGCAGAAATGGTGGCTGAATATCTACAGATAGGATACAAAACTGTAGCTGCCAAGATAACTCAAGCAGACAGACTAAAGGGAAGTCTAAGGGGAAACACAATAAAGAAATACATCAACAAATAAGGAAATGAGCCTATAAGGAACCAGGGTTAGGTGTTGGTTTATTTTCTTTGTCTATCACACGTATCAACAGGGAACTTAGCTATAAAAACATGCCGTTTTCCAAATATTAGAGCTGCCTTGTAAAAGTTTGATTTATACCCTCACAGATCAGCTTTCATAGCACATTAGCTGCAGCTGGAGAGTTGTTGTTAAATCAGTGATATGTTGTTTTTCATGTTTAAGAAAGCACACACCACCCTGTTTAACAAGCCTGCTTGTTCTTGGATGGTGTCTTCACAGGTCTATTGATTGCTACAGTATTTTTTATTTCATCCTAAATGCTCCCACATCTGTGCTTTCAATTTTGCTGCCACTTTTTATTTTGATTTAAGACATGCATCGTGTGGTTTGGCTCCTACTGGCGTCGACCGCCTTATTTTGCACTGCACCATAGGCAGTGAGTGTTTCACAACTCCAGTCATGGTATTTGCGGCGATATCCATTCTGTAACATGCATTAATTCAAGTTTTTAAGCAGAGCTATACTAGATAAATGGCTGAAAATGGCAGTGATGTTTGGTTGTGTTGTACCTAAATGAAACAACAGAGGAACAAAAGGCTACACTTTTGCTTTGCAGTTTAAAGGTCAATATTTTCTTTAAATAAATCAGCCTTTTTATAAGTCAGTGAGTCAGTTACATTTCTTCAAAATAAGAGCTTTTAATCACCAAGAAAAGGGGCCAACCTGGTTTGCTTTCGATCATGATCTCAAAGAGTTTCAAATCATGAAGTCATTTTACTTAACATGTCGATTAGCCGGTGGTCCATTACCCAGAGCTCTTATACTTGCAGTATTACATGATACTACAAGCTGGATGTCTAGTCAACATCTCCGGGAGTTAAAAGAAACACAATTGGCATCTGTCACCCCAGAGATTTTGACCCCCCACAGGAGTTGATGGAGGTTCTGCTCTCTGGTTTCAGTTGAGCTGCAGGTTGTGTGTTTATGAGTTAAATTGACAAACTTACAAAAAGTATGTTGACCAAAGGTGACAAAACCACAGAGACACGTAGGTGCAAATCCAAAGACAAACAATCTTCGTAATCAGATGGAGACATTACAGGTGAGCAGATGTGAGGCACTGCAAACAGGTTTTCATCCAGTTGATTTTGAAAGTGTCTTCTTAGAATCATTGAATTTTATTTTAATAATATACTCACAATTTACTAAATCTTGGTAAGAATTAAAGTGTGTCTGTTTAAAGCTCTTTAAAAAGCAGATCTGTTTTCCTGCATTATGACATTCAGTACTGCTTAATTTCATTTCTTTGTAAAATGAAAAGCTTAATAAACTGAATTAAAAAAAGACTTTTTCCAGGTATAGCGCTCAGTAGTACACAGTGTACAGTCGTATCATGATATAACTGTGATGTAGAGATTGTTTGGCTTTGTCATAAACCTACCGCCCCTCCTCTTGAGTCGGCTCATCCCATTTTGTGGCTGGGATTTTCATGTTATGTCACATCTCAGTCATGACACTTGCTAAAAGACAGAGCAGCAACGACAGCTCTGCATCCCAAAAACAAAAACTAAATATACAGTTTTTCGTCATTAGACACTGCTCACTTTTCTTTTCCTCTGCCCATTGTCCAAATGAAGCTTTTACCTTTGGGTTTGAAACAGTGTCACATAGTATGAGCAGTTTATAAAAAATGTTCATTTTTCAGACATTGTTCTTGTAACTGCCTGTAACTGATTTGACCTCTTACATCTATAGAACCAGTATTTTCTTACCTTTGCACTTGTCTTCTAAGGCAAAGGCGGGACAATAACGTCATCAATTTATTGTTTGTGAGATCTATCAATTATAAACCAGTTTGAGGACAAATAGCAGTTGACAGAATGGGGCGGCCCCGTGTTTTAATTGGTTCGCTTGAGTGTAACTGAACGTGGCAGGGATAGGGAGCATTATATATCTCTTAGCAAACTCAGCAGCAAAAGGTAAGCAGAAAAGTATTGATCATTTATTATAGGATTTGACTGATCTATATGTCTACGTAGTGACTGAGATACATGCTGGATCAAGTTACTATAAAGACATGTTTGTTCTTCTGCTTATCCAGTAATGGGAGGTGTTTAAGGGCTGAAATTCTGGCATACTGAGCAAATATGAGCCCTCACTTCATTTTTTTTTTTTACTGGTTTCCTCTCTGTAGCTGTTATGCAGGCTTATGTCAGAGCTAAACAATTCACCCCTGGTTTAATGAAAGCCGACAGCAGTCTGCGCTGAGACTGTGAGGAAGAGATAAGAGGGTCTGAGTTCTACTATTATCATCCTGCTCTTCGTACCATTTCATAACTGTTCTCTGGAATCAGTTGTTTTGTCGTACTTGGTTAAGAGCAGGCTCCACTTTGTGGTATCATAAAGAAAAATACAACTGCATGTATTTGTTGATTTTATCCACTAAGATTAGCGAAATAAGTGTAGTATAAATGTACATATTTAAAGTTAAAGATACACTGGCAGATGTAAATGAAGCCGAGGAATGCAAAGAAGATTTACAGTAAAACTGTGTCACACTGGTCCCGTTTCCTGTTGGTCTTTCCCTCAGGCTGTGAGGTCCCCCTTCTGTCTCTGCACATCAGGGTCAGCTCTGCTGGCTCAGGAGGCAATAAGGTACATGGATTCTCTTTCATCAGAGACTTGAGGGGTTTTGACTTGAATTAGGGCCGGATCAGTCAGCTGTAAATCTCAGGAGAGTGCCACTGAGTAGTACAGGATTCCCCCAAGATGTGTGTCCATCTCTCTGGTCAGACTGATGCTGCCAGACGAGTGCCGACCTTATCTGCCTCTACAGAGCCATTGTTGACAGTGTTACACTCAGTATGTTTACATGCGCGGTTAAGTCAAGCTACGGTTATAGGTCAATTAGGTGGCGTAATTGGACTACTGTCCTTGTCCCACTTTACAAGCACCGGGCAGCAATGGACTTATTGACCAAAGCATGTCCACCTGGACTACGGTGAATGGCCTCACACCCCCTTTCAGCTCGCTACTACCTGACAAAACATGTTAGCAAAGCGGCTAATGGGATGTACGTCAAATGCAGAAAACACCGTCACTCTTAAAACTCGGTACCCTTTGCACGTACTGTACAACAACGCTGTCTGTTTTGACATCCCTTCTCCCCCTGTCAACGTTCTGTTTACTAACCGGCTCTTTAACAGGGGTCAAAGCTTAGCATGTGAACTCTGGAGGGTGTACAGAACACTTGAACCAGTTTTACTCCTGACCATATAATCTAGGTATGTTAGTCTGAATATGAGAAGTTAGATTTCAGATGTGAGACGGTTGACGTGCAATACAGTTGCCTGAATTTAGCCCCGTATTTGCTAAAATGTCTGGGTGTTTTGAATTTAATCCAAAAAGCCAATTTTGTTATTTGGCTCTAATATTGGCTGAATTGTTAAGGTGAATTGAACCAGGTGAAAGCTGTTTTACTGTAGGTTTATTTTTGTACGGTTTAACCATGTTCTTTATTCGTCATACTTGTTTCAGAGATGATGTTTTAATGTTATTTCCTGCTGGATGGAGGCAGTTTTTGGTTGGCGTTTCCTTCTGTGGGTTTGGAATCTAAAGAAATCTGAGTGCAATAAGTTGTTTGGATCTGTCTCACTTCCAAATAAGCCCTCAGTATTGAATATTATTATTATTTTTAAGTGTATAGTGTGCTAGAGTTTGTTGACAATTGAGTCCACATGCAGGCCTTGAAGCAGAGAAATTAGTTGCCTCTGAAATGCCTCTGAAACTAAAATACAGATAACATCATAGAAGTTATAAAATTTTGTAAAAGTTGCCGGATTTTTTTTCTCAAAAATAAGACAAGAAATTACAATTATTGCAATCTTTTGATGCTGTATCGTGACCCTTTGATGTGTAGAGTAACACAAGTATTTTAATTTTATTTTTTAATTTGCATTCAAAAAGGGTAGAATCACATCTACATTAACTTGAAATCAGTTTGTATCAGAAAGATATTTTATAACCGAATGAATGAAAGTGCACTTTTTCTTATTAGGTATATTTGTAACAGATCATTTCTAAACGACTCTTTTAATATTCTCCTAGGTCCAGGAAAAAAACATATTTTTCAACAAGTAAAGACAGTCTTTCATCAGAGCTGGATGTACAAGAAAATTCAGAGAGGAAGAGTAAGGAGGACAGGGTTAAATTTTTTATAGTGAGGGGCAATCCTGCACTGAGGCGAGGAGAGTCAGAGAAGAGGTAATGGATGTGATCAAAGAGTTTAATATTTCATGTTTAATGGGAGGTGACGATCAGCTACCACTCCAATCTCAACAGTTTTTCTTTCTTTGTCCTTGGCAAGAACTTTCCTATATTTTACTGCACACCCTGATATAAGCATGAACTCCTCCACCTCCTACTGTAGTTCATATAGTTTATTAATATTATATAGTTATTTATGAGACATCACCTTGATCTATGTGGTAATAACATCTGTCTTTTTTAGAGGGTGTAGTCTCTTTTATTTACAGATAAACTGTAGAACTGTAACACTTGGTAAATCAGGCTTTATACCATCAAAGTTTAAGTTTTATTTAACAATATCACTTCAGCTGCTCGTGTGCACATCACAGAGTAAGAGAGCATCCTTCACCATGGCGGCAAAAACTTGTCATCACCTTTTTAACGTTTGAGGGCGCATGTGTCTTTGTGTTTATTCGAAGCTGGAGTGAGAAAGCTGAATCCAGTCACAGGAGACTCAAGGTTGATTCAAACTTAGAACAGCCGGAGGTAAACTTGCCCGGGATCTCTTTTTGTTCGCTCCGGTCGCTCTCTCCGTGCCCTCCTCCCTCCTCTCTTCTAATATTGAAACACGCACCAGTGGAAGAGTTTTCTGGCTGGGTGGGGGAGTTTGTCGTCTGCAGTGAGAGGAAGAGAAGTGAAACTGAGCGGGGTGACATGCAGGCGGCTTTTAACATCCATGTTACAGATTTGAAGGATACTCGATAGTTGTGATATAATAATTTTATATATCTCTCTCTCATATATCAAGTATATTCGATATATCGCACTGGCCTACCCTGATGATATTCTTTTGATCACAGCAGTCACATGTGCCTCAGTGAGGAAAGCTGTTTTATTAAACAGGATTTTTTGGATACACATCTGACACGCAACCAAGGTTTACTCTCCAAAACTCAGTTATAAATTCAGCTTCAGCGGCCTCTCCCTGTTTGCTCTAACCTTTCTTCCATTAAGGTGACCTATTCGGTGTCTGTCATCCTGTTTAGCAAAAAAAATAAATAAAACCTGTTTTACAAAGGCACAGGTTACAATCTGTTCATCGTTAATTTGAACATTAGTAGTCTTTACTTTGCTGCTGACCATCACTGCTCAGGTTTTCTGTCTTCAGAGTGATATTTGTTATCAAAAACGTCCCGCTTTTTGTCAAGCCCAAGGATTGTGAGACTGCGGATCTTTGTGCAGACTCAGATTGACCTCAAGAATGCAGTGATTGTTTTGTCTAGTCTAGTCACACTATTGTGGTAATAAAACAGCACAACTCTCCTCCTGCATCAAAAACATACAACTCTGCTTCAAATTAACAAAGCCCGGTCGAAAAGGATCCTGGTCCTGTTTGGAAAATGAGCACGCCACAACAGCTCCAGTATCGGTCGGGGTAGTCAAGAGAAATGATTGTCAGTGAGTGGATCAGCCTGTATCTGACAAACCGATGATTCAGTGACACCATGATTATGAAACTGCTCTTGACAGTCAGTAGCTCCTGCGTCTCTGATGCATAAAATTTCATAAAAACAAGGAAACTTGTCACCTGTGTGTCCCAGTAATGCACCTTATCTTTCCCATCCAGAACAGCTCACCTTTAACAATCGGCAGAGCAGGGGTGCAACTCTTATGTTGTCAGTAAAGGTTCATATCTGTCACATGTCACTCATTTGTTTTGGTGAATATGCTCATAGCAGGAAGACAGTGAGGTGATCATGGACTAGTGTTTACTAACAAGCATTATCTCCGATTGCTCGCACGCTACGCAAGTCTGTGATGCATATTCTAGTGCTGTAACTGTGGAGCAGAGAGCAGAGGAGACAGCGTGTTAAGCACACAGCCAGAAGCCACTGTGTCTGACGTCTTTTCAGAGCACGCAGAGTGTTTGTTCAGTGTTTGTTTAGCCGCTCAGGGCGCTACGACTAAAACATGCAAGCTGCAAGTGTCGCTGCTCCAGCCAACCAATCATAGGACATACAAATAAATAGTTATAACAAAAGAAACCCGACCATGTGACTTTGTAATCTCATTTTTTTAAGTCAAATTGTTAAGACAACTATCCTGAATGTCGTCTTTAAACATGTTGTCAAAGATCTTATCTGCAGCCATAAAAAAAATCTGATTCTGAAACCAGATACTCTGCTTTTCTTGTTTTCTATTCAAAACAAATATTAAGAAACTCTTTCACAGAATTCCTCCTCTGTGTACTACAACCTTAAAATAAAACATTAGACAGTATCTGTCTTTTTTTTTTTTTTTTTTTAAGGAGGCAGGAGTGAAAACTATCCATCTTCATCATGTTGTGTTGTGGCGTCAGAATGCTAAAAATAACTGGAGAATAATCAAATACAAAACTGTGGCTCTCAGGAAAACAATTTTTTTAGATTCCTTTGCAATATTTTCTCCCAAATTGACTCTTTAGCATTTTTTAAATTAATATTCTCATATAAATTGGCTTCACATACATCTGTGCATCTTATTTATCATAGAATCAAAGCTCAACAGTCCGACATGTTTAGAAACACTGGTAAATGATTGTACTAACAGCAGGTAGATAATTTGTCTCAATTTACGTGATTTATTTGGGGGATGTGGGGGACTACACCTCAACAGTCCCCCACATTTAGTCTGACTTGACTGTTCTGTCCAGCCTATCCTTTTTTTCTACATTGCAGTAATCCCTCTTGAGGCTCTCGCAGCATCAGTGCTAAATGGACCCTCCAAATACAGCTCTGCTTGTTCTCCTCTTCTTCTGAACCCACTCCAGTACTTTTCTGATCACACTTGTTTTCAGCTGCTCTGTGAAATCCATAACCAGTCAATGGTGTCCAGACTAAAGTCTCACATAGAAACCAGAAGTTGTCTGGTTTTGCGAGGCGAGAAAAGAAAATTCTAAACATAGACGTGACTAAATGTGACAGAAGTTTGCATTTTGTCCCTAAAAGTACCTCCTGAAGATGTCAGACTGTGTTTTCACTGTGGTATTGTGTTTTTATTCTCGGTTGGTATTTTCCTAATGTTGCCAGGCAACATGTCTGTGTTGCAAAACATGTCTCCGAGACTGATTGAAGCAAACCAAACACCCATGCGATTGCCAGCAGCATACGCAGAATTTCTGCTGTCCGTATACTCTTTTATTTTAATCTTTCATTCAGTCTGTCTTTTGCTCATTGAGAGTTTGTCTTTAAATGCCTTTGCCTGCTGCAAACATGGCCTGGTAAAAATATCCTTTTGTAAAGCAGGAATATGTGAGTGAAGTCCAGATGCTGTCTTCTGTCTGTGGAAGAATATTCAACTTGTGTCCACCATCTGCTTGAATCCATGTTGCTGCAGACTCTCAGTCAGGCTATGGCATGTGATAACAGTCATCACTTTTGATAATTGATAACAAGTGAAACTAATTATGAATGTAATCACGCTATAAGTAAACAGCACCACCATGGTGAATACCCAAAGGTCGGCATTGGTGTGAGGAAATCCAGACAGATCCATATCTTATTCAGCTGACTTTTTTTATTAAACATTTACAGAAGAATAGATAAATAGTCTTTACAGCCAAGAGAGCACATGGGTCCATTAGAGGAGCAGTTGGGACTCGCTGTAGTGGTCAAATATTAGCCTGTCAAATACTCAGAACCATTCATTTATAGAGATGCAAGAATATCATGCAGAAGCTCATTTTTTTCTTTAGTCACTTATAAAAGTAAAAACATAATATACTCTGGATTCTGAATACTTAACTCAATTTTAGCAGATAAATGAATTGTGGTTTAGATATTAATGCTGCGTTCCAGTTACCTCGGAAGTTGGATGTCGGAGATGGAAATGACATTACACTTGAGTTGACGGCATTCCAGTTAACAAGTCGGGAAACCAAGATTGACACCTACTGTTAGCCGTTTTTAGCTGTTGTTTACAGTTGTCAGCTGTTGTCGTTGTTGTCAGCTCAGCCATACCAGTTGTTACACATAACACAGTATTTTACTCTTACAAACACCATAGCACCATGTTCACAGTTAGATGTTTGGCAGTACAACATACACCACTTATTTAATATCACAAAAACAAAACAGAAGTGCTAATGAATAATACATTACGAGAGCTTTCACTATTACTCTTCACTGTTGATGCACTGCGCTGCCATCTTGGATTATGACGTCGTCAAGTTGGGGTCAGTGAGGATCGTCCGACTTCAAGGGGCGTTCCAGACGAATTTCCGACTCTGAACTTGGAAATTCCGACTTCCGAGTACAACTGGAACGCGGCATAAGTCCTCAGTTTCTCAGTTTTTTATGTACTTGATTGGATGTCATGATCTAAAGCTTCATAGATGCTAAAAACACAAGTCAGATGCACAGACTTGTTTGGTTTATTCCCTCGGGTTTATCCAGCACCTCCTGAAAACCTGATAACTCTGATGTGGTTGTTTCTTGGCAACTCGCTGTTCCAAACAAACGTCCAAGAAGAAGAATTCATCTTCTTCTGTGTGTTGTTTAAGTCCCAGTCCTTTTTGTCTCACTAACTGCAGCACAGTTTGCATTCTGGAAGAATCAGATCACTCAAACAAATGGAGGAGCTTCAGTTTATACAGACATACCAGAAAGTATAGTGGGTAATGTCTGCCTCATGGCCAACACACCATTAAGTCTATAATGTCTCATACATATGGTTGTTGCAGGTCTTTGTTGAGGATTTGTGATACTTTCTGCAGATACAGCAGGAACCAGGAAATCAGTGCTGAAGCACCCATGCTGTGATAAGCTGCTTTGTGCAGCTGTTTGTCAGGTTACAGAGGACGAAAGGCCGAGAAATACTCCAACATGCTGTAAATAACCGTTCATCGTTTAGAGGAAATTTTGTAAATCACCGAGGTTGAAAAAGCCGACACAACCATAAAAAAAGTCACAGGGGCATAACAAACTTACTTTGGCCTTTTCTGACCTTTTCCTCCACTTGACAGCTTCCTGATTTAGGTGTTTGTTCACATGTAGCTTCTGTTTTAACAAAATTATGTGATACATTTTCAGCTGGGAAGGTAAGCAACAAACCTCAGTCCTTGGCACAAAGTTGTCCTTGTTGTCAGTGTTGCCAAAGCTGATCACTGCATCGCTATAGAGATGAATCTTACCTCTTCACTCTTTGCTTTGGATAACAAGCTGGGAAATTGTCCTAGTTTACTCTTAAACAAATTTATCAAAGGAGTCTTTTCTGCTCTTTAAATGAATTTTCCTTTTGTCAACAACGATACAGCTCTTGAGACACTTCATTCATAATCTGATGCCAGCGATTTGCTCTCGGTCTGCTTCAGCCTTTCCAGCAGAATCAAATTTAGTTTCCTCGACGAATGCACTTCTGATCCAGATGAGTTTAGAGGGGGGATTTAGAGACTCTTATGTAAGGCGGTAAAAACTGGGAAATCCAAAATTAAAGGCAGATTAACACTTGAGTGTCATTTGATAACTATTTTCTGGAAAGGATTGATCTTTACTCGCACAACAAAAAACAGATTGTAATGAGTGACGTGTTTTACTGAAAAGTTGTGGTGGAAAGACACTCCCACATCCCGACAGGAAGAACTTCCTGCTGATGTTGTGATCCTTGTCCTGTCAGAAACATGCATGCCTCACTCACGAGCGTTTCTTTCCCTCAGGCTGTCTCTCTTTCTCTCTCACTCACTCACTCACACAGACACAATGGAAACCACCACTAAAACATGTCCCACATCCTGTGCTGTGATTTTATCATGTTGTCGATTCAGGCTGAGGAACAGTGAACATGTGCTTACTTAAACAACTTTAAAAAACTGTTTGAAGACGTCGTACAAAACCAATCCCACTGACAAGTTTGTGGCTTTCTTAGGGGGTAGCCGGTTGTAGGCTTGTATTTTTGCTCTGTTTGTATGAAACTGGCCAGCCTTCTATTATCTTTGGAAGTGGGTCTGTTGTTGTTGCAAGCACCAAGCTCTTGGACTTGTAGCTTTTGAATGGGCTTTTTTGTCAGAGCTTTATGTCTGCCAGCTGCAGATTCTTGTCTTGGTAAAGATTTTGCTGAAACAGCGACAAAGTTGTTTTTTTATTTGGATTGGTATTGGATTGGATTCTATTTTCTTTAGGAAGTGGCTCTTTCTAACTATGGCACTCAGAAAGCATGTCAGTGTTTCAGATGGGAAATACACAGCGTAACAGTAGATGACGGCAAAAACCATGTTTATAAAAACAGTAAGATATAATATTATAAAGTAGGGCTGGGTGATAAACCGAAATTTTACCGATACTGAAATTTACGATAATAACCGATGTCATTTTGCCCATGTCGGTTTATTCGGTGTCAAAAAAATGAAAAAAGTTGATAAAAGTTGATAAAAGTTGATTTTGGATGTGTGTAGGTAGGCTATGGTCTCATGTCCCTTTTTAAGATGCTGTCCTATGTCAGAGGAGATGGAGGACGGTTCAAAAGTTGTAGCTGCTGGAGCAGCGGCTGAAGTAGACGAAGTTAATGTAGGAGGAGCTTGTGGAGTAGTTATCGTCCATTTATCCTTATCATGGTGAACTGCTCAATATATCACAATGTTGATTTGAGGCCATATCGCCCAGCCCTATTACAAAGTGCTGGTCCATGATGTGAGCTGAGGCACTGACGGTTTTCCTGAGGTGCTTGACTTTCACTTTGCACATCATGCTTTTAAAATAGGTCAGGAGATACCCGGGTGATTGTAGAATCCAAAGTACACTCAAAGCTGTTAAATTTCTTGCTGCTCCATCGATATGAATTAGCAACACCAAGAACTAGCTTGCAGTGGACAGCCATCAGTGCCATCAGCAGGTTTGTTGTGCATAAACCAGCTGCTGTCCCAAACCAAAAGAAAATATTTAAAATAGGATTTTTAGACTTTTCAGATCGATTCAGAATTGTAGGAATTAAGAAATTTTGATTCTGATGTGAGTCGATTTTTTCCTCAACCTTACACAATGGTATTCTGTTGCAGTATGTACTTACCATGAGAAGTAGTCAGGCATGTTCACCTTCTATGACTCTCTGAACCTCTTCAACAAGTTTGCACTGTCACTCTTAACACAACAACCGGTGGCTTTTTTTTTGTGAGGAGTGTTTCAGAAATGAAAAGTGACTAAACTGAGACGCAGCAGAGCTATAATTATCGGGGACTGTCAGGAGTCACTGTGATTTACAGCCACAGCCCGCTTCTCTAAATCATCCTGGACTGAAGACAATCAAATCATTAGTTGAAACACATCCCTCGAGCAGGTCGAGCTGTTGTGACAGACCCTCCAGTGTTTATACCTGTCATAGAAGGACACAAGACTTCCTGACTGCCACAGTTAAACAGACACCCACTTCAACACGAGGAGGAGGTGGTGTGCTTTGGTTAGTGAACGTGGCTCCGCTCTGAAGTGTCAAACCTACATTGTTGTGTGTCAAAAATCCCTCTGTGTTGCTCTTGTTTTTATAACCCTGCTGTGACTGCACAAGTGTTTAGGGAAGTAAATTTCTGCTGTATGTGCACAAAAATCGAATGCGTGTGTACAAAAAAACAGAACTCATTAAACTGCAGATTTTTGTGCAGCAAAATCATGATCATGGCAGCACAATAAACTGGAGACGGTGTTGAAGGTGGTGCACAAACCACCCCTTGTAGTTATTAGTCATAATAAACTCTCAGTGCCAAAATAAGTCATTACAAAATAAAATACCCTGAGGAACTAAATAGTCAGAAGAACACCGTGTGGATGAGTTAATGAAAGTTGATTCTTATCGAAGATCTCTGCACTAAATATCTGTATTTAATTCATCCCCTGGTTTAGCCACTCTTTGTTCAAATTCGTTCTCAAACGAGCACGTGTTTATCTCACATTCTCCTCTCCGCTGTTTGCACAGATATGAGACGAGTTGTACGGCAGAGCAAATTCCGTCACGTCTTCGGCGCGGCGGTGAAGAACGACCAATGCTACGATGATATCCGGGTGTCAAGAGTCACATGGGACAGCTCCTTCTGCGCGGTCAACCCCAAATTCGTCGCAATAATTATCGAGGCCAGTGGCGGCGGAGCTTTCCTCGTTCTCCCTCTTCACAAGGTAAGTTTAGCGCCTGAACCGAGCACATCAGCCTGAGCGGTCCTCTATCTAACTGAGGCAAACCAGATGTGTAAGCTTGTTTGCATTGATTGGTTGTTTTTTTCCACATCATTCATCCAAACTTCGAGCCAAACAAAATATATCTATCAGTGTTAGAGAGATAACAGACTGCTATATGATGTTATACTGAGTGACTGATCATTTTGCTTTCAGTGATAAGTAAGCAGGGCAACCTACAAACCTAAAAAAGTAAAGTTCCTGCACTCAGCAATAAAAAGCACTGACATGCGAATCAGTTTTCTTTTTGATAAAATGCTGCATTATAATTTTTTATGCTGACCTTTTAAAGACATGATGTGATTTTTTTTTTTGTGCAATCGTGCATGTGATATTTGTGTCACACATGATATCATATGATTAAATTACATTGAGATAATTTTTGGAAAGTAAGACAGGAAAATTTTTTATTTTGCTCTGGTGATGGCAGAAAGACTGTAGGATCTTATTCGGACATAATCGCACCTCAAAGTTCAAGAGTTGAGTCAAATCTTGATAGCTGTCTCGCTCTTGTCTGTGAAGCGCTTTGTTTCTGTAGTGAAAATTCATTTGCATTCAAAGGCTTTACGTCTTACGAGCAGGACTGCTGACTCCTCCGTTTGTGTACTTTGGGTTAATGTTTACCAGCAAGTTTTTTTCACACACCCTCATGTGTACAACAGAAACTACTCCAAAGCCCTGGAGCCAGCAGTCTCCTGATCCTTACCTCCATATAAGGAATCTCTCCACTCCAGTTAGAGTTACTGTTGGGCTGGGCGAGACAACATTTGAGAAGTGTGTAGCTGTAAACAAGTGAGTTGTGTTGAATACATGTCTTCTTCTTGTTGAACCCTGATGTCATCATTATTGGTCTAATTATAGTTCAGTAGGGGTCACAGGGGTCCTCGCATTTCCCCCCTGGAGAGCCTTTGGGTGCTATTATGGTTGATAGTCGTGATTTGCTGGCAGCTCTGTAATATGCCCAAGTGACAGGTCCTGACACTGTGAGTGACACAAGTACTGCGACTCTGTTGACAGATTTAACCTTGGCCTGTAATTAGTGTACGCCAGTGCACAGTCATGTCATCCGAGAGGGCTCTGGCATAGGCGACCGGATCCTCAGGCCTGTCATCACACAGCTTCCACCTCTCAGCACCTCATTCAATACGGCACTCGCACTGGAGGTGGGCTACAAGCTCAACTGGTTTCACACTCCTTCTGCCTCCTCTCTCTGTGTCAGCGTTTGAACGAGCTGCCCTCTGCTCGCCACGGCTCACTACAGTTTTGGTGTGTCTTTTTGAACAAAGTCTACTTTGACTGCTACATTAAAACAACTGTGAGAGACTGAGGTCTTTGTACCGAGTGAACCTCAGGCAATTTCCTCAAGTGAGAGATTAAAACAGCTTTCTTGATTTTTTAGATCTTCCTACATGCAAGCTGGCAGGCGTGACGCAGACTAATCCTTCAGATTTAGTGTTTTCCCTCATCTCAACAGGCCATGCATTGAGTCAGTGGAGCCAAAGGGGAATCCCATGCCATTAGAGAATTATAGTATGGTGTTTATGTATGGTGTATTTTTGACAGTGTGACCTGAACTCATGCCGCCAGTTCAGTTTTACAGCTGAGGCTTTGAAAAGTCAGTTGTTAAAGACAGAGGCAGCAGTCGTTTTAGACGTTAACTCCTTTTAATGAGTTCAATCAATATCTGTCTAATGAGTTTTTCTTACTTTAAGACCTTTTCTGACATTTATCACTTCGGTATGTTTAAACCATTTTTTTCCTGACAAAGCAGGTCCATCTGGAAATCTTAGTATAGCCTCAGCTGGCGATGCAGGTCTGGAAAGTAGGGCAGGTCTGTTCGAACAAGTGATATTACTAGACTGCACTGCAGTGGTTTGGTCGTACAGTTACTCTGAACACCTGACATCATTTATAATATATTCTACCTGAAACGAACGATGGATGTAGTTTTCTGTCTGTTACTTATAGAGTCGTCTTTCTCGGCCTGGTTTGAAGGATCTTTGCCGTTTAAATCACCAGGGTTTCATTTAAAATGTTGCAAGGGCACACATTTCCTCAGCCCCCTCCTCCTCCCTCCTTCCCTATCCTCAATGTGAGGGTGCATCTGTCTAAGTAACCCATCTGCCTGTGCTGTGGTCCTCCCAGTCTCAGTGGGAAGCCAGCTGCTCGGGGCCTTTGTCCCACGCTTACTCTCTGTGCAGCCCTTTGTCATTACCGCACTCAGGCTGCGGGGAGACTGAAGTGTGATGCTGCTCCTTCCCCCTTCACTGTAAAGCCATACACAACTGTGCGCTGTCTTTATTGTTTCCATTCAGTAATGAGAGGATGAGAATGAATTATTAATCATTCAAACATGAGCAAAAGGAACAGTAGCCTCCACTCTTTGTCTTGGCTTTATGTACCGTGAAATAAACAGTAAATCAGCTCCTGGAGTTCAGAGGTTGATGTGGAAGATCTGTGCCCTGACCTGAGGTCTGAGACTCATCCTGAGTAGCCGACCACTGGAGCCACTACCTCTGTTTGACTCAGCAGAGTGAGGTTTGTGCAGCAGGCTGCTGTGACTCAGCACAGCCACGAGTATTGTTGCTCGCCCCTGTCAGAGCACAGCGATTTATAGAGGGGGGCATCAGATGTCCAGCTCAACACGTCATTCCCCGGCCTTGTGCTTTCAATCTCCTCCTTTCTCTTTCTTAGCGGGATGCCTGCTAATTTATTCCCTGATTTCCATATGAAGGAAGCTGTGGGAGTGAATGCATGAGCGAGAGAGAGTTCAGTCAAACATTCCTGATAATTCCTCTCTGTCTGCTCTCTACCAGAGAAAGGAAGTCTGGGTAAAACATTCAAGATGATGTGATTTGTGTCATTTATCTGGAAATCCTTCATTTTGATTTCCAATCATACAACTGTAAAAATGTCCATCCTGTCTTTATTGATTTGTATTGTTTGCTGCCTGTGCAGGGAACTAAAGCCATGACACCACTGAGGAAATGAATTGTTCTTGTTCCACGTTGGTGCATCAACCACTTCCTCTGTGCGGAGCTGACAATCAGATGTGGAGAGTGTGTTTGATTTGGATTCAATCCCTCAATGCACCATTCATTCAGAGCTCAACCTCTGCTGTTAGTAATCCCTGGGTGTGTGTGCAGAGTGACACATAAATTCTGTCCTGTTCTGCACCACTGTGGCTGCTGGCTAAGCTTTACTCTGACCTTATTACACACAAAAATACACTTAGTGTGCGTTCTATCAATGGTCTTTCCCCATACTTTAGTCTTTGTGTTCCAATAACTCTCTACCGCTGGGTTGCCTCTGCCTTTGCCGCTTCTGCCGTTCAGTCCTGCTGACTGCAGATTTTACCATATATGGTCATTCACTGCACCCTGCCTGACAGCCTTCCAAGACCATTTCCTCCCTGCCTTGCCATTGGCTGCTTCATGCAGTGTCAGTACACATGTGAATTCTGGGATAGGCCGAAATATGAAGAGCGGCCAAGATGAGAGAACTAGGTTGAAGTCAGATGTTGTCTCTGTCACAGAGTCACAGAGTCATTGACTGTATTCTGTAAGGGTTATAATACCAGAGCCATCATTTTAATGCTGTGATCATTACAGCTCCTGGATAACTGAATAAATGATCATTGATGTTATTTATCATTTCACTGTTTATAATCCACTTTAATAGGATTCTGATCTCTGACATTTTAACACTTTAGGACAGAGATGTTTTATGTTTTGATCAGCAGTGTCATGTTAGATTTAAGAGCTGCTGCAGATCAGAAGTTAATTCACAGATTAAGTGGAGATGCACATAAATTCACTAATCCAGCACATATAAAATCTTCTTTTAAAGGCATCTCAGTTGATTTGTTCATTTTTCTGTTTGTTCTGTCATCAGTTCGTGCCTTCAGATGTTCGTTTGGATTAAGTCTGCGCTTCAGTTGATCATTTTTCAGGCTAATTGGTGCTGGACTCTATCACAGCATGCACGAGTTGGACAGGAAGAATTGGAGACACAGCGGAAGCTCTGTTATCCTCCCTGTGTACATAATTGACAATCCATACACCAGGACTGTGCACAACAACAGCACATCTATTGCACACATTTGTATAACAGGTATATATATCTCTAGTCGTCGTGTAGAGTGCGTCAGCATGTTGCTCTGATCCTATCATACAGATGGAGACTTGTAAAAGTGGAAATTTCCACAGAGCTCTGAGCAGAAGTGGACAACATGCAGACCCTTTTAGTGGAGTGCATGTGTGAATCACATGTTGAGCAGCGAGGAGAGGAAGGGTGCCGGCTCCTCGTGTGAATGAAAGGAATGTCGTCGCTTGCCTTGAGGGAATGTTGTCCATCTATTTTTTTTTTTCAGTTTTTCAGTGTTGTGCTTTGTATTTTATCTCTGCATGATTCACTCTCACTTTCTACAGTTTTACTTGTTGCTATGCAACCGGTTGTTTTCTCGGTTTCAGACATTCTTTTAGAGAGATCCAGACGCTCATGGTCTTGTTATGGACATGTAAGGTGCTCCACTGCTGAGCTTCACTACATACAGATAGTGTGGGTGTTATTGTTATTCTAGTGCTGTCATTTTTCTCTTAATCTCCTGAAAAAATTGCTCCCAAACTTCGAAGCATGAGGCTGCTGCTCCGGTGTTCTGTCCGTCTCTGGGAGGATGTTCTTTTCTGGTTTGTCTTCTTTTCTGATTCACTTTTTTAAATTCTGTGAAAGTTGTGATGGTTCGATGATGATGAGGAGTGTGAAGACAAAACCAGAGGAATATTAAAAGACCCTTTAACTGCTGTGTTTATCAGGCTTTCAGTAACATCCTGATGCTTAAACCATAAGTCCTTGCCATAGGATTGTCATGATAATCAAATACTTAACTTTGACGTGTTACTAGTAAAAACAAAGATGAGCATCCAGCTGATCTGGTGGTCTTAGTGTCTTTAAGATGTAATATATATACATATAGGTTTTGTTGTATGTGCTTTGAGCGACAACTGATTTAACTGACAAGCACAGTTTAATGTGTTACATCACCTTCATTACATTTTAGCAGAACTCTCCAAAATTCACCCCAGTGTAAGTTCTAACTGTGCCAGGTGTGGACACTTCCCCGCCTTTCTCGTATGTTTTGGCGCTGCCGCAGGAAAGCCATATTTGGTGTCCCTGAAGAAGGTTGTCCTCTCAAGAGGGACAATTGATTGATACCCCTAAACATAAAAAAATAAACAACATACCCTTCTACCTATACCTGTATAGAAAAGAGATTTTTCACAGAATTTATGAAAGTTTGATTTATTTCTCGTGCTTTCTTTGACAAATTTAGAAAAAAAAATGTGCCTTCTGTTTCCGGTCGATGCTGAATCAAAGCTCTAAACCCCTGCAGAATTTTTACTAGTGCTGTCACAGTATACCGTTATTGCTATATTTATTTAATTATTCATTTTAGCATGTTTAAGATGAGCTTGAATCGATACTGTACGTTCAAAGTAGTGGTCCTCAACACTGGTCGCCACATGTCATAAAACGCAGCAAGAAGTCAGCTGCCAGCGATCTAGCTGTAGCATCCCTCTGAGAAATGAAGGGAGCACTTTTAAAGACCAGCATCCCAAGATTTATTGTGAATCAAAATAAAAGTAAGAGCTTCTGCCTCCTCATGTCAGTCATCAATTAAAACAAACCAACTTGCAAAGCCATCGTAAAATGCAAACTTCAAATATCTCTGCCACGGTGAACCCCTTTATCCGCCTCAGTCTCTGCTCCTCCAGATGGACAGACAGGAGAATGAAACAAGCTCTCACAGGTTGATTCACCTGTGCTGCTATAAAGGATTTCTTTGCAGTGAGGTTTGTGTCATGGTCTGCCTCAGGCATGACTGAAGTCATAGTTCCCGTTCAACTGTTGATTGGATGTGCTAACACTATCAGGGATAGAACTCTGTGCAGTCTGCTTGTGTACCTCCTGTGTGTTATCAGATGTTTGAACTAGCTGGGAGCAAGAGCTTCTGTGACTGCTCTTCAGACCCGGGATTTCATAATGATGTATACATATATCAGACACAAACACAATTAACACCTCAAAGGGTGCAGTATTTGACACTCTAGCGGCCGTCTTGCTCTCATTAGTCACACTCATACCAGAGCTGCCGGGGCCAAGGTGTGGAATGTGAAGAACGTGTAGCTCTCTGGACAAACTGTCGGTCCTCCTCTGCCCTGCCGGGTAGATCAGGGGCTTCGAGATCTGGGGCTTAGCGCAAGTGTTGGCGGGGTTATGGTTCATTGCTATAAGTCCACCATAGACGCAAAGATTTGTTCAAAAATCAAAGGATTAATATTATTATGATTTGAACTCCTATGGAGAATTGGAGACCTTTGATAGTGAGACTACTTCAAGAGTTTATCTAAGACTTTAGGAGTATGCCTGGTGTGGAGTTATACCCGGAGAAATGCCAGTTTCTAAGGTCCAAACAGAAATTGCTTCTTAAGGTGGTCTTTCACATTGTAGATTACAGTCGACTCCCGGTTTGCCTTGTTTTATAAACCACAATATCTGCTGTAGTCATCCTGCACAAAGTGGGAGATCAACATAAATAAAGGATTTCAGCCCATCTGGATAATGTTCCATCACAGCGCTCAGAAACCACCGCAGTAGTATGGCATCAATTCATGTTGAAACAGAGTTATCTCTCTTATGTAACAGAAATGGTCGACTTTGCCAACACGAGTGGTTTAGGACGAGTCTGAACCTGATCTATAACTTCTGTTCAGTCAATGTTGAGTTAATATTTTGAACGAATCTGTATAAGAATAAATATATTTATACTGCTGGCTTAACTTATCTTCAAGATGAGCCTCTTTTTTTTTTCAGACATGTTTATGCTGTTTCTGTAGTTACACTCAAAAGTCTGTGTCCTCCTGTGCAGGTGAAATCATGTGCAGTGCATTCAGCTTCGATTTACCTCTCTTCTGTTTTAAAAATTAAATAACTACGCTCAAATTTCACACTCGCATTGTAATTTTATATCTTCCTTTTTCTGATCTAAGTAGAAGACGCTGAAAATAAGGCTTGGCTGCAGAGACGAGGTCACAGGTCTCATATTTAATCTTAATATTATCTGGTATGAGATGATAGTTGATGACTCTCTATTGACAGAGGTATTAAGGTCTGATTTCTTCCCAGTCAGGGTCGATTTCAGGGTGTGTTCAGTTGTCTGGGTGAAGCCGATCTTGTGACGTTGTACACTGTTAACACACACACACACACACACACACACACACACACACACACACACACACACACACACACACACACACACACACACACACACACACACACACACACACACACACACACTGGGCTTATTCTGTAATACTCTGGACTTTAATCTGTAACTTGGAGTGTGTCACCACTGAACTGTGATTCACCCACTTCTACAGCATGGTGACCATAAACAGTCCATGTTAGTTACAAACCCAGTATTTTCATACATCACAAAGGTCACTTATGATGTATCATTCATTGTAATCCAGTGGCCATACATTTATTTAGTCTTAGTACATATACAAAACATCAGTAGAGTTTTATAATACATTTATACAGTTAAACTTTTGTCATGGTTGGGATGTGTTGGCGAACAAACTTCTTTGTGAGCCACAGTCTGTGAATTGCACTTAGATGCTGAAGGCCATTATTTTACTGTCTACTGGAGTTTCCATCCTTTTGAAAGCTTTAATTGATGGCATGAAATCAGTCGGACCATAATGTGCAGTTTGGGGTCAGCTTGGTCTCCTTGGAGCTTTGACACCGCTGTCAGTCGAGATTCATCTTCATAGCCAGAGCTCACTTGACTAAAGTAACGCTCAGGTCTTGGCGGCTCTCATCATATCTTGAGTGATTTGAATGAATGCAAGTAAACTGATGGTGCTCAGGATCCAGATATTTAATGTCCACAGCAGTGTTGAGAAAATAATCCTGATGAAACCAACAGTGATGTTAGATATCGGTGAAGGTGTGTGTATCGGGGCTGTTGCAAAGTGCTGCCCAGTCTTCAGTCTTCAGCACATCACACCATGTATGAATAAGAGCTTAAATCTGTTGTTTTATTTATGTGTTTATATGTTCATTGAAGCCTGTTTTGATCCAAGTGTTTGTGTTTTTAGTCGTCACTGAAAACACGTCACGGATTAAGTCCTTCTTGACTGCTCTTGTTGTTATTCCCTCGGTGATCGTAGTGACGCTTCAGGCTGAGGGATTTTTTCTTCCTCCTTTTTTTTTATTAAGAAAGCCATCATGCTTTAAATAGGACTCCAGCCAGTGGCAGCAGGACTCTTTCCACACTTAGTGACATCATCTCTTGCCCTGTAGCCGTACTTTAAGTCAAGACACATTAGGGCGTGTCTCAGACCATTTACATTGGCAGCATGCGCTCACTAAGTCACTGGTCAGCTTGTAGTGACCACCTGGTATTCCTGCCTCATAGGGTGAAATAATGGAGAGTGTTCAGAATGTAATTTGTTGTCATTATTTGTGCGTGTGGATTATGTATGTGGCGTATTGACTTTGATCCACTTGATGCACAAACTAAGCACCTCTTGGCACGTGTCTACTGTATAACGACGTCACCAGCTCTAATAACTTTCCTTAATTACTCTGGGTGGTCCAAAACAGATTCAAACTAATCTCAGTTTACTTCTGCGCACCACCACTAAAACCCTAGCTCCTTTTTTTGGCTGAGTGACAAAGAGCAGAAAGCCAAGTCTGGATAGTGTGTGTCGGTATTAAGTTTAGATTTACTTTTCAGTGTAGTAGTTCTTAGTTTAAAAACTTGCAACCTAAGAAGACTTGTGTTTATCTGTTCTATTTAAATTAGTTCTTTTCTGGTTAATTAAGGTTAAGTGTGTATGTTATGAATCCTCTTCATTTCACAGGTGGGGTTGAGTATTATTCTGTCATTGTCTTGTTTCATAACCCGCTCCCTCCTCCAGCATGGACACCCTTCTCAAAGACTAATCCCGTTACTCTGTTTTGTTTATCTTTGTCTTTACAGACGGGCCGCATTGACAAATCCTACCCCACAGTGTGTGGTCACACGGGCCCGGTGTTAGACATTGACTGGTGTCCACACAATGATCAGGTCATCGCCAGCAGCTCTGAGGACTGCACAGTGATGGTAAGCTTCGCCTCTCCACCTTTAACACGTGAGCTCACACTCAGACCCTTTAATTATGCAAAAATCATCCACCCCCATCCTTTATGGAATAAACGACATGAGACAACACGCTTTTTATTGCGAAAGGCCAGACTGTTGTAACAAAGGGATGGGTGCAGACCTCACCCTCTGGATTAGATTAGGCTCAAATATGTGTTGCAGGAATCAGAGCTGGGGAATGATTTAGCTGTTTATTGAGCTGAGGTCACCGACTTTTCTGAGACTGCAGTTGTACTTTCCTCCATATGTCCTTATTTGGGCTGTGAAAGGCTGAGATAAGTGTGCTGCCTGTTTACGTATGCTGCCACCACTTACCTGAAAGTCCTGACTTCCTGTTAAACCGACCCTGAATCAATGCCATATTCATTTCATGTTTGCAGAAGTATAAGCTGTGTGAAAAGGGGCCATCAATGGTTCCTCTCTTTAAGTATTTAACCTTTTCGAAGGGGAAGTTCACCTCCGAAAATGGCTTGTGGAAATGATTAGGTTGGATTAAGCAGTGATGGGAAGTGGAACTGGTGCGCACAGCAAACTGTTGGAGAAAGTCCGGACATGGAAGTAGCTGCACGCTTTTTTTAAAAATTACAAATAGATTTTTATCGTCACAACACATTTGAGTCACAGCAGACATCAGTGTGAGTCATAACAGGCTATCCAGTGCTGCCCTGCATCTTAACACTGTCATCTTCTGCCTTATAAAATCACAGAAACACTCATTACTTTAATACTCATACAGTATATTGACGCATTAAAACAGGGTAATGAATAATTAGCAGTGCTGCTCAATTTAAGTTTATGAATACATTGACTGGTCTGGTCTGGTCCAGGCATGATGATACATGAAGCAGAAAAAGTATAGCAACAAAAGTCCCCTGTGTATCCATTTACAAAGAAAGTCAAACTTAAAATCTTCTCATCATCACCCAAAGAGGAATCATGACTGTAAATATCAGGACTTTTCTTTCAATACCATGAGATATATGTAATTTTAATTATGGTGTGAGAACAGAAATTAGAGAAATTCTGTCAGTCATCACCTACAAAACCTGAATTTGATGTGAAGGTGTGTATCTTATTCTGGACATGCTGTGACTGCATTAAAGAAAGACTACTGTTGTGAAACTGTATGTTTTGAAGTTATCAAATCAAAGGAGCTGAATGTAGTTCATATACAGTATATCTCTTCACACAGTAATGTGCTGTTATTTAAAACTGAATTCTTGGTCACTGCTGCCCCCTTCAGGTTCCTTCTGGTAACCACACTTTAGTGTACTCACTGTCGGAGTTCCGTTACGAGGTTGAGTCTGATGCATTCAAATCTATGAGAACATTTAATTTTCAGAGTACAAGGTTAAAAAATGTGTGAAACAGTTTCTAGAGTAATAAGAGGAGGGTCGTTCCTACATGAAGCAGGAGTGGAAGTGTAACTCCTGCGTGCTGTAAGGAACAAAAAGGCATGATATTTAGAAAAAGTACACATTAATTTCAGGCCTTAATTATATTGCGATTATCAAATTTGCACTGACAACCATAAGTAAAAACACGCGTCCTTTCACCTGTTATTGTTGTCTGTCCATCTCCTGATGTCTGTCCTGCTTGTCCTTCACAGGTGTGGCAGATTCCGGAGAATGGCCTTGTTACTTCTCTGTCTGAGCCTGTAGTGGTTTTGGAAGGCCACTCCAAGCGTGTTGGCATCATCACATGGCACCCAACAGCACGCAATGTCCTGCTCAGTGCAGGTAAAAGACCTTGTTTATGTCCTGAAATAAGTCTTCGATCCTTGATATGTCTCTGTGTTGACTGATAACTTAAAGACATAGTATTGTATGTGACTTTTCTATGACACTGACCTGCTCACCCCGTCCTCAGGTTGTGACAACCAGATCATCATCTGGAACGTCGGCACAGGAGAGGCCATGATCAACCTGGAGGACATGCACCCTGATGTCATTTTCAACGTGTGCTGGAACCGCAACGGGAGCCTCATCTGCACCTCCTGCAAGGACAAGTCCATCCGTGTCATCGACCCCCGCAAGGAGGCCATTATTGCTGTGAGCACTTTTCAAAGTCTTTGTTAGGACAGGGGAGGGGGTTGCTTTGAGTCACGTTTCTTTTTAATGCTGTTGATGATGTTATTTTGTTTTTAACAGTTATGCACTTTGAGTTTGAAATGTTCCTCTACTTCACAGGAGAAGGAGAAAGCACATGAGGGAGCACGGCCCATGAGAGCCATTTTCCTTTCTGATGGCAACATCCTGACCACTGGTTTCAGTCGCATGAGTGAGAGGCAGCTCGTCCTCTGGAACGCGGTGAGCACGACAACATTTCTAGTGTGGCATTTAATTTAATCTAAATTCAATCATCTTAAACTTTATTTTTTTATTATTTTTTGAGTTTGTTAGAGCGAGATTCTCATTTAAAAACTGGTTGGAATAAGTTGTCTTAACAACTGCTTTTAGCTGTTTTAGACGTTCCTTTCTAAACATTATGTTTTTGAATCCCAGAAGAACTTTTCTGAATCTTCTGTTTTTATTCCAGCAAAACATGGAGGAGCCCATGACTGTTCATGAGATGGACACCAGCAACGGCGTACTGTTGCCCTTCTATGACCCCGACACCAACGTTGTTTACCTCTGTGGGAAGGTAAGTTATCCTTCAAGCACTTGATATATAAATCAAGCTGAATCAACAGAATGCAGAAGTAAAACCCTTCATTATCTCCTGACAGGGTGACAGCACCATCCGCTACTTTGAAATCACGGACGAGTCTCCATACGTCCACTATCTCAGCGCCTTTTCCACCAAGGAGCCTCAGAGAGGCATGGGCTACATGCCCAAGAGAGGCCTTGATGTCAATAAGTGTGAAATTGCAAGGTAGGTGTAGTTCCAAAGACGGTGGTGGTTAATTGTCATTGCTGACACCAGAGTGTGTCTGCAGTGTCTATTAACAACTAGCTGTAATCCGCAGCTCCTAGTTTGACCACAGGGTGGCAGACATCAGTCACTGATCTCTGTAGTTGTTCATTTCTGCTCTAAATCGAGGGTAAATTTGTTTTTTGTGTTGGTAGGTTCTTCAAACTTCACGAAAGGAAGTGTGAACCCATCGTGATGACCGTGCCCAGAAAGGTGAGCTCATAGTCCAGGTGTCCACTTCACCCAGAGTAACCAGAGCTCTAATTTCTTTGTCGCAGACTGAAGCTTCGTCTTAAACTTGCTGGTTAGTTATAAAGTTTTCTGTCCTTTTTTTCTTCAGTCCGACCTTTTCCAGGATGACTTGTACCCGGACACAGCAGGTCCAGACCCTGCCCTGGAGGCCGAGGAGTGGTTCGAGGGCAAGAACGGAGACCCCATTCTCATTTCCTTGAAGAACGGCTACGTCCCGATCAAGAACCGTGAATTCAAGGTGGTGAAGAAGAACATTCTGGACAGCAAGGTGACCAAGAACTCGGAAAACTCATGCCCTGCCAACAAGTCTGCCTCCCCAACCCCATCAATCGTGAGTATTGCTGACTTTTGACTCCCACCTCAGTCTTAGTAATCAATACACATCTAATGCACTCCTAGCTTGTCTTCGCTGCTCTCAGCATCATATAGACAAACTTTATGAGTTCATGGTGCTGCAGTCTGCTGCTGGCTGTGTCCATTAGGTAGTTTGTAAATGTTGTTCAGCCCACCACAAACTGAGGGGTCTGCTGCTGCTGCTGGGCGTCCTGCTGCACCTCACCCACAACACAGCCACCAGCCTGGGACCCAGCCCATGTGTCTCTCTGCAGCTCTGCTCTGTAATCACGGCCCACTGGGCTCCAGTTCTGGCCAAACATGTTAACCCCCAGAGCGCCAGTCTATGCCAGTCTGTACACAGTTTCTGAGTCAGCTAAGGTTCGAGTATATTGCATCCACAGTAGGCTGATTGTCGTCGTATTGTGAGAGAAATGTGTACTAACATGCCAACAAGTCTCACTGGTCTTTTGTTTGACCCACAGAAATCTGAAGCCAAGCTGGAGGAGATCTTAAAGGAAATCAAATCCCTCAAGGACCTGGTCAGCAGTCAGGAGAAGCGAATCATCAAACTTGAAGAGCAAATGTCCAAAATCGCCATTTAGGGACCCTTTACCCCGAACCCGCTACAGTTCAGGACGTTCCATTGGCTGGGGGTGGGTGGGACCAGTCACTGCCTATCACAATGACAGTGTTTCGCCTGAGGCCTGCCTCGCAACAATCCCTAGCAACATTCCAGATGAACTTTTTTCTTAGCCAGCCCCAACCCTCACTTAAACACAGGTGGAATAAGGACGCGTGTCAAATTTAGCAGAAAATACTCTTTCATTTTGTGACAAAGGACTCCATTCCTTTTATTGTGTGGTAGTCTGATTTTTATTTTGTCTACCAGCCTCAAACAGTCTTACATACTCCATATTTTAAAGATATGACCAAGAAAACTCCACTTTCAGAAGCCTCTATCGTTTACCCTAACATTTTTTAAGTCATTCCAGGTGTTTCATGTTAAACTTTCCCCAAATTTACAAAGTTGCCAAATTGAAAACTGTGTGAACGCCTCCTTTACAGTATTTTTCTCCTTCTCTCTGTGGGGAGATTTAAACTTCAAACAGGAGGTGTCACACGATAAAATGATTACGAACTCCATCGATGTATAAACTTGAACCAGTAATGATTAAAAAAACAAGATTAGACTTAAAAGTTTGAAATAGATTCTACACTTAACCCCCAACAAAGAGCACACAGACGTTACATAGATAAAAAAAAGTCTGCTGTCCTTGTTAAAGCTGCTCTAAACTAGCGCCTGCTTTCAGCCATTCCTGTCGCTTCCCGTCATTCTGAATGTGGACGGTTGTCCATCTGATCATGTACTCTTTTTTGTCATTCCTTATTTACGTGCACTGTGTGCTTAGCAGAGAAAACATTCCACCGATCTCATTCCCAGAAGGGTGAAACACTTCTGTCGAGTCTTGTAACCTCTCTGCCGCAGTGTCTCAGTCGCACCGTTTGGTCGTTATTGAGACATTAATGCGCTGCCAACAACAAAAACAACAACTCTGTGAACCTCACACCGGCTTTGTTTTTGCCCGAGGTTCAGACATCCACAGGTTTTGTTCAACACATAAGGTGTTGAGGGATTATTTTTGTCCCTGCTCCTTTGTCATCTCAGATCTGTATCCTCTGTCCAATCAGGAGGTAACTTGAAACCTGAATATTTAAACCTGGAAGTCACTTCAAAAAGGTGTATGTGATCGCTCTCAGAGGCCTGGATCGTGTGAACATGTGCCTCATGTCTTTGGTCTTCAGAGTTGCCGTCACTGCAGATCTCTCAGTCGGGGGAGGGGGAGTCGACAAGCATTAAAAAGTCCAAGATTCACATCAAACTTGGATAAATTGAATATTTTGGACATTGCCTCGCTGTTTCCTTTAGCCTGTTTCTCACCCCAGCTGTGCTTAAATCCCTCTTAGCACTTCCACTTCTTGTATTTTTAAGGGTTATTCCCCAGACGCTCATAATCAGTTCAGTCAAAACAAACATAGATGTTCGATCCGACCAGACAGCTGTGTTTAAAGCTCCTCCTGATCTTTTCAAAGTTATGAGACGGGTTATGGTTCAGTCTGTTGTTTGCCTTCAATAATTGTGACCACTGTAAAGACCTGAAAGTGCCATAGAGGAGACTACGGATGTGTGTGTAGGGGACTGTCGTGTGATAGGTTTACTAAACGAGAGTGGATAGGTGCCCAGATTCAAAACCACTTTGAGGTGCTAGTAAAAGGAAAATGCTACGTTCAAAAGACCCTGATTCTGAAGTACTGTATGTCAGCCCCTATAGGGGGCATCTTGAATTCCTGCCAGATCATCCCACAATCCACCAGGCAGCGGTTTCTGATCAGGGCTTGTTAAGACCCCTGAGATTCAACACTTTTCACCTTGGTACGGGTATTTAAAACATCTCCAGAAACGATGTCGAACCAAGACACTGCTGGTGACCGAACAGTCTTAGGAGTCTTGGAGCATTAGGGACGTGACGGAAGTGTTGGTCTAATGCAAATTACACTGCCCTATCTTGTATATCAGTTTCTTTACAGCACTGTTGGCACAAGAGCGAAGTTTTGAGGAGTAGTGAGTAGCGATCCAAAGGGACTCTGTAGGTTGAGAATTGTGCAGTTGAGAGATAGATGTATGTTTGTAATTAAGGTCTAGGACATGTGTGAAAGCTGTGTAAATAACATGACCATATTTTCTGATTTTTTTTGTTTTTGTTTTTGTTTTGTGGTCGTGCTGAAGAGGGTATCTGAGTGGGAGGTGGGTTTTAAATGTTTCCCCTTGTCTGTGTTCCCTGCACCTTGCCATAAAGCATCATGAGAAAAGCAGGACGGCTGTTATGTTGGAGGTTTATGTGAATATCACGAAAGAAACCACATGAAAAAGGACCAGGATGAAGCCTCATGTCTGCTCAGCATTTTTGTTCATTATTCTTGCTTCAAGTATCAAACATTGATTATAAGAAAAATTAATAAAGAATTTTTAAAACGTGCTCTTTGTTCAGCTTTTTAGTCTCCAAATGTGTTTCGTTGCATGACAAGAACTTCGAACAGGATTGTTTCGTCTCTGTTGGCTGATAGCATCGAGTCAGAGAAATGCTGTTGTGTTTAGGGGTGTCCTGATACAACTTTTTTACTTCCAATCCGATACCGATATTGTAGCCTTCAATGTTGTCCAATAACGATGTTGATCCGATGTTGGCACAGGATTGTGCTTGACTAGTGTTTCATTCAGCTGCAACATCTTTTTCGTACTTACAAATACTGCCATACAGCCGACATCACTCCTACTCCTTGCTACTTTGTTAGTACTTTATGCTGCGTTCCAGTTACCTCGGAAGTCGGAGCTGGGAATGACGTTACACCCGAGTTGACGGCGTTCCAGTTAACAAGTCGGAAAACCAAGATGGACGCCGACAGTTACCTGTTGTTAGCTGTTGTTTACAATTGTCTGCTCTTGTTAGCTGTTGTCAGCTGTTGTTAGTTGTTGTTAGCTATACCAGTTGTAATCGAAGTAAACACAGTATTTTACTCTTACAAACTCCATAGCTCCGTGTTCACAGTTAGACGTTGGGAAGTACAACATACACCACTTATTTAATTAAAAAAAACAACAAAAAAAACCCAGAAGTTATTTTAGCACTTGCCTTGTCCGAATATAAGCAAGGACAAAACAAGTGCTAAAATAACTTTCATTGATGTAGCCATCTTGTTTATGCCTCTGAGTTTGTTTTTTTTCCGACTTGGTAACTGACACTGGTAACTCAGGTGTGATGTCATTTTCAGCTCTGACTTCTGACTTCTGAGGTAACTCAAAGTCAGAAGTCCGGGTAACTGTTGTTGTGATTTTGTGGGCTTTGCATGCTGGATCAGGGCCCTGCTAGATAGAGGTGCCGAAGCGGAGTCTGGAATGGACTGCTTGTATTGGAGTGCTGATATCGGAGATTTTAGATGCAGGCCGATATAATCCGGTATTCATTTTGTTGCTGATATTGGACCAATATCCAATATCAATATTGTATCGGGACACCTCTAGTTGTGTTTGAGCCACTGGAATATAACCAACATGTTTCAGTGTCGTTTCACTCCATGACAAATCACTCCAGACTGGAAACACGGTCACTCCAAGTCACCAAAACAGTTCCAGTTTTACCACAAAGTATCCCAAACAGAAGTAGTCTTTAAGTAGTTTAAATCACTTCTAACTAGTTTCCATCATTTCATATTTGAAAAAATTACCACCTTGTTCAAACCGCTCTGGCACCAAACAGCTGTGAAAATAGGAGAATGAAATCAAGAAGGTAGGATCTCCCTAAAATAGACGTCTTTCATATTTGGAGACATGGTCCGAGATAGACGCCCCTGAAAGACCGTGAAGTTTATATGATCACTGTGTACATATGTTTGTGGATGAAAGGGTGCTTTCTCTGTGTGCTGGTCCTCTGTGCCCTGTGGAGACAGGCTGTAATCAGCGGGTACATAATTAGAGAGGACTCAGTGGGAGGCAGAGGAGTCTCGGGACTCGCCCTGCCAAGTACAGAAATACACCATTTCCCTTAAACATGGGACTCATGTACCAACTGTAATGTGATACAGTAAAAAAAAGCTTCAATTTCTGAATGAATCAGAACGTGCTGAATTCATCCTTAATGCAAAATAAAGATCATGTTCATGTCAGTTTAGACTGATCACATATAACTCATCTACATACAAATCTCTTCAAAAGGAAATTATAATCTGAACATGAAGTGGAGTTTAAAAAAAGGATGGGCTGAATGGCTGCCTGGTAAATACAGGAGGCTGAAGGCTGGGATGTGGAGAAAAAGGAGGGAGGAAAGGCTGGAAATAGAGGGATGGACATCATGATGCAGAGAGTCGTCGACTTTTTAGAGCTGGGTTTAAAAAAATCACTCAGAGCAGAGAAGGGAGGGCGAATGTTCGGTGACGCTCTCTCACTCTTACTTTCCTCTCTTCACTCTGTCTCCACTTGGTTTTCTGTCTCCTGTCTGCTCTGAGGCGGCTGATCAGAGGACGAACCCAGGATCAAACTCTCAGTGAGTATGAATTTATATCAATTACTGAATTTTTAAAAAAGGAAAGAGGGCTGTGAAAAGGTTTCTTTTAATTCTTTATATCTAAACATAAACATGCGGAGTAAAGATAAAGTTTAATCATACATTTGGCTCAGACTGTCAAATGAACGTATTTTGATCTTAATGTTTTCATTTCATGCTTTTAGAAGAGTGAGATATTTTTCACTCTGTTAGTTGAAAGGCACGTTTACTCAGTGTTTTATACAGGAAACTATTATTTAGGAATAAACCAGACTAAACTAGGCAGTGTTCATTCATGTACTGATGTGTAAAAATAGAAATTTGTCGCTATAAACATCGAAAAGGCAAAACTGAAACACTTCTATCCTTGTGCAAACTAGCACTAGTGTTCATATTTGGCACATTTATTGAAATATATTATTATTTCAAAAATGTGGTAATTATTTTCCTTGGAGATGGGTTGTATAATTCTTTTTTAATATTTTTAAAACGAACATTAAGTTAAAAAGTTGGACGTCAGAACAAAGTTTCAGAGGTTAATGTTCGGGGTAATAAAAATGAGATTTGTTCAAATTGTGACACCACCAGACAGTGAATCTCTTTAAAAAGGGCAAATTTGCCTCTTTATAAAAAGAAATGCAACTTAATTACATGGCAACAGTGAAGGAGGTTTATAAAATGCTGGGTTCTGGAGTGGAAAGGGACAGTGGCCAAAATGAGGACAGTAGCCTAAACTATGTTAAGAGTTTGTTTAAGTGTAAATCATGTAAAGCTGCTAAAAAGATTTGATTCAGATTTGTTTGAGTTTCATAGTTCATACTCCTGCTCTTCAGTGTTTTTGGTAAAATTGTTATAAACATGATATCTGGACAAAATAAGATCAAAACTACCTTCATAGAAACTAAGAGGCCAATCAAAAGTCCCTGACATTAAGAATTTAAATATAATGGATTAATTACAGAGCGTGTCACCGTCAGATAACCTAAACCCTCTGGTGTTACAGAGGAAATGAAATTGTGGTTTTACATGAGGAGAAAGGGGGCATTACAGTCCTGTAGATTAAGACCCCGCCCTCTATATGGTCCAGCAAACGTCGACCACACAGGGAGAGGTTTCATACTGTATAGGGTCAATAACAGCAGCAGCAGGTTCAGTATGAGAAGAAGCCGATTAGAGGCTTGTCTTTATAGCTTAGCACCGTATAATTACACCCTTGTGTCAGGAGTTGAACTGGTTTAGATGGGGACTGAGACTTGAGCTGCTGGTTTTAGTTCTCCTTGTTAGCGCTTAACTTCATGTTAAATCATGAAAAGAGAATAATGGAGGAAAAGTCACTCTGGGTCGGGTAGCTTATATACAGACTGTTGCATGGTGGGTAAATACTGGGTCTCCCTGGTTGCAGAAATATCTTAAACAGGTCGGTGCTGCTGCTGTGGGCTGCTGTACAGTTCAACAGCTGCTGCCCAGAGTAAATATAGAGACCACAGCCACAGGTCTCCCACGCCTCTGCGCTCACTCCGCCATATAGCTTCCTTCGGTCTTTGGTGTGGTGGATGGGTGGCCTCCTTCTACGTCGCAAATTATAAGGCCTCCAGCACCAAACTCGCTGCCTCCACCCCAAATAAGTAATGGCTACTGTGCTGCCTGCTAAAATAGATCTGATCCAGGAAGAGAAACGTAGAAATATCAGACGGGGGATTGATAGATGATCCAAGTTTCACAGTCTCGGGGTTACGAAGGAGCTCTTCTGGATCCATGTCAAAGGATTCTCGTGTAGATGGAGGTCAAGCCTCTTTTTTTCAGACCCACTGGATCCCTTCAGCTGCAGCTTTCCCTTATTTCAGACAGAAATACTTCAAGATAAAACGACGTATATGATAGCCAGACAGGGAGCGCCAAACAACAGCTGAGGTTAGCGTTCAGGCCTTTGACTACACAGTTTTAATTTAACCCTCCACACTGTCTTTTACTGTTTTGCTTTTTTAATAATTACGCTAAACTCACAAAAATCCATATAACACATATAGACATTCAGCGTGTAAAAGTGGGTAGCATTTGGCAGACTTTAAGAGACTTGTTAAAAAGGCGGGATAGGAAAGTCTTTCTGTTTTTTGTTACTTTGAATGTGATTTAAATATTTACACGAGGAGTGAGTCTCCTTCCACAAAGGCCGCCATCTTGCACCACCATGTTTTTACCATAGCACAGAGCGTAGAGTCTGGTTACATGAATGTTTTCTGCTGTCCAAAATGAACCAAGTGGAAGATTTAAAAAAAGAAGAATATAGCTGCTGTTATTGTGAGCAAAAGATGTTACATTACTGGACTTTTTTTATCAGAGTAAATTTGACAAAAGGAGGATCATGTTGCAGAATATTACTTAAAGGGATATCCCGGCGTAAAATTAATTAGAGTTAGACCCCGCTGTAGTCCGTAATGGACTGGCCTGAGGTCTCGCTACAAACAAGTGGCTGCTGGAAGAGAGTAGTTGAGTTGTGTTTAGTCTCTTTGCTAAAGAAATTACACAAAGTTAAAAAGATGTTTGATGGCTAGTACTGTGGCTGGGACCCTATATGTCCTGTTGATGAAGTTAGGTGCTGTTCTGAGCATTATTTGTGGCTATAGAGTGGCGTTTTGGTTGAGGTTTGTTTATGGCTACTCAGACTTCTGTGTATTGCTATCCTGCAGTCGTTACTAAAGTTGGTATAACTAGAGAAGCAAGCGGTCGGCAACATTCATCTCTGGAGGGGGTGTCTAACTCGGTGTTTTGATGTGTTTGACCCTAAATTAATTTTACGCCAGAAGATCCCTTTAAGTGCTTTAAGTCCCTACATTACTACGACATTCATGTTTTAATTAAAGTTTTGTTTTTGTATTAATAAGTGGGAAAAGTATTTTAAAAACGTAGATCTTAGATATAGAGCAGAGCTGGTCGTTTCATGCAGTTCATGTTTGTTTTTGTTGCAGGACTCAGAAGAGAAGAAGAAGAAGATGAAGTCCAGTCTGGTCTCGGTGGTCGCTCTGCTCTCGCTGCTGTGCCGTGTGTGTCACACCACTCCCATGTTCTACAACATGTCCATGGACGGCAGCGGAGATGAAGCAGAGCTGGAACTTATCTTTCCCACCACTCGAGCCCCTGTTCACATCTCTGCTGCCACAGGGCCCCCCACTCTCACCAACACCCTCACCACCACCATGATCCGCCTCAAGGACTTTGTCCTGACCCGAGTCGTGGATTTCCTTCAGGACAATCTGCTCATCATCATCGTGGTGACCTCCCTGCTCATCGTCATGGTCTTCATCATCTGCTGCGCTTCTGCCATGAGTCACAAACGCAAACTGGAGGCCTACAAACCCCCGCCTAATCCACCCAGGAAGTACACGGCTGACAAACCAGGGGGACGCAAGAACTCAGGCGAGTTCCAGGAGAGACCGTACGCTGTTGACCACGTCAAAAGGGTCCAGAATCAGAGCATGGCGTCCCCCAAGCACCTGCGCCAGCCGTCCAAGGCTCTGGTGGGAGAGAGGGGGAGGGACGTCAGGTCGTCTCCACGCCAGGAGGTCAGAAAGGTCAGGGAAGCAGAGGAGGTGGAGAAGAGGCGGGAGGAGCCGAAGCACAAAGAACAGCCCAAGTACAGGGAGGAGAGGCAGCAGAGTCCCAGCACCAGTCAGCCGGTCTGCACCTGCCACCTGAAGAAGGGTCATCACTAGTGCATGTGAAGCTCTGGTGTGATCCTTGGAGAGGAAATAACAGAAGAAGGATGGGCAGAGAGGAGGGTTTCACCACACAGAGGGGAAATGTGCCGGGATCTAAATTACTGTTAACACGGTGTTTGTTTGTTTGTTTGTTTGTTTGTGAGGCTAAAAGAACCTTCAGAAGGTTAAATTCAACATAACAGAACACCTTTAACTTTACCAAAAGTGAAATTTATAAGAAATGTGACAGTAAATCTAAATGCTCGCTGCAAAAATTGGATCTTAAAGTTTTCAAAAGTGAATGCTTTAACAGCGGGATGTGAGACTAAACGACTAATTTCACCAGATTGAATTTTACTCAAATTCAAAACCTAAAAACAGTCTGAACTGCCTGATGGTAAATCACTGTGCATAGAAAGAACCATAACTTAAAATTTTGGAATAAATGTTTTTAATGAATCTTAAAACTTACGCTTGCCAGATAGAAGTGAAGAAAAAAAATGAGAAGCAGCAAATATTCTCGTGTTTTTCTACAGAGTTGAAAGACTCTGAATGCCTGCCGAGACAGAGGAACCTCCTCAGTTTGTCCTGCTGTATGTTCAGAGCAAAGTCTTTACTGTTGTTAATAAAGTCAAACGAGATGCCAGTAAGATTTACTTGTTGGACTGGAGAAGTAAAAAAGGTTCTCTTTTTATTTTCATTTATATTTACTTCAGTTTGTTTCATTATGTTATTTTATCTTTTCTTTAGAATAAAAACCAAATTCACAAAGCTTTATACCTCGAGCTAAACAAAGAACAGAATCTATTTGGGAGACAAAAGAACATACATGAGTGTAAAACATAAAATATATGAATGATCATCAGTCTACACGTATTTTAATCAGCTTTAGACTTTATTCTGTGTTACTCCAACTCAGTCAGGTGAACCTTTTAAAATATAATTATGAAGAATTTTTAAGAAATCATGCTGCTTCCTCGTAGAAAAGCATGATCACACTCAAAGTCACACTTTTCTACCCAATATCTAGGGTGACCATACGTCCTCTTTTACCCAGACATGTCCTCTTTTTGAAGGACTGTCCAGGTTTGTCCGGGAAGTTTATAAAATCCTTCAAATGTCTGCAGTTTTGTAAGTAAGTTTCGCATTTTGTGTCACGTGGACTTGCTGAGTTAGAAGCGCGTAAAAAAAAACACAATCCGACCCGAAGAACTCTCAAAATGAACTTCATGCGACTCTGTGACTCCGCCCTCTTTTTAGGAAGTCAGAATATGGTCACCGTACTGTATCAGCACCGACACAGGTCCATGAGTGTAATATTGATTACATATCAACAAACACTCAAAGGTTAGTGATTTGGAAACTCTCTGTTTAGTCCAGAGTGAAGGTCTCTATTAAAGCTCCAGTAAGGAACTTTCAGTGTGCGTCATTTTGGACGAGGCGTTTAAAATTAGGACATAAACATTGTCACTCCTGTCTCTGATGGTTTTGTTTGCCTCTTAATATCATCAACAGACATCAGTGTAAATATGAGTCTATTTCATAAACATAAAAATATCCTTACAGGAGCTTTAAGATCCTCTGAGAAACCTGTGATACAGACTTTAAAAAACAGATAACATCGTAATTTTTGAGATAATGTTTTGTTAATTTGAGAAGTATATCCAGCACTCATGAATACTTTGTGTTTAATGTAATCCCTCATTAATTCAGGAAAAGTGCGTCTCTTTTGGCGTCCAAGCTTTGTGAATCTGGTTTTGTTTTACTTGTGTATGAGATAAATTATGGGTTTGTTTTAGATGTTATTAAGTAAGTCAGAGACTTGAATACTGGGATAGAGAGTCGGCCCAAAGACATAGAAGCTGATGAGTGTGTATGTGCCATTTACATTTCCTTTATCTGATATTAAATTCAGACTATTCTGGAGGAGAAGTTTGACCTCAGTTAATTGTCCTCGTGTTTCTCTTGTGACAGTTTTATGTTTGTAAAATGTCCAGTTTCTATCATTTATATTTAATAAAAATGCTGATTTTCATGTTTTTCTGTCATTACTGAAAAAGCAGTGGAAACCGTCGTCTGATGAAAGACGAGTGCAGCCTTAGAGAAACCCTAAAATTAAACAAGGCGAGGACGATCTAAAAAAGACGATGCCCGCTACTTGCACATTATGTTCGACAGTGGAATCTGTAATTTTGAGCTTCGTCCACTTACAAATCATGGGTAACTATTTTTACAGCAATTACGCGAAATGTCAGGCTTGTTATATCTGCTCTTTGGAAACATGGACTGTCCTCTAACTCAACATTTGAGCTCCAGCTGTTCAGTCACAACACAGTTACACCTTCACGCTGTTATGATTGGCTTCAGCGGGACACAGGACACAACACAGGACTGCAGAGGGTCTTTTGTCCTTCACAGGCTACTGTACAAGATTGTTTAATAATTCATGAGGGTAAACCAGATCCAGACAGAGACCTCTGACCCAAAACAAAAGCTTATGAGTTATCTCTACAACACTGATTTGCTCCACAAATAAAAGCGACTTTTCTTGTCAAACAGGGATGAAATACCGCCCCCATGTGAGCACTGATAGTACTCTATTTATATGTTAATGTATGTTTTACATTTTACAGTGTAGTAACTCCCTTTAGACGCAGTATAAATATGATGTTAAAATGTACACAGGCCTGATTTAATGCTAAAATGTGATAGAGCATTGAACGGTCTCCAAATCAGATCGATATAATAAGTGGGTCAGTGTGCCAGGGATCAGAGATCAAACAGGAAAGCACAGAGTGAGAGTAACTCAGCAGCAGGTGAAACTTGAGCCCAGACACAGCCTCACGCTGGGGTCAGATTACTCGATCTTTTGTCAAAGAGGTGCTAATCAAATTGGAAAAATACTACCCCTTCACTTTCATCCCTTCCCCTGAGGTGTGGAAAAGAGACGAGGCCAGAGACCACCAAGCAGAGCTCCTCATTTGACGGGTTTTGAGTATTTTCAGGAAGACTAATCTCTGAGGGAATGACAGGATGAGGCAGTGAAGTCCCCGTTTTTTTAATGTCGCAGCTCTGAAGTCTTTCCTCTTTGTATTTTGATCTCTTTCACTGTCCGGCATCAATAACAAGAGATCCACTCAGCCACTCTGAATGGTGAAGAGGATCCACGACAGGTAACACAGCACCTTAAGGCTGTCATTAAACTTTGATGAGCATCCTCCAGAAACTCTCGACAGCAGCGACAGTGGTCATTTTCAGATCATGTGAGGATAAACCTGCACATCTCCAGGGTGGAGCAGAAAACACGGGGAAAATGGTGAGTGTGCGATCTTTTTACCAGAACCAGTCTTCGTCTGGGTTTGAGATGTTTGTAGAAACGGTGAATTAACTCAACAGAACTTTATGAAGGTCAGGGTTTTTTCATGTTTTTTCACTTTTGTCAGTTTTTAATCAAAACACACGTCTTCAGTCATTGCAAATCTTTGTACATATATCCATGTTTGGAGGGTAATAATGAAGAAAAGGTGAATTTGACAGTATTTATCACCACTAAAACAATTATTCACCACATATCAAACCTTTTCATCAGGTGGGACATCAAATTTAAAGCTTCAAATCTCTCTCAAACTATGCTTTTCAGTTATTTTTTTATGTTAATAATATAGAAATCTCCAAATGTGGGCTGTTTTTGTTCGTTTCTGTGACCTGTGTTGATGTTTGCAGGAGCATGGTAATGATGAGGTAGATGATATTGACCTGCTGGACTCAGTGAAATCTAAATTTAGCTTTTGTTTGCTTGATTAATGTGCGAAATATAGTCTGAACTCCTCTATCAAATTTCACATCAACTCTGTAGTGGCAGATTTCTCTCTAACAGTTTTTAAAGCCACTTGGATGAGAAAAGCTCCACAGATGTACTGACGCATGTCCACCTTCATTCATAAAATGACTCAAATACTCACAGGTCTGTTTTTTCTGTTCATTTGGCTGATTCCATAGAGCTCACAACTTCAAAAATTGTACAAAAATCAAAAAGAGCTCCTGCTTCACAGTCAAAAAACATTTTTGTGCCGCTCATCTCCACCTAAATCAAACAAAGACTGACCTGTGCACCTGTGCCGGCTTTCCTCAGGTGTGTCTGAATCTGCTAATCAATGCAAAAAAACCCCATTTAAATTCTTTTAAATCACATATTTTCGGTCCTTCGGTACAATTAATAATATAAACTGAGACCTTTATTTGTTTGCTTAAAAATGAGGTTTTGACATAAACTAAAAACAGCTTCTACAAACTGTTTGCTTTTATACCGAGTCTGAACACCGTCTACAGTCAGGCAAGATGACCTGTTCTGTGGTTTTACCTGAACTCAGATTTTGATGGATTTGGTATTTTAATCCTATTTCCCAGAGGCATCAGTCTGTTTATTTTTTACCCTTTCCTCCATTTCTTTGTTCCTCTCAGTGAGCCATGCTGTGGTGCAGATGTGGTGTCCTCTTCATCCTCTGTATCAGTCCTGTCACCTGCCTCGTGGTGTCTCCCTGTCCTCCCGGCTGCTGCTGCCCTCCCCCTGGACTTTTGGTCCTGTGCGAGTCCCTGGGTCTTCGCTCCCTCCCTCGTTCAGTCCCTCTCGGTACCTCGGCTCTGTCTGTGGCCAGAAACCAGCTCTGTAATGTGGACAACCTGCTCCTGCCTTTCTCCGGCCTGCAGGAGCTGAGCCTCAGTCACAACCTGCTGCCCCGCTTCCCTCGAGGTCTACCCTCCAGTCTGGAGTCCCTCCTGCTGCAAGAAAACCGCATCACTTACATCACCTCAGGTGCACTCCGACACCTGGGGAACCTCACCCGTCTGGATCTCGAGGACAACCGTATCCGTGCCATCCAACCTGGAGCGCTCAAAGGTCTCAACAAGCTGCAGGTCCTGACCCTGAAGGGGAATGAACTCACCACCCTCCCTTTGTATCTCCCTCCATCACTCACCCACTTGGACCTCTCTGCAAACTGCATCTCTGTCCTGGACCTGCCCTCGCTGTCCGCTCTGATCAACCTGCAGGTCCTCAAAATCAACAGTAACTGCTTGCGCTCAGTCCCAGAGAGAGCCTTCGATAGCCTGCCCCGTCTCAGGTCTGTGGACCTCAAAAACAACCTCTGGGTGTGCGAGTGTGACATCCTGTATCTCTACCGCTGGCTGCTGAACGGCAGGATGAGGATGGCAACAGACCTGGTGTGCAGTGAGCCCATCCATCTCGCTCACCGCCTCCTTCTGAACCTCTCCATCATGGCCATCTGTCCCCGAGTCCTGACACCCAATGAGAGGACGCAGCAGCTGCATGTTAACGTCTCTGCACCTGAGGGGAGATCGGAGACGACTGGACTGGACTCTTCAGAAAAGACCTTTTTAGAGCAAACATCAGAAGAAAAGACTCCCCGTGTCCTCTCCAGAGATATCCCAAAGACTCGTGTTGTACCTGATCACTTCTCTTTAGAGACCCTCACCTATGAGGAGTGTTTGTCTCTGAATAAAACACAATCAGTCGTCCCACCTCTTTTAAAAACCACCTCAGCTCTTCTGGATGAGGAGCAGAAATGCAGGAACAACACAACAGCTCGATACCCTCAGACTAACGCAACCTCTGAAGGAGAGACACCACCTTTTCTCTCCACTAACAGAGACGCACTTTGGCCCACTCCCAACCCACGACCTTTGACACAAACAGACTCTCCGGTGGTCATCGCCCTGCTTGCCGTGTTGTGCATGTTAGTGACTCTCCTTATGCTTGCAGTGCTGCTTGTACTCAAACAGGTTCTCTTGCGGCGGCAGAGGGTGGCTCCCCTGGATGTCGGGTCAAACGGATGACGCAGCAGACGCAGTGAAGATGTTTCTGTTTAATAATCACAATAAGTACAGTCTCATACAGTCGTCTGTATCATGCTTTTGTACATGTACTTCACCTGTTGACTGAGCTGCTTTTTAAACTGAATCTTCCACTCAGAACCAGGGATTTTATACAATTTAGCCAAATAAAGCCTTAATGCCAAAAATGTACAAAACCACCACCGAACCAAGACTTTCTGATTCATGAGAAGCATTTTCTGATGAGCTTAAAAACAAAAAGAGCTTCTTGGTTTAAATTTGAGGATATACTGTCTTAAAATACCTAATACCCGTTTAACATTGACTCCAAAATTAACACACACACCAAGAGACTACTTCTGATGAGAAAAAAAAACAAAATCAACCCCTGGCACTTGAGCAATATCCATCTCTCCCAGATATAGTAGCATGGTAACCAATCTTCCAAACATCACAGCTGTTAATGGGATATTCCAGCGTAAAATAAATTTAGTCAAACACCGAGTTAGACACCCCCTCCAGAGATGAATGTTGCCGACCGCTTGCTTCTCTAGTTATACCAGTAGTATAACTAGACTTATATAACTTATATCTAGTATTGCTATCATGCGGTCGTTACTAAAGTTGGTATAACTAGAGAAGCAAGCGGTCTGCAACATCCATCTCTCGACGGGGTGTCTAACTCTGTGTTACTGTGTGTTTGACCCTAAATTAATTTCACGCCAGAATATCCCTTAAAGTATTTCCGGGCAAACACTGAGACGTGTGACCGGCTCAGTTAGAGAGAACATATTAGCTGGTTGCTTTTGCGCGTTCATCCTCCTTGTCCTGTTGTTTTATTCTGTAGTCCGACAACGCTGCTTTTATGGCATCTTCTGCAAGCACTGAGAGAAAAAAGAAAAAAAAAGGAGGTTACTTTTTTTTTTTTTACAACCAAATGTTCAGTTTTAGGACTTTCTTTGAATTGTGTTATTTTCAACTTACTGGAACAATGAAGCTTAACTGGAGGAAGGCAAAGTTCTTTGGCAATGTCTGTGTTCTTGATCTTCAGAGCTTCGTCCACCTGCACAGTGAGAGCAGACTCATCAGATCCTCATCAACAAAAGCAGTACTTGTCCTCCAACCATTGTCCTCCTTTCTTATCCATGTGTCCACTCACCGACTTCCCCTTCACCCACTCTGTAGCCAGGGAACTGGAGGCGATGGCTGATCCACAACCAAATGTTTTGAATTTTGCATCAACTATCTTCCCGTTTTCATCGACTTGTATCTAAAAACAAGATAAAGTCAAATAAGATAGATGTCATGACAGGACTGTGTTGACCCCCGTGCTCTTGACCTCCTTACCTGTAGTTTCATCACATCTCCACAGGCTGGTGCACCCACCAACCCAGTCCCCACATTCCTGTTGTTCTTGTCAAGAGAGCCCACATTTCTTGGGTTTTCATAGTGGTCCACTACCTGTGATCAAACACAACACACAATGACCCATTTTTCTATTTTGATAAGAGTCGCGTGTTAACAAGATAACTACCACAGTGCTGATAAATTTAGCTGAACACAGTGTCACCAACACACGTCAAGATATGATGTCAAAACAATGTATTAAATTCTTGTGTCGGTATAAAATATTAGTCAACTGTTTAAAAACTTTACCTTTTTGTGATATGAACAGAGAGAATTCAGCTGCGGGCCGAATAACCTTCTGCTAAACAACAACAGCGAGGACGTACAGTTTCGTAAGGAAGCCATCGCCATGTTCAGAAGTCGATGCTGAACGGAAATCAACGAGTTCACACGAACGAGGACGAGCTCTTTTGTTGACAAACACGTGAAGTAGGAAGGATGGGCGGATGGAGGAGCCCCTTCTAGTGGCTGACAGGAGCTGTTACACACGAGGGGAACTCTCCACGGCGGGTCTCAGGGACAGGCTCCCATAGATATATATATAAACGCTAGATGGCTTACCCGACAACTGCGCATGGCGGCCATTTTGCTACGGGACACACGCCCACTCAACAATACAGTCTACGGTGCATGTAGCATAAAATAACCATAGATTGCTTAATTTTGAAGCGATTTTCGAACAAACCTCAGAGTTTTAGTGATGTTCCTGCATACTCAAGAATAATTTTAACCAGGGATTTTCATAAATAAACATTAAGCAGATAGGTAGAGCAATAGCTATAGTCCTACACATACAAGGCAGTTATATTAAATTATTTATATGTAAAACATTTAATCATATCATCATATCAAATCATCATATAACATATATTAATATTTATTTTCAATATAAATATCTGCCTCATGTCACTGTGATGACGCTCAGTTCAAACAGCATACCCCCATAGGCTGTATCAAGTGTCAATCATAGAAAACATGAACCCCCTAATTACCTTTTAAAAACAGAGCTTCACAGAAAAAAGAGGACTTGAGCACTAACCAGTCTCACAATAACTACAAGTCAACATCACAACCAGGGGGGAGAAACATTTATATTCTGTTTAATTAATTCGTAAAGTTTGTCCACAGCTCCATAGAGATTGCTGGAGGAGGCGGGATTTATGACCTTTACTGCAGCCGGTCACCAGAGGGTGCTGTTTCCGAGGTGGCTTCACCCAGCGAGGAGGCAGACGCTGTCCATTCTATATACAGTCTATGATATGTCCAAGCATCCCGACTCATAGCCACGTTATTACGGTCTGTAATAAGCAAAACCATTTGTAAATCTGTCATTTCTTCAGCGAGTTAAGAGTATTTTTGATCATTCAGATTACTCACCTCCCGTCGGCTACCATAGAGCGTACCAGAATGGGATACTGGAGTAAGATGGCCGCCAGTGACTCCGCCTCGAGTCATCTAGCCTTTCTTGTATATATCTATGTTAACGCCACTCCTCCGGGCTCGTTGTTGGGTTGTTACCAGGCAGACAGACAGCCTTTCCAACATGGCAGCGTCAAGCAACGCAGAGCAAACGCAGCTGCAAGACATGGAAGAGGAAGATGCGGGGATGGAGGAGAGGGAGATGGAGTCCGACGAGGAGGAGGAAGGCATGGGAGAAGAAAATTCAGACGACGAAGATAACGATTCCTCGGAAGACGAGAAGGAGAATGAAGCAGAAATTCAACGATTGGAGGAGCAGGTAATTAAGCACGAGCACGTCCTAACGCTGCTAATGTTAGCCGCCGAGCTAACGAGAATGAATGGATGGTAAACACAGACAGACACGATAAGACAGCTGCGTTTGAGTTAATTTATTCTTCCTGCGGTTTGATAGTTAGTAAATATAAAGCTATTAATTTGTTATTAAAACGGTTTGTGTGGTACGACGTCATTTTGAGAGCTATCTTGATTAGCTGTGATGCTAATGTCCTGTTTGGTGTAACGCGCCGTTTTAAACTCAGCCTGTCTGAGAGCAGAAACTAACAAAGTACATGAAGTACACACTGAACTAACTCACTTTTACGAGTCTATCTGATTCATTATACCTTATACAGTCATTATTATATCAGAGATGTAATACTCTGTTCACATTCCCCACAATCAGCTTACTTTATCTGTGTTCAGGTGAATCTAGTATTATGAATGTCAACATAACAGCACAGTGTATCATCATCACATCACTTTATATTTCTCCTCATAAGAGCTTTGATCTCCTTTTTTGAAAGCACCAGTTGATATGAATTAATTGTGTTGTTTAATTTCTCCCCCACCTCTCCTCTTTGGGATGCTTCAGTTGTCAATCAATGCTTTTGATTACAACTGCCACGTGGATCTGATCAAACTTCTGAAGCAGGAAGGAGAGCTTTTCCGTCTGCGAAAGGCGAGGCAGAAGATGAGCGAGCTTTTCCCTCTCACTGAAGGTTGGTGTCGTTCTAATTAGGGGCGCACTGATCACAATTTTCTGGCCGATCACCGACCACCGATCTTTAAAATGCATGACTTGCCGATACCGATCTTGTCCGATACCATTTTCAATCAAATCAAATATCAAATATTTCAATATCAATCAAATATTTGACCACATACACCTTCAATGCTCCAATCTTATTCTAATGAAAAATTTACAAACCTTTTTGTGTTTGTTTTAACTGCACATTAAGTAGTACTCTCAAATATAAGTGAAAAGTTTAGAATATTGTTGTCCAAACTACTAAATTATATCAGTCCCTTTAGTCTTTTATTTTCCACATTTTAAGAATTAACAATACTTGCGCAACAGGTCACACTGCAGGTCTGTTTTGAGCCTCTTACCAAAATAAAGCAGTAGCAAAAGCAGTATTTTGCTTTTACAAATAAAGGAAATCACAAGGTTTGAGGAAGGTAGTAAAATAATAATCTACAGGACTTGTCATTCTGGCAAAAGGACTTTCAGATCTTTGCCGAGGTAGATAAGATTAGTGGATAAAATCAGTTTTATGTGTAAAGATCAGTCGATCACCGGTCCCCCAAAATTGAGGAAATCGGCGCCCAACGATTGGCCGGCAGATTTATTGGTGCATGTTTAGTTCTAATACTGTGTTATAGTAACACTCACCTTCAACCTGGCTTTTCATTCATTGCCTTTTATATTTCTTTTATTGCAAATGTTCATTTTAATCAAAGTTCTTAATGTTTCTTTTATGTCATTTTATTAGTTATTGTTCTTAGTCTTTTTCTTAATTCCCATCATAGAGGTTTTTACTCCTTTTACCCCTTTTACATGGTTTAGAGCTCTTACTTATCTGTTAATTTAATATTATTTTCTTGTTTTAGTCCATCAGGTTTTACCCTTTTTTTATTTATTTTTTTTTTTTTTACCATTTTTATCATTTTATCTCCAGTGTTTCCCAGCTAGAACTACATCTTTTTGTCTGAAAAAGTGCCATACAAATAAAGTTGAATTGTGAATTTAATTGTAAGAAGTTCAGCATTGCATACACCCTAAATAGTCTTTCGTTGAATCCCACAGAAATCTGGCTTGACTGGCTGAAGGATGAGATCCGTCTGACTGAGGAGGAGACGAACAGAGAGAAAGTGTATGAGCTGTTTGAGAAAGCTGTGAAAGACTATATCTGTGAGTGAATCACATCATTATTACTGCCTGTGATTTGACACGATCTCATTCCGAGATTTTAACATAATTCTCCTCATACTCAGGTCCAGAAATCTGGCTGGAGTACGCTCAGTATTCGATTGGTGGGATGGGCTCCCCAGGTGGGATAGACAAGGTGAGATCCATCTTCGAGAGAGCCGTGACAGCTGTGGGCCTTCACATGACCAAGGGGCAGACGGTGTGGGAGGCGTACAGAGAGTTCGAGAACGCCATCCTGTCGACAGTACAGGTTTGTTTCCACCACCAGGAAAGATCTTCTTTTGTTATCCTCAGCTGTTTCATGAACACGTGACAGAGTGACTCATATTGAGACCACAGATGTACAGAGTCACAGGTGAAACCAACCTACCTCCATCAGGGTAAAATTAGTCCTATCAAACAATGTTTTTTAATTAAAAATCAACACGCTGAATAGAATAGATCTAAATGCTTTAGGTGGTTTATTCCTTTGCATGTTTTGACATCATCTCCTCTTCATTGTTTCCTCTCAGCCTCCTCCTGGCAGGATTCCCAGCCGTGAAGAACAGGAGCTGCTGAACACACAGCTCGGGAGAATCCATACTCTGTTTCGCCGCCAGCTGGCTGTCCCCCTAATAGGTGAGTGTGGCGCTCCTCCTGTTCAGACAGCTGGCTCTAAAATGGGCAGAGTTCCTGTTGTTAGGGGGTCTTATGTTCTCCTGAAAAACCTTGAAATGTTTAGTTTAAGAAATCCTAATGTTGCTCTTTGACATTTTTGTAATTATTATATTTGGTTTACTGTATTTTTTGTAATTAGAGTGAGAAATAAAAAAAAATAACAAATTTTTCTTTTCAAGAAATGGCGGCGACCTACGCCGAGTATGAGGAGTGGTCTGAAACAGGGGTGGCAGAGACGGTCACACATCAGTACAAAAAGGCTCTGCAACAGATGGAGAAGTGCAAATCTTATGAAGATTCACTGGTAACTTTCTTCACTGGATTATTTTTGATATCTGTTTCAGTTTCCCTCCATTATAGCTGAGACTGTTGTGTTTAGTTTTCCATCAACATCTCCATGCTGTTTTCTCCCTGCAGCTGGTCGCTGAACCTCCTAAACTGGCCGAGTATCAAACCTACATCGACTTTGAACTGAAGGAGGGTGACCCCGCACGGGTCCAGATCACCTATGAGCGGACTCTGGCAGAGAACTGCCTGGTACCAGACATGTGGGCAAAATACACCAATTATCTGGTGAGTGTGACTCATTGTTGGCGCAGTGCTGTCTTCGAAGAGTCACAGTCAAATTATTCAGTTCGCATGTCTTGGCCACATTGTGTCTTGAGTAGAAACCTTTTAAATAATTTGTGTAACAGTGAAGTATCCATGTGGTTTAATTTGAGCCTTTAATACTCATATTTCTTGTGAATCTGATTAGTGATTGACTAATATCATTTTCTTGGGGCTGATACTGATACCAATATGATTATTGGTAGTTCATAAGAATAATAACTGATAATCAAAAGCAACATGTATTTACTGTAAAAATGATGATCTTTCTGTACAAATTTTGGATTTTGAATTTTACAAAATCTATTCCAAAACTGCTGATGTGCCTTTAGAAACTGAAACATTCAGCATTATATACAAGAGTTAAATTTAACAGCACAGTTTTATCACGTGGTCATGTGACATCTAACCAATCAGATAGTTTTTCCAAAGTATGTAACATGCTAGATTTTGTCGTTTTGCTTACTGTTAAAAGTTAAAGTATGATCCATTAAAACAATCACTGGTGTAGGAAAGCAGGAAACTTGGTGGGATGTCAGAATATGTGTTTGTTTTTGAAAGAGGCTTATGTATATAAAATACATCTTTTAGCTTATGAAGGTTAAAATTTCTTGTCGCACTTTTCAGGATCGTCAGCTGAAGATCAAAGATTTGGTTCTTTCCACTCATGAACGTGCCGTCAGGAACTGTCCCTGGACCATGGGTCTGTGGAAGAGCTACGTGCTCGCTCTGGAGAGACATGGAGCTGACCACCAGACTGTCTCAGGTAACAACAAGTGACTGAATGTCGGAGAGCTATGATGTCTCAGGTTTAGGTTTTTATTCACCAGTCTAATAACTGTATGAAAAAAAAACAGCAGACAACTTAAATGATGAGGTCCTGAGACGCTTGCTCGGTCTGATCGTGTTTCTTCTCTGGCCCTGCAGACGTTTTCGAAAAGGCTCTGAATGCGGGTTTCATTCAAGCGACAGATTATGTGGAGATTTGGCAGGCGTACCTGGATTATCTGAGGAGACGTGTGGATTTCAGCAAAGGTGAGAGCAGCTCTGATTATCAACCCGACCTTCTTTTGTGCATTTGGAAACAACAATCGACTTCTCTCATTGTTCCACGTTAACGACATTTCTCTTTTTTTGCAGAATCGAGTAAAGAGTTAGAGGAGTTACGAGGAGCTTTCTCTCGTTCTCTTGACTACATGAAGCAGGATGTTGAAGAAAGTAGGTGGATTTTAATTGGACTGAGGTTCTTGTTTGTTTTATTTTGGTTCTGTAGATAACCTGCTGTTTTTTGTCGCTGTAGGATTCGGTGAAAGTGGTGATCCTTCTTGTCTCATAATGCAGATTTGGGCCAGAATAGAGGTGAGCAGAGTTACAGTGTTTGAGTGTTTTGTCTAAAATTTTGTATTCCTAAAAACACTTTTCATGAGAAATGAATCAATGAACATTTCTAATTCTAATTTTTCTGTCCCATCAGGCTCTTCACTGCAAGAACATACAGAAAGCCAGAGAACTGTGGGACAGTATCATGACGAAGGGGAACGCCAAATTTGCCAACATGTGGCTGGAGTATTATAACCTTGAAAGGTCTGTCGATCTGTGTGTGATGTCTTTGATTTAATACTTTAGTCTAAGAGTGAGTCTGGTGTCCTCATGGATTTATTTGTCTTCTCCTTAAAGGTCGTACGGAGACCCTGTTCACTGTCGGAAAGCTCTTCACAGAGCCGTCCAGTGCACGACAGACTACCCTGAGCACGTGTGTGAAGTCCTGCTCACCTTTGAGAGAGTGGAAGGTGTGTCCCCGTATTGAGGTCAAAGTTGAACAAAGAGACAGAGCAGAGTTTTATAAATTACATCTTCATGTATTTGACATCTCTAGGTTCTCTGGAGGACTGGGACGTGGCGGTACAGAAGACAGAAACCCGGCTGAACAGGATTAATGAGCAAAGAGCGAAGGTAGGAGAAGGGGCCAGTTTTGCACGAGACCAGTCTATGGTCCAGCTGCTCCAGTCTTACGTTTCCCTGTATGTCCCATCTGTTAGGCGGCTGAGAAAGAAGCCACAATGGCTCGCCAAGAAGAGGAAAGAGCCGATCAGCGACGGAGAGCCAAGTCAGAGAAGAAGGTCCAGAAGGATAATCGAGTCGGGGAGAAGAGGAAAGCAGAGCAGGATGATTATCGGGATGAGTGGAATGAAGACACGGGTAAACAAAGAGACTTTCACTTAAAAACAAAAAATACATCTGAATTATGATGTTTCTGTTAATGTTTCTTTCTCTCTGCGAATAGAACAAGCTCCTAAAAGACACAGAGGGGCTGGTGAACAAACCACAGAGGAGTCCATGGAGATGGAGACAGCGCTGTTCGGGAGGAACGCTCCCCCCGGCTATAAACCCGCTCCACCTGGCTTTAAAAAACCCCAACAAGGAGTTCCAGCAGGAGCCCCGAGGCAGAGCGACGACAAGCCAGAGCTGCGCAACGATAACAACAGCGTGTTTATCAGCAACCTGGCGTACACGCTGGAGGAGCCAGAGGAGAAGCTCAGGACTCTGTTTGAGACGTGCGGTCCCGTCACACAGATCAGGCCCGTGTTCAGCAACAAAGGGACATTTAAAGGCTACTGCTATGTACAGTTTGAATCGACCGTGTCTGTGTCTGAAGCCCTAAAGCTGGACAGGAGGGAGGTGGAGGGCAGGCCGATGTTTGTGTCACCCTGTGTGGACAAAAGCAAAAATCCTGATTTTAAGGTGAATATGAAAACTTGAGTGATTTTACCTTTTTAATTTTACCAAATGAAATATGAAATATGTGAATGTTGTTGTCCTTTCAGGTTTTCAAATACAACACATCCATGGAGAAACAAAAGATCTTCATCTCTGGGCTGCCGTTCTCCTGCACTAAAGAGCAACTGGAGGAAATCTGCAAGCCTCACGGTGTTGTGAAGGAAGTTCGTCTGGTCACATATCGCTCAGGAAAACCCAAGGTGAGGCTCGCAGTGAAGGACTCGGTGTCCAGGTGTGAGGCTAAAAATAGAAAGCAGATCAACAGTCTGGTGTTAATGAACTGACCCTCTCCCTGCAGGGTTTGGCTTACGTTGAGTTTGCAGATGAAGCTCAGGCTTCCCAAGCTGTTTTAAAAATGGACGGCATGGAACTGGAGGACAACAAGATCTCTGTTGCCATTAGCAACCCTCCTCGCAGAAACATCGATAAACCAGGTTCCAGCAGGCCCACAGTAGACATGATGCCTCGCCAGGCCTACGGATCGTAAGTTCATACAGTCATTTCTGTTCTTTCAACTTACAGACGCGAATCAATACAAAAGTAAAACGATTTCTTTTTTTTGCAGGCGAGGAAGAGGGCGCACCCAGCTGTCACTCCTCCCACGCTCACTACACCGACAGAGCGGATCTGTCAGCAAAGTGGAGAACGGCACGACGTCAGCCAGAGCGACCGAGAACGCATCGGAGGAGACGAAACCTTTGTCGAATTCAGACTTTGCCAGAATGCTTCTCAGCAAGTGAGAAGAGCAGCGAGGGAGTTAGTCCGCCTTCACACTGAAAGCCATCCTGTGTCCTTACAAATACGTGTCGGTGAATTTTCTGTGGCTTCCCTTTAATCCTGTTCTCATCGTTTGTTCCTCTTTAACCTCCAAGTTTCTGCTCTCCATTACAAACCATTTCAACCAGTGCTTTTCATCGATTGGTAGTTTTTCTTTTCTTTTTATTTTGTTCTCTTTAAAGATGGCCGACGGGCTCTTTTATCAAAACAAAAAAAAGTGTATGATATCTGTGTAAATATACTGTACCTAAAATTGTTCGCCTCATGTTGCAAAGTGTCTTATTCTGTTGTGTCACGTGAAAGGGATCTGAGAGAACCACTTGGGAATATTTTTTTAAAGAGTGAGCCAAATGTGTGAATGTTGATTGAAAAGGCTTTATGCAAAAATTTTGACGTGGTGAAAAATAGTAACTGTGTGTGTTTGTGTGTGAGAGAAAGATAAAAAAAAAAAGAGTGTTTGATGTACTTTATCGATGAAAAGACAAAACTCTTCAGACTATTTTGTGAAATCTAGGATAATTGAGAATCTCCTGATGGCCTCTGACAGCACGGCTAACAGTGATTTTTGTTTTCTATCAAGTAAAAGTAAATCATTATTTTTACAAAGTACCATCTCTGATTTACAGTGAGTTATAAATAGAAAACTTTAGACCTCCTAATACAGTGCTTGCAAATAAGTATTAGTTTGTTGTCTTTATCTTATAACAGTATAAAATCTTATCTGTAAATCATACGGTTTAACCTCGACTCCAGCTGTAGTTTCACAGACCTACAGTCTCATGATTCCTATTTTCATATTTATCGCTCTTGATGTGGTTCGAAACATCCAACCTCATATCCTCAGTGTTGCTTTAGGCATCCTTCTAGCTTCTGTACTGTGGACTGAAAGAGTTCTGGGGGTGACTCACAGTATCTTTGACTGATATGTGCTTTGGTTAAGGTGTTAAAAAGGTCATTAGCTGATAAAATTCACAAGTTTTTAGCACAAAACTGAGAAATTAAAAATATTCCTTAATCAGCTGCGAGTTTCATCTTTGAAAGAATTCACAAATGCGAAAACTGAGATCCTTACAAACCGGAACCAAAGTACAGAATCAGAAATACGGTTTGATTTCACCCTCTTGACAAACTGAAATCCACATTTAAGTGACATTTCCAAGTATTCTTTCATAACATCCAAGTCTGCAGCTCCCTCTACTCAAGAATAGAGAATCTATGCAGTTTCTCCATTTCGATACATACAGCTTCGATCAGTCGTTTACGTTTCTCGTTTGGATGTTGACTATTGTGTAAATATTGTTCAGGATAATATTGAAAAAGGTCGTCATAGTTTGTAATAAATATAGATCTAAGTTTAAAGAAAAAACAAAACAAAAACAGATGGGATATAAGCTATATGTACCGCTCTCACCACAGTGGCCTAATCTGAAAATAGCATCTAAATGTTGGTCTCCTGAAGTCACCTTCTGTTTCCTGTTCAGTGCTACAAAGTGGTTGGTGTGAGTGCATTGCTGTTTTGTATCATTTCTATGGTCAGTGTTTTAACTTTGCTATAGAGCTGAGAAATAGCTTTTTTTCTTTTTGCTTGGTTACAGTGTTTATTTCCTCTGGTTAATCATAATCAACTCATGTATTTGGTTCCTGTACGTGAATGTCATGTTGATTTCTTTTTTTTTTTTTTTGGTCAGAACTCTTTTTAAATAAAGTCGTTAAAATCATCTTCGATCCCAAAGCTTTGTTCAAATGTACGGAGGACTAAAAACTCAAATCTGTTAACAGAACCCCTTTATTTTAAAATAGAATAAATAATCAAATAAATGAAAGTGCTTCATCGTGTAACGAGACGTCATCTGGTATCACAGGATGTACAGTCGAGTCACATCAGCAGTAGTCAAACTGTCGATTGTTTTCTGATGGGAAATGAGATGCAGAAATACAATCAAAGGAATTATTGTTCAAAGTAGAGGTGTGAGAAGGTTTCTTATTAAAGGGATATTCTGGAGTGAAATTGATTAAGGGTCAAACACACCGTAACACCGAGTTAGACAACCCCTCGAGAGATGCAGACCGCTTGCTTCTCTAGTTAAAACAACTTTAGTTACAACTGCACAATAGCAATACACAAACCTCAACCAAAACGCCACTCTATAGCCACAAATAATGCAAAGAACAGCACCTAACTACATCAACAGTACATATAGGGTCCCAGCCATAGTACTAGCCACCAAACATCATTTTAACTTTGCCTGATTTCTTTAGCAAAGAGACTAAACACAACTCACCTATTCTCTTCCAGCAGCCGCTTGTTTGTTGCAAGACCTCGGGACAGTCTATTACGGACTACAGCAGCGGGGTTGTTCTTCCTTGAGCTGGACTGGCCTGAGGTCTCACTACAAACAAGTGGCTGCTGGAAGAGAGTAGGTGAGTTGTGTTTAGTCTCTTTGCCAAAGAAATTAGGCAAAGTTAAAAAGATGTTTGGTGGCTAGTGCTATGGCTGGGACCCTATATGTCCTGTTGAAGTTAGGTGCTGTTCTGAGCATTATTTGTGGCTATAGAGTGGTGTTTTGGTTGAGCGTGTGGCTCTCTGTATTGCTATTGTGCGGCTGTTACTAAAGTTGGTATAACTAGAGAAGCAAGCGGTCGGCAACATTCATCTCTCGACACCAACTTAATTTTTGGCCAGAATATCCCTTTAATGAACAGGAAGGAAAGCTAACCTATAAACAGACCTCAAACCAGATCTGAACTCAACATCTCAAGAACCCACTCTACAAGTTAAAGGATTTGGCAGGTGAACGTGACAAAAAAGGAAGTTTCCTGTCAGGGTTGTTCTAAAAAATATCTCCCTGCATGCTCACATCCCATGCTCCCTTTTTCCTCCTGTCTTCCTCCACTCAGTTGTGGATGGGGATTGTCTGTTTGCAGTCCGAGCAGGCCTGGTCCTGGTTGGCCCCTGGCAGCCCCACTGCATACTCTGTTGTGGAGATCAACAATGTGTCCAGTGTGATTTCTGTGCATTTGGCTATAAAGCGGATGAAGGGCCTCACGTCACCCTCATTGGCAGTGTCTAGAGCTGTGTAATATTCAGCTCTCTGTTCTTTCCGGATTGTGATTGGTGGATACCGCGCCTGCATGAGCACAAGATTCATAAGCAGCCGTGATGTGCGTCCATTACCGTCTACAAACGGATGCACGTAGACCAGTTTGTAATGAGCGAGGGCGGCGTACTCCACAGGATGCAGCTGCAGGGCCTCGTCTGAGTTGAGCCACTGGACCAGCTCCTGCATGTGTCTTTGCAGGTCCTGAGGCTGAGGGGGGATGTGGTGGCCCACAAACACCTGGTTCGTGCGCAGCCTCCCGCCCTCCACGGGGTCAACGTAGCCGAGCACCCTTCGATGAATCTCCAGGATGTCGTCAACAGTGATGGCACCAGTTCTGGACAGCAGAGTGGTGTTGATGTACTTCATGGCGGCATCCACACCGATGGCCTCGTTCTGCTCCTGCAGGCTCTTCCCAGGGACGGCGTAGCGCGTCTCGATGATGTGACGGATCTCAGACAGAGTGAGCGTGCTGCCTTCTATGGCCACTGTGTGATAGATGTGGTGGTAGTAGGTTTCCTCCATCACTCTTCGGAGGGCAGAGTTGCCTTTTGGAATGGACATTAGCCTCCGCACCTTACTGTCAATGATGCTGAAGTAACGCTGGTCGATCTCCTCCACCAAGGGCAGAGTGCGGTCCCTGCTGACTAGAGCCCTCTCATTACACGGTGAGATGGCCAGGGCTTTGGTGTAGAGGTGGTCGGCCTGGACGATATCCTTCTCCTCCTCCAGAATGGTCCCCAGCTCTGTCAAGGCGTCCACAAATCCTGGATTCATACTGAGTGCGTGCACGAGCAGCTTATGAGCCTTTTCCCTCTTCCCTAATTTCTTCATCTCCTGAGCCTGTTGCAGTGCTGCTTTGGCCTCCAGCTCAGTCTCTGAAATCACAGCAGAGTGGTTGTCATTATCTTTAAAACAGGTTAAACAGCAGAAGGCAAATGACAGGTATGTCTCTGCAACAACTTGAGCAACACTGACAATATTATGATCTGTAGAGCAGTGGTTCTCAACTAGTGGGTCCCAACCCAAAAGTGGGTCGGAGACATGTTCTGGATGGGTCACGAACAACTATAATTACTAGATCTTTCATTGTTTTCATATTTATTTTACTCACTTTATCCATTATGTCATGGTCCTCCTCAGTTTCTTATTAATGTGGCCTGAATGCAGTAAAAATACGTTTGTTTTTGGTCTTTCTTATTCACTTTTGTCCATGCTGTTGCATGGTCCTCCTCATGTTCTTTTGAATATGCTCTGAATGCAGAGATGCACACAAGTCAAATTTTTCATTTTGCTGGTCTCTAGTTTGGGCAATGTGATATTTATTTGATGTTTGATATTTTCTGTATATACAACTTCAGGCGTCGTCGTCCTCAGTTCATGTGCTCTGAAATGCTCTGAAGTGAGGCCTTTTTTAAATTAAAATACAATAAATTTGTTTGGTTTGAATTTTATAAAAGGGGATCATGACTTGAGGACCAAGGGGAAATGTGGGTCCCAGATTATTTTACGCCGGAATATCCCTTTCAGGAAGTTTAACAATTTTATTTTGTAAATTCACTTTTTGAGGCTCAATCTGGATAAATTGAGCAGGCGCATTGACGGTCGCCCTCCTGCTTAGACATAAGGTTGTTGTGAGTTGGTTTGTATATTTTAAGGATCACCTCACCACCTCCTCCTGTTCCTCTTACCTTTGCTGGGTTTGGTCCTCTGAGGCAGCAGATCCAGGGCTGTGAAGGGGACAGTGAGGCTGGTGGACTGAACAGCAGGAGTGGGCTGAGAGCTCCCCAACAGCTGGCAGCGGAGCTGGGCGATACCTTTGAGGACGGCGCAGCACTCGTCCTCCACCCCCACCAGAGGCATCAGGATGGCCACCAGAGAGCCGAGAAGAACACACAACAGCGGGCCCCATCCTCCGAGGAGCCGGCCGCTGGTGAAGCGCCATACCGTCAGAACAGCCATGGTGATCCCAGGTCAGAGCCTCCATCCTCCGGTGACACTCTGGGCTCCCATGTACCCCGGCTAATGGAGCCGGAGACCGGCTGAGAGGAGGGAAAACACTGCCAACATGACCACACTGCCACGAAAATCCAGGTAAGTTACTCAAACAACTCGAAGTTAGCTCGCTCCTTGTCGCGTTTATGAGTCTGTAAAATGAAACAGCAAACTCTGACGGATTTATAGATAAGGCTGCGATTTGTTTGTTGTCAGCGTCAGCACAACTACTGTGTACAAAATAGTCACATAATCGACTTCCTGAGTACGTGTGAGCATCGTGGAATCTAATTGGTTAAAAGGGGATTAAAGAGCGTCGTCCATTGGCTGAATCTTCAGCAATACAAGAAATGGTTCGTAGTGATCTGTGATTGGTGGATTCAGAAGCCTCTTCCCCGAGTTTAGTCTTTCAGGAACACGTCAATAACGCAGTTAACAGAAGAACGTTTAATAATTTTACATTAATTACGTAAAAAAGTTTCCTCAAGATACGTGAGTTTTTACCTAAGACTTTTAAACATTTTCTCAGAGACTCTGACACCTTCAGTCAGTAGTCTTCACCTGAACTCAGGTTACTCTATATCAAGTCAAAGTCAACTTTATTGTCAAATATGTTAAACATGCAGCACAGATGAAATTTCAGTCCTCTCAGACCCACGGTGAATAAGAATAAACTATAAGAATAAAACTATTAGAGTATGAATATAGAAGAAACGACTGAGCTAAACAAAAGACTACCGTAAATTATCACATCAATTTACAAAATAAAGATAACAATATAAGCAGCATAACAGTATAATCATTTTATCTATTTATCTCTTTATTTTCACTTATTTTCACTTACTTTATCAATTATTTATCTCCTCTCTCTACTTTGTTTGCACTGGAGTGCCTGTAATAAAAAGCATTTTCCCCCTGGGGATTATTAAAGTATTTCTGATTCTGATTTTTTTGTTTTACATTAAAGACCCACAATTTTTATGTTTATTTTACATTTATCTTTATCTTTATCTTTATTTTTTCATCTGAACATGCTGCCAGGAGTAATTAGCAAAATGCTGGTCAGTTGACATGACTCTCTGTTAAATAGTCTAAATAGGTAGATAGATAGATAGATAGATAGATAGATAGATAGATAGATAGATAGATAGATAGATAGATAGATAGATAGATAGATAGCATTTTATTGTCATTGTGACAAGCACAGTGAAATTAAGAAAGTGCCTTTACAGTGGTGTCCTGTGAAAACAAATTTTTACGGGATAACCTGAGAGACTTTTCTCAGAATACAAACAAACAAAAGGAACTTCCTTCCTGTCTTTTTAAACATCTTTGTCCGTCGTACATCGTATATACAACACCCTTTATTCATAGGTGGTTCAATGTATGATGTTATTACATTTTATTTATGCCACTCCTTAATAATCAGCAGCCCAGCCTTGCCTGTAGTTCTTGTACCTGAACCGTCCTGGAAACTCAGTTACTGGAAATTCAGCGCTGAGATTTAACAGCTTCGAGTTGAGCTGGTTTCTTTGGCTCCTTTGATTCTAGTTTAACTGTAGAGGTAATTATCTGACAGTTTTATTCACAGAAACCTCTCTGTAGCCTCAATAGTATCACAATGAAGGTTTCAACATGATCTAAAGGAGCCAAGACTCCGTGCTTATGTTTATTAATGTTAAATCAATTCTCTTTAGCTCCACCAGGCTGAAAAAAGGCAGCTTGATTGTATTTAAGATGTACTTAGCACAGATTAACAGACATTAAATTGACATTACTCTGTATTTCAACACAGTAGAGTTTAAAAGTGGAGAGAAGCTGAAAACTACAAAGGACATCTCAAATGGAAGATTCATAATTTTAATGGTATTGTTTTGCATTTGATGAAGTAATACAAACAAAAATACCAGGAGCAAAACTGCTAAACTTGAATAAACTTTATTTCAATAATACAGACCAGGCTAACTTTGGTACAGTAAAATATTATGACAAGAAACTTTTGGGGTTTTTCTCATTGGTTCAAATAATAATAAAAAAGATTGGATTGGGGAAAAAAGGCGAAAAATCAAAGTTCTGTATAAATGCATTAACACTAGTCTTATATTTATGTAAGGAATAAAAAACACAGTACTTATCTGAAAATACCGTCCATTAGCCTGATTATTCAGCTGACCCATCATCTGAATGTAAGTGTGCCAACAAACAGAAGAGGGCAGCAGAGCTCTGTTATGCAAATGATAGTCAGTGCGGTGAACTCTCAGGAGACTGCAGTAAAATTCCTGGCCTTAAACTAACTCTGAATAAAACGTACTCTTAAAGATGCAGTTTGTGAAAATGCAGTAAAATAGATATTCAAACAAGAGTGAAAAGACAAATCTCACCTCCTCAGCCCGCTGTGTCACCTCTTAATATTCACATCTTTGCTCATTAACAAGAGGCCTTTTTATCACCGGTTTGGTTTGTTTAATTCTTTTTAATACATCTACTTTATTCACAGTGAATTAAATTTCAGAGGAAACATCTCCAGCTGGAAACATCCGTTGTTGATGAGGATTGATTCTTGGCCGTGCGTCAAAGCCAACACTATTAGACATATCTTCAGCAGATGGCAGACTGTTGCCTCTGGTTAGCAGAGATGCACCACCACCACCACCACAGCCTGTCAGAGATGCATAATTATGAATTAGCCTCCATGTCGATGATTTCCGGTGGAGTGGAGATGTCTGTCTGGAAGTTTGGAGCTGTGCTGCAGACCGGCACAGAGCTTGCTTGTGCCGCTCTGACCCACAGCAGTTTCACCTTGGAGGATAATGAGGCAGTCGGCTCAAGGATGCTTAAGCTGCTGCGTTAAGTTTATTCAAGTGCTCTGTCACACACTTCCTCGAGCAAAGAGGAGACTGAGGAGAGCGTGACTGGATAAGATAATCTCTTTGTAATCTCGTTCTATGATAGGTTGAATGAAATCATAATAAGAAAGATGAGAAGTTGAATAATTAATGAACACGCTGCCATAGACTGACTGTGATGAGGAGAGGGATGACTGTGAGATTCGGTTTTGTGTCTTTAGTTCAGGTCTGTAGTTTCCCATCAGTTTTTTCTCCTGTAACAAAACTTCCACTTCCAAATCTCTTACTTTTTGTACAATATTTCTCAAACTCTTTAACAAATCATTTCCCAACAGCCCTGAGAAATTTCAGATTTTTCCAAGTGCGTGGCTCTACAAAAGAAAAACACAAGCATGTTACCAGCAGCGGGGTTAAAGACGGTCAAATGTCAGTTCATAGTTCCTGCTTTTAGGTCAAAATAAAGGGTTGAAGGCTCTCAGAGGATGGAGCCCATGACCAAACTTGTAAACTGGACATTTGGCAACACGAGAAAAAACATAATGACATGCAGATGTAAAACGAGGGCAAACGAAGCCTGATTTTCTTCAGTCGTGAGGAAGCTGCAAAGAAGAGGGGGTACAATACAGCAGATAAGGAGAGACTCCACTTCCCCAAGGGATGAAGATATCATCGTCTTTAAACTGTGAGACTCCAGAGCCTCACAGAAAGAGTTAGACTGTTTATCTGGGATCAGATATCTGAGTTCTGGCTTCACTTTTGGTGCTCTGTTCAGATTTAAGCAGGAACATCTCCCACAGCAATCCTCACATCCACATGATGACCCCCACAGATTTTTCGACCCAGATCTCATTTCATATTCAGAGTGGATCTTGTTCGTCAAAGTGTTTCCCCAGAACAGAACATGCTCAGATGCAGAAGAGCTGGGAAAACCAATCGCTATAATCTGCATTACTCCCTTTCCTGCTTCCTCACTTCCTGCTTCCTCGCCCTATTGTGTTTTCAGCCTTGGATTCGATCGATACTAACCAGCTCCCTGAGGAGTGTGTGGTGAAGGTTTGGTGGAGTCACAGAAGTGCTGATTGGAGTGGAGGTGATCTTGTGGTCGATAACAGCTCTGAGAAGTATTCATCTATTACTTTTGGTTTGGAGCAACAGCATCCTCAGACTAATATGTCGCCTACGTCTGCAGAGCTGACACTTGGGGAGGTGCTGAGCTGTTTTTGTTCGCCTGAGACAGTTTAGTTCCTCAATTATGTCATCGTGAAGTGGTAATCTTCGCTGGATGATATTATAGTCTGAGAACTGTTTGTGTTAAATAAGACACAAGGGTGCTGACCAGGCACTTGTGGTATGAGGGGAAAATATATTGTTGAGAAGCAGAAGTTCATCTTTTTTTAATCTAATGTACGAAAACACCAAAAATAAAACATGCAGGAAATGAAAAAAAAGGCATTTGCCTTGAAATTTTCTACAATTTTCCTTCATTTTGGTCTTTGCTGTTTTCTGTTTTGTTTAATGACAAGAGGATAAAGACGAAGAGGATTATCTTACTGATTTCCCCTTTAAAGTAGTTGCATATTAGAAGTAGATGCACAGCAATTTCTTTCACAAAGAGGCTAAAAACAACTCACCTACTCTCTTCCAGCAGCTGACTGTTTGTAGCGAGACCTCAGGCCAGTCCATTACTGACTGCTGCGGGGGGACGCAGCTCAAGGAAGAACATGTATGATCATTACTTTATCATTTCCTTGAAGTAATAATCACCATATTAATCATTTTTCACCGCAGACGCCGTAGTTCTTCTGCCTTAGCGTCTCGGCCTGATTGTATTTCCATGAAGAAATGATCATAAATGTTCTTCCTTGAACTGCGTCACCCCGCTGTAGTCTGTAATGGACTGGCCCGAGGTCTCGCTACGAACAAGCAATTGCTGGAAGAGAGTAGGTGAGTTGTGTTTAGTCTCTTTGCTAAAGATATTAGTCAAAGTTAAAAAGATGTTTGATGTCTAGTACTGTGGCTAGGACCCTATATGTCCTGTTGATGAAGTTAGGCGCTGTTCTGAGCATTATTTGTGGCTATAGAGTGGCGTTTTGGTTGAGGTTTGTTTATGGCTCCTCAGACCGCTGTGTATTGCTATCCTGCGGTCGTTACTAAAGTTGGTATAACTAGAGAAGCAAGCAGTCGGCAACATTCATCTCTCGAGGGGGTGTCTAACTCTGTGTTGCGTTGTGTTTGACCCTAAATTAATTTTATGCCGGAATTTCCCTTTAAGTTCACCATCTTTTGAGTTTAGACCGTGCAAGCTGAAAATGTGAAACTATGCAGAATGAGCTGCTGATAAAGAAGAAATGGTGACATGAAATAACCGTCCCGGGGCCATATTGTGGACTAATTCTATGCCCATCTGGCATATGTTCACCCGAGCTAAATC